CACCACCACGTTTTTTGAGTTTCAAGACATGTCTTCTTCCCCGACATTCTTCGGGTTCATCAACTACGTAAATGAACGGATTGGATCTCTACAAATGTACACGGCAGATTTACGGATCTGATTGCCCACACGGGTCGCTAATAATAGGACGTAAGTACTGTAAGTTACTCTCCAGACCGAGAGCATCGAGTAGACAGATACATAAGTCCCTTGACCGCGCTGCAGATCATGACGGGCAATCCGTACTACAGTACAAGCATAAATGCCTGAAGATGGCCGTGCATGAGATGAGTTATCATCCCGGCATGCATGTTGCGTGTACCTACATAAGTTGTAGAGAATATCAGTAGGTAAAATATCTACCGACCTACATGCTTTCAGCGACGCATTGGATGTGACAGCTCTGCCGCGAAGCTCCGCACGATGCTTCTCTCGCCATGGAAAGACTGCATTTATCCCCCGGTAGTGATGTCATTCGTGAGATCCCGCGCTGGACAAGACCAAACTTACTATATAAGCTCTGTCAAGCCAGTCACCATGCCCTGGGGAAACTCACACGGGAGTTCCTGTCAGAATCTGAAAGAGTGCATCCGTTCTATCCAGGATCCGGGATACAGACTGCCGTGTCCCAGCATGCCTTAAAAGGCCACCTTGACAGATCCCCCCTAAGGACCGGGGTCACGTGTGGGTCCGATGGGATTTCAGGGTTCTGGATGCATAAATTACCGGCACGTAATACCACCAGGTACCAATGGCCCGCTCTTACCATACAATACATCTACTGCTCAGTCGGGCCGAATTCACCGGCTAGAACTAGGAGTATCTATTCACCTACTCAATCAACTAACGGTATGGAGTAGTTATCTCCTTGAACCCATGTAGCTAGGTTGCTAGAGTTAACTAATAGTGTGAAAAACTGGTAACTAATTTGCTACCATAGTGGGCTACGGATCTCCTATTCTCCTGCCATATGTGTAGGAGATTATTAGGCTCGATGTCATACAATGAATCAACATCAGCAGCACTTGCACCCAAAACCCGAGTCAGCTCTCTGACCCGATTTGCAGGACAATGAATAGAGTCATGCGAACAGGCCCACGTATTACACGATGAACAATGTCCATCTCCATTGGCTCATGTCTAAGTATGAAGATGAAGGTGAGACAGTGAAGGTACCCTCGTTTCAAGATGATTGTGGAAGCAGAGAGAACAGAATAATAGCTTGGAGCAAGCTATTGGCCCCTTTTAGGGAAAGTTGTCTTGCCTACCAAGACACACATGCGTGGTCAAGGGAGAGAGTGGTTGCGTCGCATCCGCGGTTACGAAGCGCGGCCACCAGACATCTTAACCCTCTGGTGTCTGACGACGGTCGCGCCAAGCTAACGAACGAGAGGAACTGGTTCTGGAAAACACTAAACATAAATAGAAATCCAATGTGGCCTCTCAACTTCTGATTGCCCTTCAAGGCGGTTTGCATGCTGATCGTGAACTCAAAGGGCCCAGAAAATACTCATTGACACTTGCTGACGACAGCCAGATTCCGCCCGGCCAAAATTAAGAATGATTCAAGGAGGACGTGTTTTGCAGGTTAAGCTTCAGGGTCTTTTGCATGCACCAACTCTACAAGTACCAAGGCTGGGTCGGTAAGGCCTGTATTCCTAGTTCTTACCGCCCATCAGGCCCGAATTTTCTCTCGGTGGTGCTGTCTTGACTCGTTCCCTCTAATTTCCCCCAATAACCACAGTACAAGGGTTGTGTGGTTTCTATAGTGCCTTCTTAGACGTAATTTTGGCCTTTCTAGAGTGCCACCAATCTAACCGACCAAGTCAGCAATAATTTACCGCCAGTTGATTTGGTCTGGGAGAGGGATTTGGAGAGGGTAAAACGGAGAAAGGTACGAAAGGGAGAACCAGTTGGACTACCGCAAAAAGGCTAAGTGTAATACGTTACCAGAATACCAGTCTGGAAAGGAGAGCCGCGACTCCCGAGCTGGAGGGTAGGCTGTAAATTACCATCTGTGACCACGACCGCTTGCGCCTCCTTGGCCTTGGCGGAACTTCCACCCATCCCCATCCCCAAATAATCCTCTCTCGAGCCTTCATCTCATCGGTTGCCCTCCCGCAGCTCTCGGCTTCCATCCAGCCTCAGCCTGCCCCCCCCCCCCCTCTCATCGTGATTAATGACCTCGTCGACCACAATCGTGTATTCGGCCTCATTGCTCCGGACACCAGTCCTTTGCGTTGCTGTCGACTTTCCCCCCGCCCACCTCTGCCTGGCCGACTGAGAGGGAAAAGTTGGCGAGAAAGGAGGCTTTCCTCCGGCCGCTCTTTATTTCGACTCTTCGCTTCGCCTTAACCGGGATCCTCCATCTCTTCTCGATTATAATTCTCTTTAATCGCTTTTCTGTGTCCTCGTCTTGCTCGGCTTTGGGAAGTGACATAGAAGCCAGAGTCTCGCCTCGGCGCTCGCGTGCGGACGTACATCTCTTGTCATCGAGATTCCCTCTGGGATAATATCCGACAAGAGATATCTCGGTCTGAGAAGCTCCTTTGACTTGACTGCTGATACCTGATAACTATTGTGTGCCATCGCTGTTCAATCAGCCGTGTGGCCCATCTTCTGCACCCATGGGCCTCGTTCAACGGGTTACGAAATGGCTGCCCTCCACGCCGAGTCTGCCCCTAGATGACTCTTCGCGCGAGAAAGGCCGTAATCTGTCCAGATTCGCTTTCTTCAAACGGAGGATACGGTTAAAGGGCAACTCCTCGATCTCGATACCCCTGGGATTTGTTTTACTATTTCCATGCCTTGTAATAGTCCTTATCCTACTACTTTTTGTTCGACATCCTTCTTCCCCTGGGGGTATCCTCATCCCTGCCGGTACTCCGCCTTCTATCAGGTTCGTTTCGCTCGCCAGGCACGAGAATCAGAGTTTTCGATAGCTAACCACGCGCCGACTCGACAGGAAAATAAGCGAAAAGTACGACAAAGTCTTCGCTACTGGCTGTCTTCCCGTCGAGAAAACCGACGCCCCGCGCGCAAACGCCGCTTTCGTCGTCCTTGCCAGAAACAAGGAATTAGACGGAGTTATTCAGTCACTCAAGTCAATTGAAAGACACTTCAACCGCTGGTTCCACTACCCTTACGTCTTCCTGAACGATGGTGATTTCGATGACGCCTTTAAGGCGACGGTCAAGAACTACACCAGCGCCCCCGTTGAGTTTGGCAAGATCGACGAGTCTATGTGGGGTTACCCCGACTGGGTTGACCATGAAGTCGCCAAAGAAGGCGTCCGGAAACAGGGTGACGCCGCCATCATGTACGGAGGCATGGAGAGTTACCACCATATGTGCCGATTCTATTCCGGGTAAGTTTCCTAAACAAATTCACTCTGTCACTAATTCTGACCCTTAAACAGCCATTTCTACAAGCACCCTCTGCTCATGAAATACGAATGGTACTGGCGTCTCGAGCCTGAGATCAAGTACTTCTGTGATATTACATAGTACGACTCTCCCATGGATCCTTGCGTATCGGTAATATACTGACATCCTAATCAGTGATCCATTCATTAAGATGGCGGAAGCAAACAAGACCTACGGCTTCACGATCGCTGTCAAGGAGCTTCGAGAGACCGTTCCCAACATCTTCCGTTACGCATCTGCCTACAAGCGGAAACACAACTTGGAATCGAAGGGATTGTGGGAAATGTTCCTGGAGAAACCCGAGGAAGAGCCTAAGCCCGAGGAGGAAAAGCAAGAGAAACTTCCTGAAGAGATCCTTCAAAACGAGCCTGGTGAAAATACTGTTCCCGATGTTGACCCGGAGGCCATGGAAGGCGAGAAGTACAACATGTGCCACTTCTGGAGTAACTTTGAGATCGCGCGGTTGGACTTCTTCCGCAGCAAGGAATATGAGGAGTTCTTCGACATGATGGATAAGAGTGGGGGTTTCTGGATGGAGAGAGTATGTCCTTGTGTACCTGACTTCGCCTTCGATATAACTAACTAACTGTCTGATCTAGTGGGGTGATGCGCCTATCCATTCTCTGGCCGCCGGTATTCTCTTGTCCCCCAGCGACATCCACTACTTCCGTGACTTCGGCTATCGGCACACTACTATCCAGCATTGTCCTGCCAACGCTCCTGCACGGCAATTGCCCCGGATCCCCTGGCTGGAGACGACAACCGAGGACGAAAAGGAGCGCATCGAAGAGGACGAGTATTGGGCGAACCCTGATCCCGTCAAGGAGAACGGTGTCGGCTGCAGGTGCAGGTGTGACACCGACATCGTGGATGTTGAAGGCAAGCAGGGCAGTTGTCTCGCCGAATGGGTCGAAGTTGCTGGAGGATGGGCATCCCCATAGATTCGGATTGTTGCCCTTTAATGTTCGCTGTATAATCTTCGCCTCCTGGTTTCCGTACCTATTTGTTCGACTATGAGCATTACTCGGTTCGCCCTTGGAGTTATTTGCTTGAGCCTGCATGTTACGTTGGCTGTGGGTTTCTGGACGGCGTTATACGGATCTGACGGCTTCTTACGTGGAAGACGGTGTGACCATTCTCATCAATATGGACAAATTCATCTAGCGTGCTTCGTATATCTCACCTGGTTTGCCCGCAATCACTCTAAAAAGAAAAGTGTATGCTCAGAAGGCCCTGCTGTTGGGAATCCAAGTCGGCTACCAAATCATTCATCTTGGAGACGCTTGGACCACGTTTCTGCTCGGTTTACTCGAGCGACCGCAGGCCAGAAGCAATGTCGTCCCTCGTATTGAGCACGAGCATACGTTGTGGGTTTGCGTGGCTGGATGCGTCTGCTTGCGATACCCAATGTCTGGTTGTCTGCATGCTTGGGTGGTTTCTCATTCGCCCTCATGGCTTTCCCCTGACATTGTCAGGCAGCAAACAGCAAATCTCCAGTTGGTATTGGGGGGTGTTGTATGAACAAGCGAAGGATCGCCGACCGACAACGACCAGGTATTGCTGCAGGTCACTTGGAGCCTATTGCTTTCTACTGAATGGGCCATCTACACCGTAGCACCTATCAAATGTCTTTTTGTCCTTACTTACCACCATTGGCGCAAGCCTCATGTTCTCCTATTCTGCTGTTTTGACATCAATCTGCTGTTTCTGTTTCCCCTCTGAATATTCTGTTTTAGTTCGATGCCCCGTTCTTCCCATATCATGTCATGAAATGTAATGTACATATCTACTTTATATGCTTCTCTCTGTTCTCTCGTGCTGAAACGGGAAGGTTTTCTTTTCTTCAATCACACATCCACGCGCACCCATATATTGTCAAAGTCCCAATTTTTGAAGTTACTGTTTGTCCATAGTTGCATGGGATGTTCTAGTTATGTGAAGTACACCTGTACTTGGTTAAAATAATACTATCTATCTGGTCGGTAACTTCCAGTTCACGGGCAATGGTGAAGGCGTCGAAGGGAAGAATGGATGGAAGACTTGGGACCCTCTCAAGATGGGGGAGGGGCCTACTAGTTTAGATCGGGTGTAGTGGCCTGAAAGTAGCCTGATAACGGATGCCTTATCGGCGATACTTGGAGCTGGGGTCACTGGCTTCTCCTCCGGCCATGGTGGACAGCCAACAAACACATGATGAGATACGATCCTACTTACAGCTAAGCCTAAGCAACAGAAACCTTAACTCCCGCCTGACCCAGCCAGATAGAGGGCTGATCTAAAGTGACCTCCTCTCGCAAGGGAAAAGGGAAATCAGACTGCCGTGATAATCCCATGTCAGGTGCCCCGCGCAAGATAACCGTCACCATCTTCCGGTCCAGTCACTCCAGTCATCTCTATCTCCCTTGACCTTTCCCTTCCTTTGCTCCCTCTTCTCAACCCGCCCTCGGTCGGCTTCTGTTTGCAAGGCTTTCCCCTTCCACTTACCGCTAGTTTCCGAAACACGTTGATGAACTAAATCCACCTTGTCCTCGTGAGGCACCTGACCTAATCTTCCGCCCGGGCCGCGAGGAACAACAGCAGCATCAAGCGCCTCACCCCCACTTGCAATTCATCGTCCGCCTAGGCTGTCATCGGGCATCTGCCTATTAGGCTCGGACGATCCAGACAGACTCTCCCAGCCAGAGTTGCTCCTATAGTAGATAGCAAAATTTGCTCTGTGAAGTTAACGTATACTTCCGCTGACTCTTCTTCTATTCATTCCTGAGCTTATCCGTCGTCCACTGCTTCCGGTCAAAGCTCCACTCTGCAGCTCTTCACTTGCTCTTTCCCTCAAGAACCTTACTGATGACATTCACTCGCAAACACCATGGCTGACTCTTCAGAGCCTCACCCCAGGCCTTCCAAATACCCTTCAACCGCTTCGAGCTTACAGTATCCCACTCTTCCTCCGTTGAGTGCCTCTGTAGAGGAGTGGTTATCGCGATCGCGGCCTATCAGTATGACGTCAACTCCAATGGAACACCACCCCAAGTCCCTCAGTGAAAGCTGGGCGACGATGAGTGCTTCCGACGTGCACTCGGAAGATGGCACTCGCTCGGACCAGACGGATCTTGGGTCTTTGATCGATCAGACCGGCCCAGATGACGTAGCAAGTCTCGATGGGCGGTCCAGCAACAGCGACATGGATACAAATGACGAGGATGGGTTTGATGGTGATGACTACGATTCCAGGAGCAACGTTTCGGTGTCCCAGGAACTTTCATCCGCCTTCCCTCACATAAGAAACTCGATCGATGACAGTAACTTAACTACCAAGACTGCTTTACGGCAGTCGGTTGAGTCCATCGAGTTCATTGAACCCGAGAACTGGCCCGAGATTGAACGGGTAGAACTGAAGCATACCATCCGAGTGTTCGAAGGATCTGACACAGCAGAACTGGAGCAAGAGCTTCCTAACAGGTCAGAAGGCTCGACTGTCACGGCCACCGTGCAGCAGACCATGACTAGGAAGAGCCTTGACACCGACAAACCTTTCCATGTGGTATACATTGGCAGCTCTGAATTTCGAAACATCGTTCTCGATAAAATCGGGGATGTTTTGGTGTCGAGTACCTGTAGCGGTTTCGAGAGCAGCTCTGCAGAGTCGTCCAGATATCATGTCGTCCCAACGTCCTTTGGCGCAGGCGCAGTTCCCAATTTTGCCGAGCTCCTTCCCATTCATGTTCAGCTTATTGTGGACGAGTGCACCGAGGCTACCGCGGATCCCCATATGGACAAGCCCAGCACAATCACCCTCAAATTCAAGGGTCGGCCGCCATGCTCTTCAATGTGGTCAGGGACCGATTATTGTATTTCATCTTCGATCCAATGGGCGCTACCTGATGTTGCCATCTTTTTTCTATCCGGCACTGATACCCCCGAAGATATTGAGACCCAAAAAATGGCCCGCATACTCATGGAACGACACGGTATTCCGACTATGGTCATCTCGGAAAAGCCGCTTTGGACGATGTCTAGAGACCCTGTTCCTCTTAATCCCCATAGTCTCCACATGTGCCTGGAATTCCGCAATGCCCTGGACGGGAAGTCCAAGGTTCTCAGGAGGTATCCTATCGATCTGAAGACCTTTGAGAGTATTACGCCGGGGCAACTCAACAGAAATCTGGCGTCCCTAGCAACTATCTGTCCCAAAAAACCATGCCAAATGGCATTGGGGAACCCGGAGTCACCTCGCACCAATTCATTTTTTGGATGGTGCATGTCCATCCATAAAGACCTTTCTCGTCCTTATATCGGCGACTACGGGGTGTCGATGTCTGCGTACCGTTTCATTGCGTTCAGTATTCTATCTCTTGTATTCGTATTCTTAGGCCATACAGCCATGTTGGCCGCTAACTCGACCTTTTCTCGACAATCTGCTGACCATACACTAACCAAAGCTGTCACCCCTGTTTCGAGCAGTGTCCCAGCTACCAGCTTCTTGCACACAGTGACATCACTTTCCGTGTTGCCTACATCGCTTGGCGACCCCGAGCTGCGAGGGGACCATGTGGGCAGCAACACCCGATTACATGACCTGATAGAAGGCGTACAGTATGTTTCCGAACGGCATGGATTGACGGACTCGTTTGAAATCCAGGTGGTCGGTGATTGTCATCTTGTAATTAAGCCGCCTCACAAACCTGGCAAAAAACAGCCAAAATTCAATGTCCAGGTCAGCCGAGATGGCAAGCCTCTCGAGTATGAACTCTCGATGTTATTCGACGGGGTGTACACGCTGAGACTAGATCGCGCGGATGCATACGGTCAGGTGGATGTGACACTAACTACCATTACAACGAAACCTCATATACAGACAACATCTGTGGATTTCGGAACGCCATGGTTGAAAATCCAGAACTGGAAACGCGCAGCACATCTCATCACCTCCCAGCTTCTGAGAGAGTTCGCCACTGCGCAAACTGGACTGTCAGAGGTCTATGACCGGGTCTGCACCGATTTGCAAGTGCTCATGGGAGATGTTGTAAGAAGGGCTCACTTCCTACGGAAAGAGGCGGCTGCTTTGCGACCCGAGTCGGTACAGATTTCCCGCGAGACAAAGGACATGGTGGTGTCCCGCTCAGAGCAATTCACCCAAGTCGTTAAAAAAGGCGCCGTCCAGCCACTTCTAGCTGTCTCGTCTGCTCTGCAGGCTCAGACCCACAAAGTGCATACAGGAGCTAGAGAGATGATGAGTGGCACATGGGACAAGATCAGCTCTCATGCTCATGCGCTTGACCTTGGCGCAGTGAAAGAACGCTTCCGGGACGCGAGGAAATGCAAGGCTTTGGATACGGCGCAGCAGAGAGCCCGAAGTCTGGTGAGACGGAGGACTTGTCAGCAGTCAGGGTGTTCACAGTAGAGCTATTGTCGTGGTGCCTCATAACTGGAGGCCAACAAATCGACAGTAGTTTCTTTCAGAATACCATTCATTCCTTTTATGTAATTTCCTATGTTGATTCTTCTTGGGCTGTTTTATTGGGGTTGCTCGCAGGCGAAAGGATGGGTCAGATATCAGGGTCGGACTGAATCATGGGATGAATTCCTGGAATACATGCTGGATTATGTATCAGTGGAGTATGTTGAGACTTGCCACGTGCATGTCCTTTTCAATTTTTCTCAAGAGTGAATTTGGTCTAGATGTCTCTCTGTAAAGAGTAGTGATAGTTTATAGTTACTGCGGATCGCCCGCCGGCGTAAGCAAAAGCCAGACTTGCAGGGCGGTGGCGCTAGTGCGGCCTTAGGCGCTTAGGCAATGAACCTACCCACCTCAAAACAACCCCGTCCATATTTTCCCACCCCTCTTCAGTGACTCCCACTTCCCCAGTACATTTCTTTCCTTCCTCCTTCTTACCAGGTACATCCCCAGAAACATCTATATCTACCGGATCTTTCTCACTTATAAATTTGACAGCCAACGCAATCCACCCACCATGTCTGACGTCGCTGAGACCAAGCCCGACCCCACCACCAGCGCTCCTGAGGGCGCTGAGAAGCCCGAGGAGACGACCACCACCGCCACCGAAGAGACCAAGACTGAGGAGAAGCCCGAGGAGTCCAAGTCGGTGACCGAGTCCGCTGCCGAGGCCGTCAAGGACACTGCCACCAAGACCACCGACAGCGTCTTCTCCATGTTCGGCGGTGGCCCCAAGAAGGAGAAGCAGGAGGAGCCTGAGGATGCTAAGGACGAGCCCTCCGGCTCTTCCAAGGCCCAGAAGGGTGAAGATGAGGTATGCATTTGATTTGCGCTATGTCGGTGTCGATGGTCCCCTTACGCCAGTTTAACCGTTACCCCGCTTTCCCCTCCATCGATGCCCTCTTTTTCCCTCTTACCCCTGATTCTTTGTCCGCATTTTGTTGGCTCCTGCAAAGTATCACGACAGCCCAGTTATATTGGCTACTAGTGGCTAACCATGTCATCACAATTATTAGGACGAGGCCCCCGAGTCCCCTGATGTTCACTTCGAGCCTGTCATCCGCTTGACCGAGAAGGTGGAGACCAAGACCAACGAGGAGCTGGAGGAGCAGACCTTCAAGATGCGTGCCAAGCTTTTCAAATTCGACCGTGACAGCAAGGAGTGGAAGGAGCGTGGTACCGGTGACGTCCGCCTGCTCAAGCACAAGGAGAACCAGAAGACCCGCCTCGTGATGCGCCGCGACAAGACCCTCAAGGTCTGCGCTAACCACTACAGTGAGTGTTGCCGTTTATCATTTGGTGTGGATTTGGGTCGCTAATCGATCTTCCAGTCGTTCCCGATATGAAGTTGAGCCCCAACGTTGGCAGTGACCGCAGCTGGGTTTGGAACGCTACCGCCGATGTCAGTGAGGGTGAGCCCGAGGCGCAGACCCTGGCCATCCGTTTTGCCAACAGTGACAGTAAGTGGACATTGAAATACAGCCAGGGTGAAGGTTCATTTTGCTAACGCCAAATCTTAGACGCCAACCTCTTCAAGGAGGCTTTCGAGAAGGCCCAGAAAGAGAACGAGAAGCTGCTTAACCTGCAGTAAGCAGGTTCCTAGCCTCGGATTTTCTCGGTCATCAGTGATATAGAGGGCTATTGTTAATGAACATTTTGATTCCCTTTCCCAGCATAACGAGTCTGATGTGGACTGCTCATGAAAGACCTATTTCACCTTCATCCCGACTTATCTTTGTTTCCCCTTTCTTTTCTCACAAGCATCAAGTTTCTTACCATATTCACTGCCCCTGCTTGAGAAAACAGAATTAATGACGCCGGTCATGGCGAGACCATGAGTCGACGCATGCATGGGTCCTTGGTTTTGGCCATGTGGTCCCTTGCATGTCGTGCGACGACTTGGTACATAGTAGATAGACACCACATGCCCCCAAAATATACGTATGAAATTCACGAAGTCTCTGCCTGCACCTATTGTACCTATATTCTCGATCGATAGACTTTGACTTGGCTCTCCCTCTGATGATAATGGTAGTGGAGGGATTTCCCTTTCTTTCCAATTTCGATATGTGGATTATAGCGATGTCACATCTGAAAACAAGAGTAAATTCCCGAGCGCAAAAACACCCCTCCCTTGAAAGCTAGTAATGCGATGTATTTCGAATGTGGGTGGCTGTACCTTCTGGACGCTGGCGGTTAGTTACCCTGGGGCGACGTCGCGCTGCCGCGTCGAAGAAAGAGGCCGTCCGGCAGTCAATAACCACTTCCAATCCCCCACCCGGCTTTCAGCCCGCGGAAAGCTTCACTCTCGCTCACTCCTCCTCCCTCTCTTGTTTCTACGTCTACCCATCCCTCGCTGGTCGGACACCATTCGAACTGCACCCTTCCCCCCGCTAACAACCATTCACTCCGATCCGAATCTGCAGGATTCCCGACAGGAACTCCCGCCAAACATCCGACTTCGCCTCACCTGGGCATCGCGCGACCTCTACATCCAATAGCTCCTGTATCCCATTCAGACTCTCGCGGGAAGGGTCTCTGGAAGAAAACCTCTAGTTCCTCCCTTCTAAATTTTACGAGCGATTGATCCAGACACCTCTTTCAAAATGCCTGACGTGAGTTCCGCCTCCCTCTCCGGGTTCAGCAATGGCACCCTCTCCCACTGGCGCTCGACGCGAACAAATTCGGTCTTCTTTCACTCGATCGCATGACGCTGACGTGACGCTTTTTCTCTACTTCTACAGGTTAAAAGAAATGTCAGATTGGTGACCGAGCAGCACATCGTGTACGTTGTATCCTACTAAATACTCCCGGTTCCCGAGTCATTCCTGAATGAATCACCGCCGCTTCTCTTCCTCGTCATCGCTGCCTATCCTTCTCCACCTTCTTCTCGCATCCGTCGTTGGTCATCGCGCGATGGTTGTTCGCTGTGCGCTTGGGCTCCCAACACGGTTACCTCTGCAGAGAATGGCACAAGGGCAGAAGCTTGGAATGAGAAAGTCCTCCTTGCTGACCTAGTGCGCGTCTTCGCGTCTACAGGAACAAAGACTCCGGCGTTGAAGGATTCCCCCTCCGATCATGGTCAATTGAGATCTACGTTGTCAATGAGCACGGCGAGCAGGTGCCTGCGAATGTCTTCGATAAAGTGACATACACGCTGCACCCTAGTTTCGGCGACAGGGCCATTCAGAGTACGTCACACCCTCTGCTCTTCGCACACCCCCGATCAGCGTCCGGCCAGTGGGAACCGGACGACAGAGATGGTCGACTTTACAAGGGATAGGTGAAATGGGTCACTAGCGGCTGCTGACCTCAGAATAGCCTTCAAGAATCCCCCCTTCAGAATCTCAGAGGAAGGATGGGGTGAGTTCGATATGCAAATAGGACTCACTGCTGCCGACAAGGAGCATTTCGTTACGCACGACCTGAACTTTGCTCAGCCCCGTTACGAATCCAAGCACGTCATTGTGAGTAATTGGCCCTCGGTGGAACACCATTGATTGTGCTAATTTTCTCTCTCCCGTATAGACGTTCAAGAACCCCAAGCCTGCCCTACTAGCCCTCCTCCGCGAATCCGGACCCGTCCCAGGAGACGAAAATGGCGTGAAGTCGAAACGCGCCGCAGCCGGAGAGGAGGGATCCAAGAAGAAGAAGCGCACAGAGAAGAGTGTAAGCGACGACTCATTCTCCTCAGAGAAGAAGAAAATAACAATAGAAACACCTCTGACATGATCACTATCCCAGGTTGACATGGACAAGCTGGCCGACGGTCTGCAGCGACTCGGCGAAGATGACCTCCTCCAGGTAGTACAGATGGTGCACGACAACAAAGCCCCAGACTCGTATACCAAGAACGATGTTGAGCGTAAGCTACCACCACCGCCGCCCCTCGAAATTCCCATCCCACTAACCAATTCAATCCATAACAGAGGGAGAATTCCACGTCGACCTATATACGCTTCCAGACACCCTAATCAAGATGCTGTGGGATTTCACGCAGGAGAAAGGCGCTTTGTGAAAAAAACAACTACTAGTTACCCCATATTTTTCCTTTTCAAACCTCCTTTTGGGCGAAACAATTGCTATTTTGTTGTATCTCTCTCTGGCTTGTCTTTTTTTTCCCTCTCTCCACCCCCCTTATTCCACTCAAAGTTTCTAACTACTTACTACGGAGTACTTTACCTACTTTACTACATTTCGCATCTATGAACACTAGGAACTGTGTCTATCTTGCTTACTAGTTACTTTACCCTCCTTTACTGCTTACTTTCTACCTACTTGTTTATCTGTCTATTAATCTCTCTACTAGCATCACCCGCGTTGTATCTTTTATTGGATGTGTGCTTTTCCATGAAAAGAAAACAGGAAGAAAGAACAAGAATTGGATAGGTTAATGGACGGATATGGGTAATAATGAGTCGTGCGATAAGTAGCGCGGAACAGAGAGAGAGAAAGAGAACGGGGTTGGAAAGGGGAGTATCAAACTGAAAACCATTTTGCATTGTATTGTGAGTAAAGACGATAATGAAATTTTATAGCATTGCAACTTGATTACTTTACTGCCTTGATCTAGATCAGTACTACTTACTATTTACTACTTAGTAGCTGGGGGAGGTGAGTGTTTTGCTACTACTAGTACGTTTAATATTTCTATGGATGTATGTATTTGTATGATATCGAAGAGCTTGTTGGTTTGGTTGCGTCGGTTCGTTTGGGATGTGCTTATAAGATACAATGATATAATGTCCGGTGGCATGTTGGGTATTTGTGTTACGTGGGTAAGTACTAAGTAGGATATCGGTAGGATGGGTCCGAGCAGTAGATGAATTAGTACATAGATAGATAGTTGGTCTCGGATAATAACATATCACGGCATCTAAAAGGAAGAAAACGAAGAGAAAACCCAAGAACCATGTTGGATATCTCAAGCTCAAGGTCAAACGAGAACACAAGCAACCAATCAATGAACCAAGTAAAATCAAAGGCCCAGCCTTGCCTGCCTGAACACCAGTAGTACTGTCACGTATGTACTGTAGATCCGTCTATATGCATGCATGTACCCGAACAAATGAAAAGGGAAACAAGGAAAACAGCAAACAACCAGAACACACTGCCGGCCAATCGACGATGCAAAGTAGAGTCGGTAAACATTCAAGAACGAAAAGATGATGGAGATGACCTGGACGCCCGCTTTGCTGTATTTTGAAGTGTTCGTGCAGAGAACATTATGTTGTCATATGAACGTGAAGAGGAGAGGAATATTCTGCGTTTCAAGAGTGCTTGTTTGTTTACAAGATACGGTATCTATTTGGTTGGTTAGTGATTTGAACATTGGTAAGAAAGATATACAGGGATATAACATACGATCTGAGCAGGTCTTCAAGACTGTCTGCGCTGCAGCTCCGACCCTTCGGGATCTGTCTCAGGATCTCGACGATTGTAGCAAAAACATCGCCGTCCTTGTATGCTAGCAGGGCGGGCGCTTCGATGTGATCCATCTCTGCGATCTCGTGGTGGAGCTTGACGAAGTGGACAGTGGGTTGACGACGAGCAATGGTGTTGAGACAGTCTTCAACAATGCTGCTGGTTGTGGACTATAGAAGCGTCGGGTCAGCGACAACTAGCCTTGACGAGTAGTACACAATTGGGTATAACATACCTCTGGATCATAAACGCAGACTACTACTACTGTGCCGGATGTGACCTTCTCGATAGCATCCAGGTAACCCACCGCATCGACAATATCCACGGAGCCGTACAACTTGCGACGGGGGCTAGGCTTCCTCAGGCTGCGAGCCTGCATTTCCTGCATGCGGGCAGTGCGCCATTGGTGAAGAAACCGCTCCTCATCATCGCTAGCGGAAGATCCATCGGGTGGGGAGGAGTTCTGGAGGAGTGTAGCGTCATCGTTGACGGATTTGTTGTAGTGGGAGCGATCGAGACCAGCGACGCCGAGAAGGGTTCTGCGGAAGGAGCTCTTGCGAGCACGCTCAAAGGCCTGGGCATCGGCGATGACACCCTTGGGGCCAGTGTTGGCGTCGTAGACGGTGTTGGGGACGCGATAGCTGCTGGGGTTGCGGGAGTGCATGGCAGAGGGAGTGTCTTCGGCGTCGGAGAATTGGGGTTCGTCGTGGTCAGAGGATTCGTCAGAGGAGTGAACAGAGTCGTTGTCACGGTCCTCAGGATGAGAAGAGAACTTCTCCCGGTTGATGTTTATGAGTTGGTTGAACTCGTCTTGAGCAGATGACATCGTGAAGGAGGAAGCGGGGGGGTTCCGGGCTTTAAAACAAGGTCGAAGACGATGACAATGTCAATGATATTCTTAGAGCTTGGCTGCGCCTTGATCTGCGTCAACGATGGGGTGCCGCAAGTGCCTAGTTTAATTCTTTTTTGAAATCAAAAAATTTTTGCCTGGTAAGGAGCAGCAGCTGGCGGGGGGGCGCAGAGCGAATGAAACGAGAAAAAGAAGCGAAACCAATGACGAAGGGTCGTATCCAACACGAAAAAAGGGGGGAAAGAGGAGCGTGTCCCAGAGAGTGTTAGTACACGTTTCAGAAATTTTTTATAGTTTTCCTTTCGGTGCTTTTCCTAAGAGAGTGGGAGAGCTAGAGAGTCGATCCAAGGGAAGGTAAAAGGCAAGAGAGGGAGGAAGAGAAGAGAGGCTGAAGGGGGGGGGGAGGAGAGAATGGAAGGAAGTGGCGGGAGATGAAACAATCGAGGCCCGAAGGATGGACGAGGGACGGGCTGCCCGAATGCGAAGATCAGCCAGTAGGAAAAGGGGCGGTGTTTCAGAAATCGGAGATCAGCCCCCGGGGAAAAGAAGCCGCGAAGAACCTTCCATTTCATCATTTTGTTGCCCAGGTGCCATGGTTGACTCCCCAATGGCTGAGGCCATGGTGCGGCTGACCATCTAGTAAGTAAGTAATTATTTTAATTATGTACTGTTTACAAGATCTCCATATCAATGGACAAGGGCTGGAATCAAAGCGAATGGCTAGCTCAACTGTGACTTGGAGTTAGTACATGTGAAAATCGTACCATAGAGTCAACAAAATCCGACACTCTAATTCACCCCACAACGACGTGGGATCAATGTCTTTGCTCTTCCATACTTTTGTCTGTTCCTCCTTGTCTCCCCCCCCCAACCTTCAATTACATCGCGTGATTACATCCTACTCAAAGTTTACCCAACTGATGACGTGGAGTGATGGAGGACACGAAGGATGGAGTCTGCGCAAAGAGAGGGCCAATTGCTTGGATGGATTTTTCCAATGGAAATCAGGATCCTCTTGCTCAGACAACTGGCAGCTCCCCAGTGGATCTTGGAGCATCAGAAGTGTTTCATCGCCATCAACGGAGAAAAAAATCCTGTCGCTCCTCTCCCCCCCAACAAGGACCGCGACACCGCTTCTGGTAAATCTTGCGTTCGACGTGTTCACCTCGGATGCTAACGGTTTGCGCATCGCCCGCGCTGGCCGCCCTTGTGGAGACAACGAGTGACACATCTTTTGGATAGGGCCCCCAGATCCAGTGGCTCCGCCGTCGGGCGAGATCCGGACAACGGCTTCCAAGTTCTGGCCTTCCAGTGAAGACTCGCCCAGCCCTTCCGGTTCACAGCGTCATCCTGACCCGATTGACCTGGCCCCATCCCAGGTGGAGTCCGGAGTCGTTGCCTTGCCTGTTCGACAATTCATTTCCGCGGGCAGATCCTCATCCTGAGAACGGTACGTAAGTAGGTATAGGGCGATAGGTCAGCCGACCCCACGCGTGTGGGAACTATTAATAACTTGGGATATCCCGCATACGCTGGTCCGCTGCCTGGAGGAGTGACCTTTCGGCCGCTGCAAGCTGATCCCAGCGCCCTTTATCTATCGCGGGCATCCTTCCCGGTTTCCTCCAATTGCTATTCCCAGTTCTATCCCAGCTGCCCCGAACCCAAGCAGGGTGGACCAGCAGGAACAGTGACATGACACAAAGCAGGGTCTTTCAAAAGAGAGTTTTGAGCTTTTCCAAAAAAGTATTGCCTGTCATTTGTACTAGTGGCTGCCTAACAACTCTCTGCCACACCTTGGCTGACCACCAGGTCGGGACATAAGAGTGTCGCGGAACATGACATCGTGGGGCGAAACCCCCGAGGGATAAAGGAAAGATTTGCTGGAAACATGGTCGATTTCAACACCAGATATAAAGAAAAAAAAAAGCCCGCTTGAAAACACTCAAATGACACAACCGACACTTTCAAGACGTAGGCTGATGATTAGTAACAGAAGGGGATCGCAGTAAGCGTCAAAAGAAAAACGTCATGGCCTATCCGGAAACATTCCCTCCCTTTCCATCCATCACCCGCAAAAAAGTACAGAAGATAGTGAGTAAGAAAGGTCAGAGAAGAAAAGAGGGGGCAAGAGAAGGAAACAATGAAAAGTGAACAAAAGAATACTCGATCATGGTAGTAATCGAGGTAAGAAATTGAAGAAGAGAACAAGACATCGAAGGAGGGGGGGGATGGGGTTAGTAAGGGTGAAGGGTAAAGCGAGATCGAAAGAAAAAGGAACATAAGTAGAAAGTCAAGCCCGCGAATACATAAGAACAGGGGCCTGCAAATATTCGAAGCTCAAAAGATGACATGTGAGATGCGCTGCCTCTTGCCCAGCAACGCACTGATATCCGTGCAACGATCCCGAGGTCTCAAACATCAATAGCATTATTACAACCCACCGCACCAGTAGTCGAGCATTGTCGGTTCTTGTTGGCATTCTGCTCTTTTCTTGGCTTATTCTTTCTCGTCACACCCAGCTGGGAAAGGCGGCAGAATCCCCAACCCCGACATGTCTAGGCACCCTGACTGCCCCGTGATTTTTTCGTTTCGTGGTAACTTTGCCGGTACTCCGAGATAGTACATTATGGAGCAAGGGCGACAAGATTTGCTCCCGGTGAAAAAGATTATCGTACAATGGCGGACATTTAGCCTAGTGGCGCAGAAAAAGGAAAAAAAGAGAAACTTGGAATGAGGACGTCGCAAAAGACTGAGACAGGGTATCTTTGCTGTTTTTGTTCGTTTTGCTTTTTTACCAAGCCCAGACCTTGAGCTGTAAGACGGAAGACGATTAGTATGCTGCACAGCCCAGTCAACAAAAGTGATGCTCTCGCTAAGCTTACCAGAGAATCCCAGGATCCAGTGCACAAGCTGATGCCATCGTTGCTGACTCCCAGGCAGCTTACGCGGTTCTCGTGACCACTCAGGGATCCAACCTTGTCTCCGCGCAGAACATCCCAGACCTGCAAGTAAAACAAAATCAGCCGGTTGGCCTATGATACGGCGACTTTGGATAATTTCAGGTCTTACCTTGCACTCGAAGTCATCGTAACCAGCAAAAAGCAATCTGCCAGAGACGGAGAAGGCAACGGAGGTGATACCGCACAGTATTTGGTCGCTCTGGAAACATCATTCGTCAGCCACAGATGGATTCGCCATATAAATTGCCAGCATTACCTGGTAGGTGTTGAGTTCGCGATCCGCACGGATGTCAAACAGACGGCAGGAGGTGTCGTCGGAACCCGTTCCGAAAGCGTTTCCGTCGGGGAAGAACTGGATGGCGTTGATGTCGGATTCGTGTCCAGCGAAAGTTTGCACCGCCTTTCCGGTACGAATGTCCCACAGCTTGGCGAAGGCATCACAGGCGCCCGAAACGAAAACGTTCTGGTTTGTCGGGTTGATGCTGATTGACATCACGTCGCCAAGGTGATCAGCGAATTCAGTAACTTTCGAGCCCGATTCGATATCCCACAGCATGCAAGTCATGTCGCCGGAAGACGTGATGATTCTGCGATCGTTGATGAACCGGCAGCAAGAGAGGTAGCCAGAGTGTCCGGAGAGCTCACGCGCGACACGGGTCGGACCCTCGCGAGAGGAGAGGTTGTAGATCGAGCAAATGTTGTCGAGACCACCGCAGGCGACGTAGTTTCCACTCGGGGCATAGGCACAGGTCATGACCCATGATGACCTCAGCGGGATCGCATGGACCTTGTTCGTGGTGTAGGCGTCCCAGATGATGAGCTTTCCGTCCTGAGAGGCTGAGACGAGATGACGGCGGTCGGTCGACCAATGCATGGCGTAGATCTTGGCCAAATGTCCCTTGAGCGTCCGCCGGGGCTTCATACCAATACGAGGCAAGGTTTCAGTTTGGTTCTGCGCGACTTGACGGACTGTTGGGGGGGGGGGAAGAAGGAACCAGAGTCAGCAAATCGAAACACACGACCAATCACCAGTACAACGACGGCTGTTGTCTCTCCATTGCGAGAGGAGAGGCCATGAGGTGCGAAAGGGAAGAGGGAAGCGTACGAGTCGTATCGGCCAACTCATCCTTTCTGCGCTTGATCTTGTCCTTCAGGCCTTCGGCTTCGCGCCTAGCCGCGGTAATCTTAGCCTGCATCTGTTCGCCGGACATGTCGGCCATCTTGACGGAACAAGCCCCTGGAGAGGGAAGATGTCAATTGTGAAACGGAGGACGGGCCTGAGGGGGAGAAATTGAGTTGACGGCGGGCGGCGGCGTCGTGAGATCCAGGGGACTGAAAGAACCGCGAGAGGGGAGTGCGGGAAGAGGGCGGTAGGGGGAGAGGAATGGAATAGAGAGAGGGAAGGAGAAGGAGTGAGAGAGAGGGAACGAGGAGGGGGGTTGATTGGGTGTGGAGCGAGAGCACGGCGGAAGCGACCGAGCGAGAGCAAAGAAAGTTTCGACCCGGGGCAATGGTGAGGTGGTTCGGGCGTTTAAGTCAGCAGGGGGGGGAGGGAAGAAGTGTAGTAGTTTAGTTAGTAGTAGTAAGTGTGGGAAGGAGGGGGTGGGTTTGGTTGTAAGTAAAGTGAGTGAGTGAGCAAGAAAGCAAGCAAGCAATCAACTGCTGAAGCAGAGAGAGCACGAGGTGGTGGTGATCGGGATGGGATAGGATACGATCTTGGTAAGAGAAAAAAAAATTAAATTACGATAGAAAAAACAGAGGGAAAGGGGGAAAGAGGGAAGAGAGAGGAGGAGCCTGACGGACGGAAGGGCCAGAGAGGGTAAAGACAGGGAAAAATCCAGTTGATGACAAGCAGTTAAGATGGGAGGTGGTCGTAGTAACTCCGTCGTAGCGCCAATAATAATGATGTATGGCCTCACCAGACTAAAGTCGTGCCTTTACCTATCGGGGCTCTGATGGCTGCTACTAGGCGCGGCTTTACGGACGACGACCGCGGACTACTCCTACGCCAACAATACACACAAGACCACAGCGACCAGAGTTCAGGATGGGAGGGGATGAGATGAGATGAGATTGCATTGATGTTACTCTATTGCGGCGGTGGTGGGCGGCGATAATATGGGTTGGTGATCCTGGCTGTGAGACAATACCAATTATTCAAGAACACTGCCACCGAATCGGTTCACAACAATAAGACTGTGTGCCAGGAGCAGCAGCAGCAGCAGATGATGATTATCGGAGAACCGGTTAGTGAATTAGTTAGGGGGAGCTCCTCTCTCTCTCTCTCTCTCTCTCTCTCTCTCTCTCTCTCTCTCTCTCTCCAGGAGGATCGGGGAAAGAGACAGACAGAGAAAGAGAAGAGGAGCCTTAGCCCGGAGCCTCCTGATGAAAAAGCCAAATCCGGTGGAGGTTTAGGTTACCTACTTGTGACAATACGAAACCTTACCCGGCCGGCCCTTCATTCACCAGAAAGGGAACGTGCCATCCCTGATTGGCCAGACCAGCAGAAGAATTGGTCGAGTCGATTTCAGCCGGTCCATCTTGTTCTCTTCGTTACATTACCCAGGGGTAACTTATCTCCTCGTTGGGTTTTAAGGGGAAAATCAGCAGGAGAAAGGCACTACCACGACCACTAAGTTAGTAGGCTAAGTAGCTCCAAGTACGAAGTGCCCAGGTAGGTAGGTACTCCGCCAAATGGTCCCAGGTCTCCATAAAGGCCACTAAGGGGGAAAAGTGGTCTACACCCTGGTCAACCTGGTGGAGAATTTCTGCTGCCATTCCCCTCTGGTTGGCCAGATCGTCGACAAGTGGAGGTGCTCGGGACGCGAAAACCACAGGGGAATTTCTGAAAGGGGGGGGGGCATTTCATCGAATTAGTTGGGATTATTCTTCCGGGTCTTCCTTCAGACTGAAATAGGGGACTCTCATAGTCCGTGGTAGAGTAGATATCCATCTACTAGTAATCTCCAGCAGTTGAAGGAATCTTCATGGAAGGTTTTTGTTGTAGGACAGGGTTCACTAGACACTACATAGTACATAATCTCTACCGTTGACACTTGACATCTGCCGATGCTCAACTCCTTGCCCACGGGGCAAAGTCCGACAATGCATGAATCGCAGTTAGCTCGGGTTGGATATCCACAAGGATTGGTACCAAAAATACGCGAATTGCTCTCTGCATGCCGAATGGCGGTCCATCTAAGCCTTGCACGAGTCGTCCCCCCTTTCCCAAGACTACTTTAACCGGTAGCAAAGAGGAGAATGCTCTGGTTGCAGATCATGGTCATAGCTAGATAACGTCTACTTTACGGTTCACCTTGCCTGCCTCCTGCAGAATCGAGTATCGAATCCGGGATGAATTGGGACTCCGACGGAATTCAAGGTTCATTCCACATTTACTCCGTACTGCATGTTGCTTCTGTCAACTAATACAGTCTATTTTGAGACACACCATTTTTCACGGGCCTTGGAGGCATAGATCTTATGTTTTATTGTTCCAGGTTGTCAAATCTTTCCGATATGGCCTTGCAAAAAAGAGATCGGTATAGGTGATGACGAATATCTAGTGGATTAGTTACCCGCTGCATCCTTCGAGACTATTAGAGCCGTATCGGTTTTCAACCGGTCTCGCAAGATATGCATTATGAGATGTAAGCTGAAGCTCCAGCTTCGAGCTGTGCATACCGTGCAGCAATAATCCCTTGTGCAGATTTGATAGGCGTTGAGCCGAAAGCCAAGCGGGGATGGATTATTGCGATGGCTGGGGCAAATGCAAGTCAGAGGTTATTCTCCATTCCGCTTGTTGGCCAAACATCGGAATTTACTGAGTGCTTAGTAACCCGCTCAGACATTGGGTTAGCACAGAGTAGTAGACCATAAATCCTGCTATTATCCGCAGTGAACAATACTATTGCTTTAATTTTCACTGGCTTTAGCTTCTGTAGTTTGACCTGTTGCTGAGGGATGTGCCGGACCGGGTAGTATCTTGCACCTTCATAGATTTCTCGAATTCATTGTGCGGCAGCGAGCCAACTCTTGTCCGCAAAGCGGAGGCGCCTACTGGTCATTTAATCTATAGCGTTGGAGACGGTAATATCCACCTACGTCAGGTTCCCGAATCTTATTGCCGACTGCAGCTGCATGGCCTCTTCATTTATCACGGCATAAGTTCGGCATGCTCATCCTGAGTGATATATCACAATTACGCCAAGGGTACCCCGGTGAATCATTTCCGACTGTCTTTTGTAGGGTGTCTCAAAAGACAAAAGTTCCAAAAGACAGGAGTTGCACCGGATGACTCGTGAGATTCGCAGGAAGATGGATAGGTATGGTCAGTGTGCGTTGAGGCGGGTCTACCTTCGGAAGGGAAATTGGTCACCGCTTGTTGTCTAATTAGATGCCTATCGACTATCGACAGGAGGTCCAATACCAAGGCAGATATGGGGCGGGTATTGCTGTGTACGGCTTGTCCACCTGGAGAAAGGCGCTCCACTGGAGGGAGGATCGCTCAACCTGTGCCTGACTAGCCCATCCGATGCCCCTCCGCGGAAGGTCTTCATTTATCGGAATTATTAATGATACTGTCTAGTCGCATTCGTAAAGAAGCTGCTGCTGCTTATTAATACCTGGCCATGGCATTTGTCTCCTGATGCCTTGCCATCCGCAGCAATTGTTTGTTCCCCCAAATTTGCTTTGACGGCTTGGGCAGGTAAGATGTACCATGCAACCCTAAGCCCTTTATTGTTTCTGCCTACAATAAATTCAAGTGGGTCTCTTAAATTTGCTTTCATGTTCTGACCTTCCTGGGTAGATCGAGCTTCTCGTAATCATACACACAGAAGATATAGTTTCCATAACACCATTGCTCTGTGGGCGCTGGTATCATGAATTTAGTTGCTCCTAACTTACTTGTCAGTGCACGACTGTTCATTGGTTCTATGGGTGTAGTTCAGATCGTGACGACCCACTGCATTATGATTTATAAATCTCATGCAGAGTACCCTCTTCATGCAGATTACTACTACCTGCATGCTAATAAAGCAATACATCATTCCCTTTGCAGGAATATACATTGAATTGCTGCCCGGTGCAGCGCCTCATGCCGGGGCCGAGGCTATGTCAAATCGACTAGTACCCAGTATGTACTGCAATATAAAAGTCCGCCTTACGGATGACACCTTGTGCTACTGCGGTGTACCAAGTTCGCACAGCGGAGTTAGATGTCCGAGAAAGCGCCAAGGCACAGATAGTAGAGCAATCTAGACAAGGCTAGTTAGCGATCCTGATTTCAAATATAGAAAAGAAGGTGACGGGACGGCTGTCTCTAGTCCCCCGGAGATACCAGGGCGGTTCGATTTCTGACACTACAGATCTCGAACACATAGGCGAATTACTAGCTGCTTGTGTCAATTATAGATATAGGCTCAACGCGACGACCGAGCGAAACATGCATGTCAGCCCATGTTGATGTCGGCAACTAAGCAATCACATCATGATACAGGCTTTCCAGCGAAAGTCTCCTTCCAGAAGCACCCAGCGCTAACTAGAGCTGTTCTATATATAGCCAAGGCTGACTCTCCCATCAATCACAGACTCAAACTCATCGACGATGAAACTGAACCCTTCACACTATCTGGGGGATAAGCAAGCTAGTTCGCAGCATCTTCAGCCCGCTCGATGCATGTGGGTGTATCTGGAAGCTCCATGATCGTGCGTGATTCGTCCGGACCGGCATTGGCTTCTTCGTGGGCGGTTAATGCTGGGTATCTTGTCCGCAGCGGTTCGCGCCTAGATGTGCCTGTGTTTCTAATCATAGAATGTGACGGACTGTCTGTGCGCTTTGTGATAGAGGGGTAAGGGGAGGCTTTGATTGTTGATTGCTTGCCAGATTTTCCAGGACAATGATGACTGACTGATTTGACCCGTGCCTCTCAAGTTGTGAGGATGGCCTTGATTTCTTCACAAGGACTGGTTGATTAGCCTTAGGACTCTAGCAGGGGTGTCTACCAACGACATCTACTACTAAACACACTAAGTATCCTGCAAATCTAAATATATCATCCGCCAGAGTAATAACACAGGAGATTAAGTTGAATTTGATGATTGCTCAGTCTTTCTCTTTACTACTATCTCGATATCCCTATCCATATCTATCCGCGGGTAAAGAACTATCTCATGCGAAAACCAGGAGATAAATGACACATAATAAGGGATAGAGATCGCGGAAAGATAGCCAAATCGGATATTACCAAATTATCAATAATGACTGAAAATCAGAAACACATTATTCCTATGAAAGGGATACCAATCATGTCGCACGGTCCCATACAATAAGATAAACACACCCTTCTGCCCCCTGGGATGATAGCCCCTAAAGGGTCATGACGACCGGTGTACCTGGGGGACTTAGCGTTGTAGTCGTACCACCAGCGACATGAAGGGGGGGTGAACTCGTGACCAAGGCCGAGAAAGAGACTATAAGATGAGTATTCCAATGTTCTTAACCACTTCAGTCATATGCAGGACCACCGGTGGGTGCTCGGGCTGGTCATTGCTCCTGGATCTACGCAGGACTCCGCTTGTTCTGGTAAATGGGGACCGTTCGAGAAGATGGGTTATGCGCGCGACCTTGGGGGCACTGTCCGAAAAGCGACACCGTGCTATTACTGTAGATATGAAGTTTGGTTGACCAAGGGAAAATACCACTGGGGAAGTCTAGGACTGTGTAGCAAAGAAAGTCACCAGGTAGATCTTCAGTCAGAAGGGGGTCAGGTTGTCGGATGCTGAATTCGGTGGCAAACCCCGAGAGGCAGAGGAAGAACGCCGAAGGAAATTGGTCATCACGGTCGTAAGGGCGCAAAGACGCGGCACAATATCGCTCATACTTGTCGGTTCCGCGATGGTCCAAGTTGATAGATATAATTTCCGGGCGAGAGAGGACCTGGAGAAGATCCCTGTTTTTTTAGTAAATCCGAAGGAGGGAGCAGGACACAGGGAGAGCGAAAAGAGAGGCAAAAGGGTGGCGGGCCAAAAAGCCTGGAGGACGAAACCGCCTGACACGGCCAGCGTTGGTCTCTCCGCTTTCGCTTTTCCAGTCCGACCTTCTCTCCTCCTCCTCTCCTCCTTTCGATCTCAACTTCCCCCTCGGTCGCCATTTTCATTCACCCTTCGCCTTAACCCCAAGTGCCTTTTCGCGGCATCATCCAATTTAACTTGGCCTATTTCCGCAGTCTTTCCCTAGCCTAATCTCAGTCCCTGCGTCTCGCTTCCCCCCCGTCTTCGTCGACGCCTACTCTCCTTCCGTGATTCATCGTGGCCGCCAGGCTCTGACGGACCGGGTCTTGGCCTGAACAATCCTCTCTCCCCTTTCACGCCGCTCGTCTATCGTTCTACGATCTCCTGTCCCATCCTCCCGTCCATCAGCCTGCTCAACAGCACCCTCTCATTGTTCACTATTGTACATCTGACTCAGACTTGATGACGGGAATATAATCGATACGGATTTCGCCTCAGACTCAATTCTCCTTTCCTCGTTTCTTCGCCCGGTCACGTTCCTAACCGTCGATCTTCCCATCTCACCATAGGGGCTGGAGTACATCACCCTTGATCGAGATATCACTTCCTCCTCTTCAACCGACCGGTCTTCATCCCGTGTCAGATATCCATCCTCTCGCCCACCATGCGGGAGGTCAACTTCAGCATCCCAAATGTCAACAAGGCCTCTGTAAATATCACAACCACCCTCTACGACCGGCGTGCCTTGGATTGCACATCAACGCTACCACTCATTAACTCACTCAATCATTTGGCCTACCTCACCACATCATCAGCCCGAATCCGCGATATTCTGACCGTCGATGGCGGCATCGAACGGCTGGTATGTATCCTTAAGGAGGGCCGGAGTCGGGATTTGATGGAGATGTGGAAGTGGAGCCTCGCCTTCCAATGTGTTGTCAATATTGGTGTGCGGGGCTCGGAGAGTGTGAGGACTCGAGTAGTCGAAGCCGATATGGTGCCAGTGATTGCCACCATACTTGATAACTATATTAAAGTGGTCGAGAAAGCCCGCGCACGGGCGGATTCAGAAAGTCAGAGACATTCGTCACGACACCACTCCAAGGCTGCACCCATCAGCAGCGACGCCCCTTCGCGTCCAGTGTATGTGGACCAATCGACAAACACCGAGCAACGTCCTTCTCGCCGCCAGGCGCCACCGCCTCACATTGAAATTCCCCCTTTCTACCAAGACAGCCATGCCTCGGACTCGAACGCCATGGACATCACCTCGTCCCCCCGGGTGCCTGTGACCTCCCCACCGGAACGGAGCACCTTTGGGCAGGATGCCCATAACCTTAGATCCAATGATACCCGCTATGCCCATGCTGCTCACCGCTACCGGGTGATGCAGCCCCTTGCCACTGCCCTTCCTCCCATGGATGCAGCCGATGGCTTTGGCTTGCGCCCCGTGCGCGACACAGAGAGGCTGCCCAGCATGCTTCCTGGCTTCCAGAATGGCCTTGCGTCTCAGCCCGACTCCCCAACCACTCCCAGCGGTCCTGCGCAGCTGCGCAGCAACACACAAGTCGCTCCCGCCCGACCACGGCCTACCCTGAGGCAACAGCAATCAGCCTCTGGTGAGTCGGATGATGGAAACGGCGAGGGCTCGACTCTGGGTGACGACCCGGGTTCTGGAGAGACAGCTGAGCCAATCGTTGGCATCCAAAATCGTATGGAGATCGACGATGACGGCGACAGGCAAACTGTGCTGGAAGGTGTTTCCAACACGCACGACTTGACTGTTAATGATACTTCCGAAAGCCAGGAAGCCGAGACATTCAACATCACCCACCGTTCTACTGTGGATGGCAGCATGATTAACAACGACGCAACGCGCACGAATGGGGCTTTGGGCCTTTCACCCACGCAAGCCCCTAATACTGCCAACTCGCCTGCTGTTGTTCCCAGCCCATACTCACTGTACGTGCGTGACCGATCAACCACAGCCGTCCAAGGCGTCTTGACGACGATGCCTAAGGATGAAGATGTCCTCATGTCGCTTCAGCTCCTTGCCTATGTGTCCAAGTACTGCAACCTGCGGTCTTACTTCCAGCACTCCCACCTCGTCCCTAAGCTCAAGGTTGACCGTGAGCTCCAAATGTTGGAGGATGGCGTATCACCCATCGAACCTGCAGAGGAGGAAGATGAATACCTGCTTCCGGACGATGTCAACATCTTCCCCTTGGTGGAGAAATTCACGGTTCGCCACCACTCCAAGGACATGCAATACTGGGCATGTGTGGTGATGCGGAATCTCTGCCGCAAGGACGAGTCGAGAGGCGGCATCCGGCAGTGCGCATACTATAAGTGTGGAAAGTGGGAGGAATTCCAGCGACAGTTTGCAAAGTGCCGGCGCTGCCGCCGCACCAAGTACTGCAGCAAAGACTGCCAGAAGGCAGCGTGGGTGTATCACCGTCACTGGTGCCACACCACGCCATGATATGAACGCATGAAACTGTTTAATACCTCTAATGCATACCGGCTTGCATAGCGTCGTATCTGTCATCTGTTACCATTTCGTCATTCCGTTTCGTTTCCGAGGGTTTCACGTCTACCCGTGCATGGCATTTCAAAACCTGGCGGCGTTGCTCTTCATCCCAAAGATACCTCTTGTATGTCGTCGAATTTTATTCATCACATTTCGATTTTTTTTTTTTTTTTTTTTTTTTTTTTTCAACCTGTTTGATTAACGCGGGGCATAAAGCCTGATTCCCGGTCATATGGATTGATACTAGCGGTCATGAATGCATGCACCTTTTTACTTATCTTGGATTGTTGTTCTGTCTCCTATTTCATCTTCCTCTCCGTCATTGTTCGAGCCCCTAGTTCCTCTCCGTCCTGACGCCCGACGATTTTCTTTTGTGAGTAGCCCGATCTATCTAGCATTGTGAACCAGCTCTCCCCCACAATCTTTCTGGAGCGATTTCTTTGGGCATTGTGATTACCTCTTTTGCTTGTTGTTGCGAAGATGAGGCTGGGCCGGAGCAGGGGCTATGAGCCCGGGTCCGACTTAGCCAGTTGGGTTGTGCATCATCATTGGAACCTGTGCATACACGAGCGGCCTCGTATGAATTGGACGGTGGCTATTGAATATCTAGTACGTATTCACTTGACACTTTCTCTCCCACCAACCACCTTAACCTAAGTAAATTCAAGCCTCTCCTTCTTTCTCCCTCCGAAACCCGTACGTAGCATCCAACCTGGCCATCAAATGTTCCTGCGCCGTCAACGCCCTCTTCCCCTCCTCCAACATCCCCGCCCCACCTCCAAACCCAACCCTGACTCCCCCATCTCCCCCCTCCTTACTCTTACCCCTCCTAAACTCCTCCACAACATTACTTGGCACGGGCACCAACTCCGTCCGATCCAACGGATGACAGAAATACACAATACTATACCGATCCTGCGCGTTGGGCCTCTGCTGCTCCGACACGGGGAATACCACCCTGTGCACTGTACTCTTGAGCAATCCGTCCGTCCAGTAACTGAGTAAGTCGCCGATGTTGACGAGGATGGGCGGGAACGGGTATTCGCTCCCTTCTAAGCTTGTAGAAGAAGAAGAAGAAGACCTAGGGATTACAGGAACAGGCGCCCACCCTGCCCCATCTGGAGTGAGAATCTCCAATCCTGGCTGTCCCGGGCGCTGGAACAACAGCGTGATGGAGCCGTAGTCGCTGTGGGCGCCGGCCCGGACGTCGGTTTTGTGTGAGTAGGTTGAGGTCAATGGGGAGGTTATGCTGGGGTAGAAGAGGTAGCGCAGGATGCTGCCTGTTGGGCCCGTGGTGGGGTCGTGGCGGGTGGTGAAGAAGGTGGGGGGGATCTGGATGTTATTGTTAGTTTTGTGATTTATTGATATTGTATTGGGGCTGGCTGCTTACGCCGAGTCCCAGCGCCAGGAGGGTTAGGATCCGAGTGCAGGTTTTGTTGCAGAGAGAGGCGAATTGGGCGATTTCGGTTTCGTGGGGGATTAGGGATGCCGGGAGGGGTTGTTGGGCTTTGTTGTTGTTGGTGAATTCGCCGAAGTTGAAGGCTCTATTGATTATTTAGTGTTAGTAGGTTGGTGATGGGTGTGGTGGGTGGTGTAGATGGATGGTATACTCTTTGAAATCGCCGGTCTGTGGGGGCGTGGTTAGTGATTGGTATACTATGTTGATAGATGGTGAATGTATGCTTACTCGCTGATGCTCCGGATCCAGGGTCTCGGAGTGCATGCCAGACCAGCCGCGGTTCTGAGGAGGATTAGATGTTGATTTCTACGGCATTGTAGATAGTTGGGTGGAGGTATCACGCACGTTGGGTTCAATGCGACAAGCGGCCTTTTCTTCAACCGGGGATGCGAAGAACTTCTTGGACTGTAATCCACTATATTAGTATACGATGTTTGAAGTTATGGCAAAGGACACACCAGTTCAAATGCACGATCCACCTCCGCGGTCGTAAAGTCGGTCCCTCGGCTGTCGACATACAAAAAGCCATACTTGGTGGCAGCTGCCAGAAGGGCCTTCCCCGCCTCCGGATCGAGGGGGTTGGAGATGTCCAGCACGGGCAGCTCGATGGGAGGGCCAACGTCAGACATGTTGCTGTTGCCTCAGATGTATGTGGAGGGATATTGGAACAAGGATAGAAACAGATTTCGTAGAAGTGGAGATGACCACGACTTTATATAAGGGAATGCGACGTTATCGGACAGCTTGAATACTACTACTTTATTTGTATCAGTGACACTCAATGCGGGTCGAGCCGATGGGCCAGCCATTGGCCCACCAAACCCTCAGGCTTCGGGTCCGCGGCCGTGGCTATCGGCTATCGATCGAATCGGGTCAAATGGCATGATTAAACGCCGGTGATTCTATTTGAAATGCGAATTCGGCTGGTGGGTTGCTGTTGTCTGTAATGCTCTTGCCGAGGATGTGTATCTGCAGTCATGCAGGGTTGTCTACTTTATATTGACGGACATTCGCCAGTGCCATTACCTTTTCATAGCTGCTTGACTGCAGATACCATAGCTTATAACGTTCCAGTGAGTACTGACCAGTACTATTTAGACAGGGTGTTCAGTTCTATCTACTCTGATACAAAGAGAGTGAGTGCAGTGAGAGGGTCTAAGATATGACTCAATGAAGAGGGTAAGCCCCACTACCTGTGCTGCAATTGCCATAGTTACCATTCGGTTGTGTGGACATGATGGGTACATAATATAGCATAGAGGTTCATCTATCAGTGCTTACATCTGCCAATCACATAAATCATATAATCCTCACCAGGCATGATACAAACGCCATTGATGGTGTGCAGCAGTATCTTGTCGGCAGGAGGCCGTTCCTTTCGCACATGGATGTGCAACTAAGTGTTTAGCATCGATGGTGACAAAAAAGCGCATGGATCATGCACAGAAGTCTTACTATGTAAGCCATGCGGATAGGAATAACGCGTGCAAGATATATACGAATCCGCCACAAAGAAATATACTTTCGTCAACTAGTATACTAGTTGAAGAATGACACAGAAAAGTGCTACCACTGTGGATAAATAGTTATACAGTAGAGATTAATAATATATCATACTCATTTACTGAACTCAAGTTCATGGCAAGAACAAAGTGTTGGTGGAAATAAAACAAGTACCAGCATGCACCCGCTGAATGCATTCCGCGGGACGTTGACACATTTATACTTCAGAGACAATGCATTCACCGCAGACCGTTCCAAGGTGACAGTACAACCAAACAATCGGCTTTCTATCACTACTATTTCATACTCCCACATAGTCCGAGCAATCAGTATAATGTAACAATTTCCATAACTGACCAACAATCCATACAACCATCTCCAACCACAATCACAACCACTGCCTCAGGCACCACACCTTCCAACCCAACGCCAAGACCCAATCCCCGTAAACGCATGGCACCAAACCCAAAGCGGCATACAGCATCGCCCTCCATCTTATATCACCATCATTAAACTTACCTACTAATCGCCCTCCTATACTCCATACTCCCTTACTACCTCACATACAACAACAATCACCCCCACAAAACAATCCCCTCACAGACACCTAATACAAATACTCCATATCCACCTCATCCAACCCAAGAAATCACCAAACCAAAATGTCCGAATCCACCGCCGAAGCTGTCCCTCCCCCACCAACAACCTCAACTCAAGTACGCCCCATCCCTGCTACTTAGTACCCGATGGAAAAAGATACCCACGAACGAAACAGCGCAGCTAACAGCCTTACCTTGATGTTAGAACTCCGACGCGCAAGGCCAATTCTCCGCCGCAGTGGACGATCTTCTCGACCAGCTACAACATAAATTCGATGGTGTTTCGCGGGAGATGTTTGGGAAGTGTACGTCTTTATCCTTCCTTCTTATACTTGTTGATCTGAGAGAAGTGAGCGCTGATATTTATGGGTATCTGGACAGTGGACGATATGGCGAGACGGTTGGATGAGTTAGAGGCTTCGTTTACGGTTGTGGATGGGACGACGACGTCCGGGGCTGGTGGTGGTGGTGCTTCTGCGTCGCAGACGGGGACGGGGTCGGTGGTGGGGAGTGCGGCTGGGAGTGGGAGTCCTGAGAAGTGATTGATCAAATGATTGAGAGTTAATCTTGTGGGATTTGCTTGGGGTTATGGTGTTATCGGACTTGGGTTTCTGTTCATATTTGGGGTGGTTTCCTCTTTCGTTGTCTATGAATTAGGGGGTGATGGTGATATATACTGCTGAGTTGTGGTGATTTGAGGTGGAATGTGAAGATACGCTTTTTACTGTCAATTTACATCTACTATATACTCTTATGTTCTTGTGTATACATACATGGGAATGGGAAATGGATGGTTTACTGTTCGCATCGATAGCATTCTCATAACTGCCTCTTGATATCATACAGAGTAACAGAAACTAGGTGCCTATACCCTAGCTAAACAAGTCATAATCCATACAATATCTACAGCTCATCCTTGGCCTCCTTCTCCTCACCAACAAACTTGCGAAGGATGTTGCTGCGGGAGATAAGGTCATCCACCTTCTCAGGGGCCGATCCACCCTTGGCCAGGATCTTCTCCAGACGAGCAAGCTCCTTAGCGGCATACTCGGCGTTCTGGCTCAGCTTGTCCGCAACCTTGACGTAGTACTGAGCGTACTTGTCCTTAAGCTCCGTAGCAGCCTTCTTGACTGCGGCGGCCAGGTCAGCAGCAGAAGTGCTGGCAATCAGCTCGTCCAGGCTAGCAATGGTGCCGGCCTTGGTGTCGAGTCCGCCGCCAACGGTACGGTGGGTGCCGGTCTTCTCGTTGAGGAAGTCAATGAAGGCCTGCTCAGAGCGGGCACCCTCATAGGGAACAGATTCCGTAGAGCCCTTGGGGAAGAACTTGATGGTGGGGTATCCGGACACGCCCTGCTCTCTGGCGGTGGCCTTGCCGTTCTCAGCGTCGGCGTCGACCTTGGCGATCACAACGTTGGGCTCGAGGACGAAGTCGTTGGCCAGGGCTTCCCAGGTAGGAGCGAGGTTCTTGCAGTCTGTTTTAAAAGGCCGTAGTTAGTGATTTGCTTCTAGAGCGGGAACGATGAAACGAGGATACTCACGTCCACACCACGGCGCGGTGAACGCAACCAGAACATCATTATCGCCACCAACAGCGCCCTTGAAAGTCGCGTCGTTCAGCATCTCCACCTTGCTGGGCTCCTTCTTAGGACCACGGGGCTTGACGCCCGTCTTCTCAGAGATGAACGAAGACAGACTCTCCAAATCACGACCACCCTTGTAATCCTCCGGCTCGTCACTCTTTCCGTCGAACCACTTTAGCGTGGGGAATCCCTGGACACCGAACTTGCGGCCCAAGTCGCGGTGCTCGTCCGCATCAACCTTGCCGACGGTGACCTTGTCGGAGGCATGGGCGAATGCCTGGCCCAGCTCTTCATACACGGGCGCGAGGTTCTTGCAGTGGCCGCACCAGGGAGCGAAGAATTCAACCAGAGCGGGCTTGCCGGACTTGAGGACGACGTCGTCGAAGTTCTTGGGGACGAGATCGACCACTGCTGCGGTGACCGCGGAGGCCAGGCCGAGGCAGCTCACGAGATTGCTGAGACGGACCATGATGGATGGTGTGGTTTTGGTTTAGGGAGAAGTAGAAGCAGGGCGATTGACAATGTTACTTGTCAATAGCAAATGGTCCTGTCCGTTCAGCGAGGGAAGGGGTTGTTGCTGGGCGGAGTGTAGATATAGTCGTATGAGCTCCCGGCGTGGAAGGCGGAAGCGCTGCGGAGACCGAGCGGGTCAAAGAGGACACTTGGTAAGTTAAGCATCACTAATCAACTTCAGCTTGATCAGCGGCTTTACGGCTAAATATAATCCTGTATTTGCCACTACGCTCCCTTTTCATGGGTTCTGGCTATGATGGGGGGATGATGTTACTTCATGTAGCGCCTGTCAGCCCCTTTGATTCCTAATTATACAACGTGGCTGGAGTAGAATCGGGCGAAGCTTTCAGGTGGTTCTGGACCACCCCAGTAGACACGACTGCCATGGTTCGTGAAGTCGTGGTCATAAGTGTTGTTTCCTCTGGTCCTTCTAGGAGGATACTCTACACCAGTCCCTTACCGCCGCTCGGCCAACCAGCGGTTTGCATCTTCCCATTGCTTGCCCTCCTTGAGTTCCTTGCCCGCGCTCTGCGTACCGCGGTATACCTAGGAAGCAAATGAGTGAGAGGCCGGAGAAAAGATTGCTGGGTAGTACTCACCGCATCCCACAGCTTGAATGCCATGTCCAGATTGCCCGTAAAGCTGTCACTATGCTGGAACCATTCCTTGCCCTTCGATTTCACTTCTGCCCGCGCCTCTGGCGATGTGGGATTCGCTTGCAAGGGCAGATCATCAAGGTAGGTACGGACAGCAATTCCAAGCCCACAGTCGTTGTCGTCGATGAAGGGGAGCCTATATTGCGTCAAATCACGTCGCATTGGCGCACCATGTCCACATGTTCACTTACTTGATGCTCATTTCGCCCCAATCGTTTCGGTCCCGGTCAGCATCACCGCTCAGGAGCAGACTGGCCAGGACAACCTCAATGAGCGTCCGTAGCGTAGAACGAACCTCGGAGATCAGGGATCGGTAGCAGAGCAGTTGCCGGCTTAGTGGGCCAGAATAACCGATGCTCTTGTGCTGGAGTTTGGCGATGCAAGCAAGGCGGGAAACAAGCATGTTAAGGCTTTTATCCTCGTCTGGGGTGGACTAGATCAGCATTGTTTTATGGCCACATAAACCTGCAATCTTACCTGATCCTCTCATGGGACCCCCGGAAACATGGGAGAACCACTGCTTGGAGTTGAGCAGGCCAAACCTGATCATCTCAATGGCAAGGAACGTTGGCTCCTCAAGCGCATCGGCTGGATCAAGTCCCGACAATGCTTGCTCAAGGCATACTCCCCACTGGGTAAGCCGATGTTTCTCATCAATATATCCACGAAGCTGTAGGAAGCGCCAGAAGACATTGGCAAGCAGCTCATCTTGTGACGATAATTGCTAGCATGTGTCAGCTCACTCGCTTGCGACCTGGGGCAGGGGACGCCTACCTTGCTGTCTTTCGTAGCCACGGACTTCGCGACAAAGTCACTGTCTTTCAAGCTCTGGACAGCAAATTGGAAACGTCCACATGAGCCCTAATCTCTGGTTAGCAGCGCTTACAATTAAAAGCGAAGAATTAACTTGCCTGAAGTTTCCGCAGACTCTCTGGAAGCTGCTCGGTGGAAATCTTCCAAGACTGGATCGAATCCTTAACTGAAGGAAGGTCTCGGAGGTTAATGGTCGAGGGTGATTTCTCATCAAACCACGTCCGCACGTTAATGACCTTGGTTTGATAGAACCGGTGGAGGGAATTCGACAGCAGGCAGATCGACTGAGTCCTGATGGGTATGAGGGTGCTGCCGGCGACTTGGCGGTAGATTTCCGTGTCCTCAACGCCCAACGGCAACGAGATGAGGACTTCACCCGACGTCAAATAGTTGGGCACATCGGGACCCAGAATTCCCTTGGACAAGTAGAAGTAGAGCTCCTCTGGGAGGCGAAGGCCGATCACCGCGTGCATATCGGACGAAGCATTCTCCTGGTCCATGGGACCTACTCTGCCGTCAACATCGATATAAACATGGTGTTTCACAGTCATGCATGCGCGCTTGTAACGATCCGTGTATTCGAGCTCCTGCATTCGGCGATCCTCTTCGAATTGAGCACAGAGGGCCAGTGCGCTTCGTCCTGCCGCGTTGAACATTGGCAGAGCATCCCGGACGGTAGGGTTCTTTCCAGGGAAAACATGGGTTTCGAAACCAGGGAAGGGCTGAAGGAAGGAAGAGCCTAGAAGAAGGCAAAAGTCCAAAAACTGATCATTTGATAGGCGGCCTAGTTCTTCCAGACATGTCTGTTTGTTGATCCAGAAAAATTGCGCCGGGTCAATCTCAATGCGGGTGATCAGTTTATCCACGTCGAACATCAACACTTCGGAGGGACCGCAAATGGCATCGATCAGCGGGTTCGGACCCTTGGCCAGGTAGGAGAGCTATAGAACACAAAAGTCAGAATGGCGCAAAATGGAGCCAACCGAGGCAGCGGCATTCGTACCTGAGCTGCAGCACTGTAGGGAGCAACGATGTAATCCACGCCATGTTGAAGAAGAATGCGCTGCAAGAACCGGTATAGCGACTCGGGTCGAGGGGTGCCTAGGGCAGACGACAGTCAGGGACAGACGCTCCAGAAAGTCAGGATTCCACCATGAACATACCGGCGCTGCTAAACGCATCCACCACTTGATCCGCCTGCTGTTGATCGTAAAGATCCCAGGCCTGCTCGAATGCCCGGACCGACTCCTGCTGCACGTGGGGTCGTTGATCCTTTTTGCCAAAGTCGAGACCGTTGAACACGAAGATACATGCCACGCCCAGATCCTTGTACGCTTTCAATTCTCTTTCAATATTGCTCTTCAGTGCGAATGGAAAGCCGCCGAGGGCGACCAGAAGGGGCTCGCGCGTGGACGGTTGGAGGAGGTGTTGAGAAATGTAGTGCGACGCATCGATACCGACAACCGCCCCTTTGAGAGCTGAGAGGGGGAGGGACTGGGTGCGGGTCGCGGCCCATTCATCGAGCGGACGGACTGTTGCAACGGCGAGACTCTATTAGCTTGAAAGAAGACGAGGCACAGGAGCTCCGCGGGAGCCACGACCATAGCAGACTCACTTGGCATGGTTTTAGCTGTAGCTGTGTCGCGGAGATAGACGCCGGAGCGGACACCAGGCGTGGAGAGCCCAGGTGGGGAATGAGGGAGAGGAGGATATATGAAGAGTAGGGACGAGGATGATGAGGAAATGAAGAGAGCGAAAGAAATTGAGGAGAGGGGAGGGAAGGAGGAGGGGGAGGAGAGGAGGGCCGGCGAGAAACCAACAGCTGAAAGAGAGGGGAATGAATTGTGAGTGATGGGATGATGCGATTAATTGAGCACAAGTTACAGCTTGAAGCCAATCACGAGGGCGGTGTTGCCCGGGCCAACTGGCGGATCCTCACTACGCTGCGGGACATGTGTAGATGGTTTACTTCTCCCTCTTCTTCAACTTCAACTTCTACCACAAAATCTAGCTCTTATCTATCGAGCATTGATCTTGGGAGGCATGTATCTTGATATGACCAGGGCCTGCATTTCTAAGTTGATGGTAGTCCATGAGTTCATCTTGACCTCTATGTTGTCTCACATCAAAACATGAAAGAATAATGAAGTCAACCGCTGCTATGATGATGGTATATTCTAACTGATTGGAACGCTTAGACAGGCACTATTATGATTTTTATCTTCAATTTACTACCTCTATATACTGCTTTGTTGCTTTAATCAACATTACAGTCATCTGGCACACTCTCAGCTTGACAGATGAACATCTATACACTCCTGGGAGTGGAATTAGATACTTACATCTTGCAATTTGCAACTTCAGATAAAACATCAGACCTCACCTAACTATGGTATCTTTTGCGTAACTACAGGGAAACTTCTTTTTAATCTGCTGAGGGAACATTCGCTGCCTGCTATTAGTATCCATAACTTCATCTCTTCTCGCTCTCTCCCCTTCTTCACACCTCTATCCTCCTACTTTGACTATCCGTAATTCCTTTTGCCTCCCTCTCCTTACCCATTCCACATCTGAGGTAACCCATCTCCGTGAGTTTCTTCATCCACTCTCTGCATACATAAACAATGACTTCCATCAATCTGAGCCAGGGCACATAATATCTATTGGTTCTATGAGAACTCCACACTCCACACTCCACACCCTTAAAGTACCCCTACTGTGATAGCAGCCTTTACCCTGGATGAGACTGGAGTGAAGTTCGTGACTATCTGTTGGACATTCTACGCTGGCCACAAAGGGAATTGCTAGTTATCATGCCAGCATACGAGATTCGCCCATGGGTATGAATTGAAGGAGCAGCTTCCTTTCTCTTGCTCCTGGCTGCTGGTGCAACTGCCGGCCTCAACGCACCTGCCTTTTACTGATACCAGACTACCTGCTCAAAAATTACCTGCTAGAGTCTCGACAGAGCACTGTGATGTTCTCTTCATCTTCGTCTTCTTCGTCTTCTTCGTCTTCTTTCTCAATAAAAGTTCCTACGAAATTGAGCAATATTCACCTGACCATCCCGGACATCATGCCACTGTGGAACTGCTATCCATTCGATCCGGAGGTTGCACCGCTGTTCGGTTATCACCCTTCTCTTACAGCTGGAATCCTTTTCACGATTGCTTTCCTGGGTGTCTTAACAACCCATGTCTCGCAAGCATGCAATACCATATATCCCTGGATAGGACTGGTGCTTTCGATTGGAGCTGCCCTTGAGTTTATCGGATGGCTTGCCCGTACTTTGGCTTACCGCTGTCCATATACCTTTGCCATATGGCAAATACAGCTGTCAACTCTGATGTCGGGTAAGTATACAGTTGAGGAAGTTTATATTGGCAATGCCCCTGGCTAAACATACAACTAGCTCCATACTTTACAACCGTCGGAATCTACGGAGTCTTAGATCTCATGTACGCAGTTATAGACCAAGTTCGACTACCTTTCAGGCCGAAGCGGTGGGCAGATATCTGCATGACTATCGCGCTTCTTAGTCTCATTCTCCAGGTTATTGGGGGTTCGCTGGCACACAAGGCCTCCAGTGTCGCCTCCAGTGTCGATAAAACAGTCAGCCTGGGAATCGATATCCTGTACGCAGGCAGTCTCGTACAGCTCCTGTCGCTCAATATCTTCATGGTGCTGTTCGGGTACCTGATAATTCGTACCAGACAGCGACTTGTCTGGAGGATGCCAATGCTCAAAATGTTAGCTGTGCTTGCGTTTGCTTTAGTTTGTATAATTGTTCGGGATACATATCGCATTGTGGAGTCTACGAATGGATGGCGTGGTTATTCCTACACATATGAAATTCTAGGGTGTCTTTTCGATGGGCTGCCTATGTTTATCGCCAATGTTACGCTGAGTATCTGGCATCCAGCAGTGTTGTTGAACGAGGCGATGCTAATGGAGTCGAGAGTTGTGCGAGCGGAGGAGGTCGAATTACGAAGCAGAGAAGATCAGAACGGACGAGGAAGTCGCTTGCTTGACGAGTACCCACCTATTTCTGAGGAGCTTGAGCCAGTTCTCCGTAAACGATAGTACTGATCCCATCAATTTTCCGGGCTCATGGCTCAGCTCTCGTTAGCAGACGGGATCTTGCTTCAACTGTTCTATTGATACTTCACCAGATAGTACTACTAGTTGTAGTAGATGGGCTAGCACTTACCAGTACTCGTCTACATCAGCAATCTATCACTAAGGATCCAAAAGAGCTTGTCAGTTTTTCTTCAAAAGAAACAAGAGATGAATGCATTCTTCACCACTCATTGATTCTGCCACGCACACTGTCATACAGTGTAGTCGGTAGCATCCTTCCATGCTGGCGGAGACAAAACATACTGCCAAGACTGCGGTCATTCTGGATTCCCGTTCGGCATCTTTTCACACTCCGTTCACAAAGCAGTATCACGACAACTGAAGGAACAAGTTATCTGACTGCAACAGACTTTTCATAACTAATACACGAGTATAATATAAAGCAGCAACTTAGAGCCGACAAATGAGCGCACAATCCCCGCAGGTGCGGCAACCACCGGCAACCCCCACTTACATTTTACGCGGTCATGCCGCTGCCATCCACGCGCTACAGATATTCCACCAAAACCTAAGGCTCGTTTCAGGAGACGCAGACGGATGGATTGTCGTATGGGACCTAGTCTCAAAGCGCCCTCGAGCGACATGGAAGGCCCATGACGGCACTGTTCTTGAAGTCAAAGGTTTTAGCTTCGGAAATGGTGCTGTTACAGAGGTGTTCACGTGTGTTAACTCTCCATCATTCTCAAGGGCCATCTAACAGTGTCTACAGGCATGGAAGAGACCATAAACTGCGCGTATGGAGGTTCAGCCTTCAGGATGAGGAGTCTCTTCAGAAAGTCCTCCCCGTGGACATCGAGAAAACCTCATCGACTGCCGCAAGCCAGCCATGGCTCGTACATTCGCTTCCGGTGAATGCGCTGAATTTCTGCGCGTTCTCCATGGTTTTCCTTCCTCCGGATAAAGCAAATACTGCAAGCGATGCCAGTGAGGCCCCGAAAGAAAACACCTCTCTTTCATCAGTGCTTATCGCCGTCCCTAATGCTCTGAACTCTGGCGCGATCGATCTCTTTCATCTCCCCCAGGAGAGACGTATCTGCACCATTCCGGCGGATACGGAAGTGCAAACTGGAATGGTTATGGCGGCTAACCTCGTCATATCTCCATCTGGGGAGTTGTATGTTGCTTCCGCTTACGAAGACGGTCGAGTTATGGTCCATGGCTGCAGGGGATCGTTACAGGAAAAAGACCTGACGCAGAGTACCAAAACGCCATGGAAATGGGAGAAGCTGTACGTTTGTCGGGCTCACTCACAACCGGTTCTGTCGCTTCACGTTTCGCCTGCTGGCAATTACTTCTTCTCTTCATCAGCCGATGCGGTGCTGGCGAAGCATCCTATTCCTTCGCTGGGTAGCCCAGGACATGCCCCGGAAGAGTTGCCGATCAGGTCGATTAACACGAAGCATGCGGGCCAGCAAGGTGTGCGGATACGGTCTGATGGGAAGATTTTCGCGACTGCCGGGTGGGACTCCAGGGTCAGGGTCTACTCGTGCAAGACGATGAAAGAACTAGCCGTCTTGAAGTGGCATAAAGATGGATGCTACGCTGTAGCGTTTGCGGATGTTGATGTATTTGAAGTACGCGAGAAATCGGATGAGGAGAAGCCTACGGTTTCGCCTAACGACAATGGCAATCAAGAAAACCAGCTTGCCGGACGGGCAGAAACTGAATTCTCGCTTGCAACAGTGCATCGCCAAAGATACGAGAAGGTGCAAAACACCCATTGGTTAGCTGCTGGGTCAAAGGACGGAAAAATCTCATTGTGGGATATCTATTGATTTGTCGTCAATTACTATTTACATGTATGCTGCCGATCAAGCAAGATTGAACTCGCTTGCACCGGCCATGTGCTCCTTCATCTTGGCCCTCATCTTTTGAGCTGCCGTGAGAGTGTCGGTTTGACGAGGAACATCATCATCGTCGTCGTCGTGACCACCAGCCTTCCTCTTCTTTCCAGCGACCGGTTTGCGGTCGGCCTTGAAATCCTTCTTGGTGTCAGCCTGTGCTTGGCGAAGACCAGGGACATTGATCTTGCTGGGACGATCACGCAGAGCGAAACTCTTCGCCAGATGTCCGAGATGAAGCTCCTTAATGTTGAACATGCTCCGCTCGTTGGCGATATGTGTGGCATAGGCGCGAATATGAGACTGATAAGCTCGCCGGGCCATTTCGAGGTAGTTTTTGTTTTCCAAAGCCCATCGTTCCACATCCAGCTGCCATTCGGTTGCCTTTTCCTCCCAGTCTACGTTCTGCGACTCGACGTTTCCTCCAAATCCGCGCTTCAGAATGTCGTCCGCGCTGTTGCGTGTCAGAGCCTTTCCACCGTCCCGGTAGCCCTTCTTCAGAATGTCGACGTATCCCTCCTCACAGCCGGGCATGAGGAAAATGAGTGCACGACCGTCACGCCCCAGACGCGCAGTACGTCCGATTCTGTGCAGATGGTCCTCGGCGCTGAAGGCAGGGTCGTACTCCACGACCAGGTCAACATTCGGCAGATCCAGACCACGGGACGCAACGTCAGTACAGATGAGCACGGAAGGTTCGCGGTTGCGGGCAAAAGCACCCAGGGTGGCTGTCCGGACATGTTGAGGCAGAGAACCGTGCAGTCTATGCAGCGCCACCGGGTTGGAGGGGTTCGAAAAGGCCGTGGCAGGCGCGATGGTTCCATGAGCCGAAGCGCCGAGCTTCTTCCTCTTCTCTTCTGCATCCTCCTCATCACTATCCTCACTCTCTTCCTTCTTCTCTTCCTCATCTCCATTCTTCCGCGTGAACACCTCAAAGTGGAAGTCGACAGAGTCCGCACAAGACACAAAAATGATAGCCTTCATAACAGACCCCTTTCTCATAAACGTCCGTTTCATAAAAGCCGTAAGCGTAACAAGCCGTAGCTTCGACGCGACAATCGCATATGACTGCTTCAGCTGCGCCGGCACCCGGAACGCATCATCCTCGTCCTTCTTTCTTGGCTCGCCATCTTCATCCGCGGGATCCGCCTGAATATGCACCGCATCCTTCAAACTGATCTCTCCCAGCTTCTGCACAGTCATCTTCAACGTAGCCGAACACAATATCGTCGTCCTCTTCGCGGGGATCCCAGGAATCCGACTCGGGCGCTGCCTAGCATCCAGCTTCTGAATAATCCCCGCCAACTCCTTCTCGAACCCCAACTCCATCAACCGATCTCCCTCATCCAACACCAACCACCGCACATTACTCACATCCAACGCCTGCGTATTCTCCAAATGATCCGCCAACCGTCCCGGCGTCGCAACCAAGATATTCAATCCCTTCCTCAACCGCGCCTTCTCACTCTTCTTCTTCTCTCCTCCAATCACCGTCCCCGCCACAATCCAATGCGCACATCGCAACAACCCCTCCAATACCACCGCAATCTGCTTACACAACTCTCTCGTCGGCGCCAACACAATAGCAAATAACCCACTATCGCGCTGCACTTGCTCCCCTTCCTCCCTCTTCTTCTGATTCAGCGAAATCGTCATTATCCGTTGCACAAGCGGCAGCAGATACGCCATCGTCTTTCCGGATCCGGTCTCGGCCTGTATGAACGCATCACTCTCCTCCTTCAATAGTTGCGTGATACTCGCTTTCTGAATCGCTGTCGGCGCCTTCACCTCCAGTTTTGTCAGCAAATGCGCCGCCAGCGGTGCCGATAGTCCCAGGTTCGTGAATGTGTCCAGTCCATCGATCAGCGGCGCGTTCGTCGGCTTGGCGTCCTCTACCTCGGCTCCGGCTTCGTTCTTCTCTTCAACGGCGTTCCGGGGCCTCGGGTTCTTCGAGAACAGGGATGATACGAACTGTCGGGGCGCCCCGGGATGTTGTTGCTGCTGCTGGCGTGGTTGCGATCCTCCGTTTCCGTCATCATCTTCAATGCGCTGTCTCTTCACCGGCCGCGGACCGGATACTTGAATGCGATTCGGATTCCGAGGGTTGCTATTCTGCTCGCCATTTGAGGCTGATTTCTCTTTGCGCGGGTTGTTCGTTCGGTGCGCGGCGATTTTCTTTGCGCTGAGTCGGTCCCGCCATGTGCCGCCTTTTACTTTGGTTTTTTCGGGTCTGAGGACTGTCGTGTCCGGGATGGCGAAGTTGAGAAGGAGACCGTCGTCGGCCATTTTGGAAGATGTTGGGTAGGTAGGTAGGTGCCTGCCTGCCTTTTTTTCTTCTCTTTTTCTTGTTTGCTGGGGAGGTTCTTAGTACCGGGTCCGGGAAGAAACTTTACTTTACTCCAGAGGGAAATTTTCTCGGGCCGGCACCGTTCCGAAACCCTGCGATCTTGCCCTACTTTCTGTTTTTGGGTGATAGCTACATGCTCAAGTAAAGGGTAATTGATTGAGGGGTATTCAGGTGTTGAGAGGAGAATGATTGTTTAATTTATTTGTTTATTTGTATATAGATATATATATATATATGAGGGTGTGAACTTTTATGTACTCTATGTACGCTATTGAGATCTAATTGAATGACGTCGGGTATATATGACACTTGCTTTTGAATGGACCAGGCAACGGACAGACAAGGACGAGGTGTTCAAACCCGCGGCTTGAAGATCAAGTTGTCGATCAAACGCACAGGAACTTGGCCGTCACCGAGGCCGCAGTCCTCGCCCGGCTTTGCCTCCTCCAGCGGAGCCATCTTGACTGCACCGCTCAGAATGGCGCCCTTAGCGGGATCAACAACTTCCAGCTCGTCCAGAGTATCCGGATCAGCAAGCGAGATGTAGTCAACTTCGTACAGCGCCCTCTCCGTGGGCGCCAACGCCTTCTGCTCAGACAGAACCCGTTCAGTGACGCTGTTAGCTGCGTCAAGGATCTCACTCCGGTTGACCTTGCCAGCGTTGTAGGCATTCTCCGCCGCCTTCATGGCTTCGTAGAGGACCAGGCCCACTGCCCGTCTTCTCTTACCAAGGTAAACGTTCCTCGAACTCATTGCCAGCCCATCGTGGTCACGAACAGTCTCCCCGATCTTGATCTCCGTATCGATGTAGAAGTCCTTCACCAAACGCTTGATGACCACAGTTTGCTGCACGTCCTTCTGACCAAAGTAAGCCCGGTCGGCATGGACAATGTTGAACAGCTTCATGCAGACGGTCGCAACTCCACGGAAGAAAACAGGCCGTGAAGCTCCCTCCAGTTTCCGGGAGAGAGGGGTGATGGTCACGAAGGAACCGTCGCCATCAATCTCGGATGAAGGAGGCAGCGTAGGGTACATGACCTTGGAGGTGGGCGCCAGAATGGCGGTGATGCGACCGTTGTTACTGTTCTGGCGGGCCAGTTCCGCGTTCAATTCCTCTAACTTCGCAACATCGCTGTCCCAAGTGCGCGGGTAGCTGGAGAGATCCTCTGTGACGCCGAACTGTGTCGGATTAACGTAGATGCTGACGAAGACGTCGGTGTTCTCGGCCGCGGCTTGTCGGATGAGGGAGAGATGGCCTTCGTGGAGGGCACCCATGGTAGGGACGAGACCGACGGTCCGGTTGGAGAGGAGGAGCTCTCGACGCAGCTGGCGAAGTGGGGGCACATCGCGGAAGACTTGAAAGGTGTGTTGCTGGCGGGAGGAGACGGCCATTGTGGTGGATTTGAGGAAAGATGTGGCGGCTGTGAGAACGTGTGAGAAAGGATGGTTAGCAGGTGTCGTTCAGCAGCAGCAGGGGATAAATAAATGTGCGCTCATGAGGGGCCATACTGGAGAAGCGCCGTGTCCAGCCGAACATGGTGAATGTGATTTCTGGGAGGTTGCAACGAAGGGCCCTTGTCTTTCGTACCGCAGCTGCCTCTTAAGAGTCCCGCAGTGGAGCAGGTCGCACAGCTCAGGCCCAATTAGCCACAGTGATGGGGATTAGGAGGGAGACCGCAGCTTTTGGTGTCTGCGACGATGCTCAGCCGGGGTGAAACCAGTGTAACCGGGACGGCATGCTTGGTGGTGTGACTATTTGGGCATGAAAAGCGTGCTCTGAGCTGCCGCGTTGCGCTCATCCCTCAAGCTTTCGGTGAACTGAAGTTCTTGGATGTCCACTGCCATTGCCCAATCCAGCTTAGCGCGCGGTTGCACGGGGCGCAAGGCCGTTGGGACTCACGTGAGCGGCGGCAGCACGAATCGTCCCGAGGCATTTCTGGGGAAGAAGCCGGGGATCTTCGCCTGGTTGGGATCTCGCTTGCCTCCTCAGGAACCAGGAGCTGGTCGATCATGACAATGCCTTTCTTTGCTATCCCTCTCACTTGATGTAGCTCGACTCCATCCCAGCAGTCAATGACCGCTGAGAGCTATCGACATTCCCATCCAACCACCGAGCTCTGAAGTGAACATTCCTTCCCTCTCCCCGCCCGAGACACTATGCCTTCCGATAAGTCCCCGGTCGGGGACTCCGCACCGGATCTCGAGATCGTGGGAAACAAAGTCACCATCCATCCAAGCGGAGTTACTGGAGGGCTGGAACCTCAAGATGAACAGATTACCGAACGCAATCTCGTCCGCCATATGGCGAGGTTTCGCGAGAACCCTTTTGATTTCCTACGAGAAGTGAGCTTGTACATGTCAGGAACCGGCTGGCGTGCCTACGATGATGTGATCGGACAACCCATATTCTACTCTGGTTTTACGGATCGAATGAAATCACAGATTCTTGCGAGTCCCTTGCTGCAAGGGAAGGTGAAAGAGCTGGCGGACGCACGGTTGGCAGTGGAGGAAAAGGATGGATTGCTAGATGTTAAACCGGGTCCCCTGGAGCAGAAAAGGATACATCGCCGGAATGAGATACAAAGTAACCTGAAAGAGGTGGTAGATTCCATGCTAGATAATATGATCTGCAAGATGGAGAGCAAGATGTTTATCCGAGGGGCGTACTATCTCTGCACGCAGCTTCTGACGCGCGCATACCATCAAGGTGGGAGGGTATCCGACGTATTGAAGGAATGTTGTTAACCAAAAATTCAGGAATACACGTGTCTAGCGAAGAGGTTCTCCGGTTGAGATCTTTTGCGCAAGAGGCTGCTGCCAAGAAGCAATCTATTGTCTTCTTGCCTTGTCACAAGTCGCATGTCGACTACGTGTCGCTCCAGCTTATCTGCTATCGCCTTGGGATTGGGCTTCCGGTCGTGGTGGCGGGAGAGAATCTCAATATTCCGATGCTGGGCCCTTTCCTCCAACATGCAGGTATGGTTTGATCCGCCTCGGAATCTACTGCGCTTGCTGACTTTCCTAGGCGCGATGTGGATTCGGAGAAGCTTCGGAAACGATCCGCTATATAATACCGTTGTACAAGCCTATATTGATACCATGCTACAGCAAGGATTTAACTTTGAATGTTTCATCGAAGGCGGTCGTTCGAGAACAGGGAAGCTTCTTTCGCCCAAGTTTGGCATCCTCAGCTTTATTTTGGACAGCGTCCTTTCGGGTCGTGTGGAGGACACCATCATATGCCCTGTCAGCACACAGTATGACAAAGTGATTGAGACCGAGTATGTGTTCTTCTGATAGATGACTGCTGAGTTCTAACAATCCGTATAGGTCGTACATTAGCGAGCTGCTTGGCCAGCCGAAGAGGAAGGAAAACCTAGCTGATTTTCTGTCCTCGTCCTCTGTCCTTTCTCTAAAGCTCGGTCGGGTGGATGTTCGATTTCACGAGCCATGGAGCTTGAGAGAGTTCATCAACCAGCAATTGACGCGGATGCCGGAACAAATAGTCGCAAATGGGGGGCCACAGCTGAGTTATGCTGATAGGGGCCGGGTTTTGAGATCCTTGGGATACAGGGTCTTGTCTGACATCAACGATGTGTCTGTAATGATGCCTACGGCCTTGGTTGGCACTGTGCTTCTTACTCTTCGCGGGCGAGGTGTCGGAAAAGGTGAAATGGTCCGGCGCGTCGAGTGGCTGTGTGAGCGTGTTCGAGCAAAAGGCGGACGGGTTGCTCACTTCTATCGTTACCCGACGGATGTTGTTGTCGAGCGTGCGCTAGAGGTCTTGGGGCCGCAGCTTGTGGGCGAGGTGAGCGGACTGGTCGAACCGACTTACTATGCTGTGGATCGTTTCCAGCTTTCGTTCTATCGCAACATGACCATCCACTTGTTCATCACGGAGGCGCTGGTGTCTGCGGGAATGTATACGAGAATCAAGCAAGGCGGCGGGCCGTCTTATCAACGTATTTCCTACCAAGATCTTCTAAATCAGGTTTCGTTCCTGTCTCAGGTGAGTCAAATAGATGATTATACCCTAAGGATCTCCCTGCTAACAAAATCAGCTTTTCCGTGGCGAATTCATCTTCCCTCCAGAGGGCCTGACAACAAACATGGAAAAGACCCTCCGCGGACTTGAAAGAGACAATATAATCACCGTTAGCCGGGACACCGCCGGCGCGCCACTGTTCGTGGAGCTTAGCGATGCAGAACGGCAATGTGGTCGCGAGAACTACGACTTTTACTGCTTCCTAGTCTGGCCGTTCATCGAAGCCTCCTGGCTCGGCTCCGTCTCTCTCCTAGGACTGACACCCCCTCTGAACGGCGCCGAAGATATCTGGATCGATTTGAACAAGGCTCAAAACAGCGCCCAACTGGTAGTTTAATCACCTTCCTAACGATTCCTAATAATCACCTACTAACCGCACAACCCAGCTCGGCAAAACCCTCTACCACCAAGGCGACCTCTCCTACTTCGAAGCCGTCAACAAGGAGACCCTCCGAAACTCCTACCAACGCTTCGCAGAGGAAGGCATCATTCATGTCGCTAAAAGTAAAGGATCGAAGGTGTCCACCATGAAGCTAGCCGCTGAATGGACGCCCGAGCGGGATCCAACCACGGGGAAGCTAGTTCCCCGTGGCCGTCTCTGGGACTTTACTGAGCTGATCGCACAGTCCAGACGTGAGGGGTAAGTTGACTGATACTATATATCATTTCCCAGATTGATTGGTCCGGTATACTGACAACTTGAAGGAAAAACCGCCGTGATGGCGCAACAGTTTCCTCGCGGGTTCTGCACATGTCGGATGTTGTGGGCCGCAAACTATTCGAGGACGCGAGTCCTAGTCCCGCTGCGGCGGAGGAGGTTGATGTCTCCATACGACAGATGAGGAGGAAGGCGATCACGCCTAGTTCGAAGCTGTAGGTGCAGTGTGTGGTTCGGTGCTGTTTTGGTGATGTGGCGAAGCGTAGCGTAGCGTTTAATACCCTTTTGTATTTTTAGAGTCTTACATACGACGACTATCATCGATCTTTCTATAGCATATTAACCAAGCATCATTTCTCATAATGGAATAACTCATCCATGATATATACCATACTCTAGCCATGTACTTCAATCCAACTAATCAACACCCCTCCCCAACCTTAACAACGCTCGACTGCACACCATCCCCAACCCCTCCAACAGCCTGCACAACAACCTTCTCCCCATCCCTCCCCTCCACCCCCTCAAGCACAATCCTCGTCTCAAAGCCATTCTTGTCCCTCACATCCCCCACAACCGCCAACTCATCCCCCATCCGTACCTTCCACCCCCTCACATCCGTCGCCCCATTCCAACTCACATAGACAACCACCGCATCACTTCCCCCCTCCCGACAAGCCACCGCCTCCGGCCTCGTCGTCGGCTTCCCAACCCACTCGCGGAACCGATATCCGCGATACGACTGCGTCGATTCATCGAATCCAAACCGCGCGTTCATCACCAGCGCCCCGTTCTCATTGTATTCCTCGAGCACCGGCATCGCGCCGTGCTGGAGCAGCACGTGCCCGTTCGGAAGCGGCTGGAAGCTACCCTGGCTTACGGCAAAGAGGGGAGCGTCGGAGTTCCAGAGCTTGCGGACGGGGGTTACGGTATGGTTTTGCATGTCTAGGGTGAGGGTTAGGCCCGTGGTGATGGTTGTGGGGGAGGTGAAGACATTGGCATTCTCGTTGTTGTGTAGGTGCAGGGTTAGGGAAGTTGCGTTGGGGGAGTAGTTGACGAAGCGGGGGTCGTGTTGGTAGCAGAAGCTGCTGCCGGGGGTGAGAGTGAAGGAGGCGCCTTTTTGGCCCTGTGGTTGTGTTAGTGGGAGTGGTCAGGGTGGGAGAGGTGGGGGGAAGGGACGTACGTGGAGTTGCCAGGTTACGTTGCCGTTCTTGTCGAGGAGGAAGATGCTGCACAGGAAGCGGGAGGAGAGGAGGTAGGAGTCGCCGTATTTGGCTACAGAGTTGAGGTGAGGGTATTCGTAGGGGTCGGACTTGCTGGTACCTGATCCTAGGAGAGGGAGTTCGGTGTCTGTTAGGGGGATCTCGGACAGGTGTTCGACTGTGCTCCAGCGGAAGAGGACTTTGTTGGTCTTGATGTCGATTTCGTAGAACAGGCCGTCCTGTACCCAGCCGTCTTTAGGGCCGCCGATGGGGGAGAGGTCGAATTGGGTGACGTTCACGGCTGTTACGAGGATGGTGCCGTCTGATGTGATCTGGCTCTCGTGGATGTCGATGTAGGAGGGGAAGGTTTCGGGGTCGGCGGTGGTGACGAAGTGCTGCTCAGTCCCAGGCAGTGTTATGCGGTGAATCTCCTGGTAAGAGGCGTTGAGGATGCTGATTGCTCCAAAGCCATAGCCTTGGTAGTTGGCGCCCTGCCAGTAGGCTAGGACGGGTTCGCCGTCCAGCATTTGGGGCTGGTAGGCGGACGTGTTGGCATTGGGGCCTTGCCATACAAGCTGGCCGTCATCGGAGTATATGGCTGGGTAGCTCCATTCCATGGTGGAGGAGGATGGAGAGAAAAAGAGGTGGCCTAACTCTGTCTTGCCATTCTTGGTGACGTTCAGATATGGTGCTTGGATAGAAGTACTGCGGAAAGTCTGCTGGGGCCAGGTGGACTCTGCGGCAGCTTTTGCGCCGAGAAAGAAAGTGAGGAGATTGGCAGCGTTATAGCTGCTGAATTGACGCATTTTGAGTCTTCTATGATATACTTGAGGCAGGCTCAGCATCCAAGGAGACTTGGAAAGGGAATTGACACATTTTATAGCTCGCTGACGCTGTGAGGCGTCCCCGTATGTGATATCATATTAAGCAGTTTCAGTCATGACACCGGCAATTCCAAAACTCGAAGCAGTGGGCACTAGCGGGGTAATGCTATGGAGTGCACTGTAGCATAGCAATTCGGAAAGTGGGCATTGTTGGGGAGCGATAATTTCCGTTCTTCCAGCTAAAGTGCGTATTCTATGATGGACGCCCAATTTGAGAAGTCCGAGCGTATCCTCGGTAAATTCTTCTGCGGTGGGTGAGATGGACCTCGCTGAACATGCCTCTTCTAGTTGTGTCTGGTAGCAGATTTCCCTGAGTTATTGGGGAGTCGAATTGAGCCAGTGGAGGTGCCCGTCTGTCAATTGGATTGGACGATAGGAATTCCGAATGCGGAGCAGTTTCGGAACATACTGGGGAGTGAAGACCATGTGGGGATTCATGTTGGATCGACTTGGCCGACAGGGTCGCTTAAGCGAAGATTGAATGCGGAGAATCCGAATTCTACTGAACCCCGAGCGGAATCGTTCCTGATGCGATGCTGGGCCCCCATCTCCCCGGATTACTGTGGGGTGGCGTGTGGGGACTGGGGGCTTGATCGTGTTGCTGCTGCAAGGCATTCGTTCGCTACTGGCCGAGGCCTAGTATAACTCCACGCTTAGAACGCGGCATATATGGATAGGGCCTGGGGAACAGCCGACGGAATTGCCGAGCAGGGTTCAGGTGACATTCTGCTGCTGAATGACTAGACATCGGTAGAGGGAGGGGTTTTTAGCGCAGACTGAAGCCAGGCCTGAACACTTCGGTTAGCACGATATCTCCCACAATTTGGAAATCGAGGTTGCTCATGGAAATACTTGCAGTGAGTGGATTATTATGGTGATAAACCAGGCATGTCTGAAAGGGAAGCACACCCAGTGTAAGAAGACAGGAGGATGCGATCCAATGTTGGCAATTGTCAAAATATCTGACATGACGTCGCTGCCTGTGTTTCATAGCTATTCAGATTGACCAGTTTCTCTATTGCCATCCTTGATGTCGCTTTGCATGGCAAGTCCTAGCCAACTGCTAGCTCAAGAGCCCCATATTGCAGTCCGAACATTGAGGGTTCTCAAGAGACTGCTGGTGAAATATCCTGGCACATGTAGGTGAGAAGGTAGGAGAAGGAGTTCTATAAATGATATTTCTCGATCACCTGACACACACAACGATATCTCGCCATCGCATCGTCCTATGTCGCAATAGTATATCATATAATCATACTAGTAGTCATGCTTGAGTGTGAACGTCTATGCATGCATTTCAATTTCGCACTGTATAGTTCTCTCAAGGAGATTCTCATGGGTTAATTACTATGCTTTACTTGATATGACTATTTTTATGATCTGTAATTATAGCTTCTGCTTTGACCATTCGAAGTCGGTTGTTCCATACTTCGATCGATGTTTCGGGGCGTACTTACTAACCTATAATGTCCTGCCTTGCGTGTCGCGAGGTAGTGATAACTTGGTTGTTGTCCCCACCCTCTTTTCATTATCTTCTCCTCTTCCCTCAGTGCCTGTAGGAAGCGAAAGACTATAATTCTGTCCAGACTCTCTGAATCTAGCATATCTTCGTTTCACGAACGCGGTGGGAGGAAAGGCGAGAATATCTTCCGACAGAGACACAGTAGACAACAGCCTGCTCTCTCACGGCTAAGTGCTTGAATTGAGTTACGTGGAACCTGATTCCCGGTATACATCCGAGTTATCTGACCAATGGAACGTCTTACAAAGGCCATTGTTGGCAGGGCAAGTCCTGACGTCAGAAGCGGACGGTCCAAGCGGCTCCCCCAGCTGGCATCACCCCCGTGCATCTTCCCCGCCATTCCGACCACCACTCCTGCATCAACTGAACTATTGCTCCAATCGATGACTGATTATTTGAATCCAAACAGCAGCATATATAGTTTTAACTAAGGGCGTGCCCAGCATGTTGAGAAATACGAAGCTCCTCAGCACCAGATCCCATCCATTTTTACCCGCCATAACTACAGGACCTGGTCAATTGTGCCACCCGTCTGTATCTTCCTACCAGCACCGCTGCCTTGTGACTTCCCAAACCATCCACAAAGAGAGACATCTTGAGTCTGATCTCGACCGACACCTACTCCGACCCGAGCATAATGAGAATACTAAGTCGGGCACCGACGACGAAGCGGCTCACCACTGGTCTTCGTATGATCCCACTATCACCGATCCCGACCTTGAGGTTCTGGCCTGCGAGGAAGAGTGCGAACTCGATGGTGATCTAGATGACCCTTTGTTTGTCAGTCCAGGCAATAGAGAAGTCAGTCGCTTCCTTGACCCGATGGTCGGAGGAGCGGTGCATGGTGCTACGAGACCGGGTCCAAGTGGGAGGGGCTGGACAAGAAAACACAAGGAAGTGATCATCAAGAAAATCCCCGGAAGCCAGTTTGAGCGATATGACCGGATATTGCAGGAGCTGAGGAAGGCAGATAAGCAGTGAGTTGAAGACTTCTTCATCCGTATCTGGTATGATCATGTTGATACTCGTCTAGGGCCACGAAATGAGTGACGTAGTGAAGGGGTCTACTAGGCAGGACTTGGTTCGCAACTAAGGCCCATTATTGTCCGTGGTTTGCGAAGCGTCAACTCAAGTGTGGTTAGCAACCTTGGTCATTGATTGTTAGGTGAGTTGTTGATGGATGGTGATTGTACAGTGTCGGACTAGGTTATGTCCAGGGATGGGCCATGATATCACTTACTTCCAGATTGTATCAGAATGTGATATATGTAGTAAAATAAGACCAATGCATTACAGATTATTTGAAGGGTTGATAATTTGTTATACATTCCATATTGATTGCTTCCATCGTTCGACCATACTCAGCCCTGGATCATATGTGTAATGAGTTTATCCAAAACCGCGTTTCCGGCGTTGTGTGCGACTGCAATCCCAACTACAACACAAAACAAGGAAATTATGGGCTATCCCTTTGGATCCCTGATTACAAAAGTGATACCTATATCCAAGTGGACTATAAATAGATAGAAGTCACTCGTCGACATGACCAAAAAGACATCAATAGAGCTCCACCACAATTGTCAAAACTCGCCAATGAGGGCCTCTCTGTCCTTGTGAATGTGGCATAGCGTCTTAGATTCTGATTGAGGGTCCACTTTTACTAGTAAATTGCAACATATTATTGCTTCAATCCCTTCGTACTCATTGCAGTATGCGAAAGAGTCTCCCCTGAACAGCCTTACCATTCCGGACATCTAACAGAAACATGATATTCCTGCAGATCACTTTCTCAAACAGGATATCTACAGGAGTCTTCAATTCTTGGAGTGACCGCATACTGCCCTGGAAAATAGATTAAAGATAGATTAATATCCCACCCGCTAGCGTGGCCAGTCATCGTCGCATACGCCACCCGATCTCCGACCATTACGTCAGTTCACGCACTGTGGCTGGATGATCGATCCGTAACAATGGTTCAATGAGTGAGTTCCTGGAAAAGGAACTGCTATCTGTGTTACTTTCTTAGGGGCTGTTGCAAGAATATGTATATATCCTATTTTTATGGTGTCCTTATGATTATATGAATCATATTGTATATTTGGTCGAGAGGTAAGAAACACCTGTAGTGGCCAAGATACTGTAAGTCACTGGACTGAAATGGTGGCTTTTGCCTTGCTGCCAGAGTGTCAGAGTGAGCAAGCTAAAATTTGAGAATGCAATGTCGCCGGACAATCTCCCAATTTGGTTGAATGGCGATGCGATTGGCTCTCTAATCAATGTGTTCCCCTAACCATCAATACACACGCATATGCCCTATCCAAAGTAGGAAGCTCGAACGGTACCATTTGCACGTTCCCAATGTCATTGATATGTGCATGTATGGAGAAGGGTGTTATGATGCTAACCACATCAACATTGACCTTCGGCACTTTCGCCACCCTCATCATCCAAATTGTGTATTATTCCTACCCCCATACGACTGAGAAAGGATGGTGTGTGGAAGGTCATGGGATCGAAGAAAGGACTGGCCTTATGCTCGAGCAGCAGTCCAACAAGTTCCGAGTTCTGATCCCGCGCAGCACAGAAAAGTGGCGAGCCTCCATCTGGTGGAGCAGAATTTGGATCTGCTTTATGTGCGAGCAATAGCCTTGCAATGTCTCTCTTTCCATCCCTCACGGCCACCCACAGAGGCGAGCCTCCGCCTGGTGGAGCAGGGTTTGGATCTGCTTTATGTTCGAGCAATAGCCTTGCAATGTCTATGTTCCCATCACTCACGGCCCACCACAGAGGCGAGCCTCCACCTGGTGGCGCAAGGTTTGGATCAGCACCGTGCCGGAGTAAGGTATTGGTAATCTCCAGATAGCCTTCTCGTGCAGCCCACCAAAGTGGTGTAGCACTCCCACCAGGGTCAAGATTTGGATCCGCTTGGTTGTTCAGCAGTAACTCGACTAGGGCTGAGTTTTTCATTTGTACAGCCACCGCAAGTGGCATGTTGAAACCAGTGGTTATATAACCGTTTATCAGCCACACGGGAGTAAGATTATTTCCTGTAGCTCCCGTGAGCAGGTTCAGATCTGCGCCCTGCTTGAGAAGCAGCTCGACCGCAGCCTGTTGTCCACCCTGGACAGCCCAGAGCAGAGGCGTCTGGCCATAACTATCGATTGGATTTGTGTCGTAGACGCGCTTTGCTAACAACACCAGCATAGCCCTTTCCAGGCCAAAATATGCTGCTAGGTGCATTCCTGTCAATTTACGTGGTAGTTGACCGACATCATACCCATGGAGCAGAGTATACATGAGCGCTTGTCCGCTTGCGGAAACATAGTCTTCATTTCCAAGGAATTCGAAGACCAGATCATTTTCTTCCAAGGAAGAGGTGCGGACGTGGTGTGCCCAATTGACCGAGGCATAGGTATAGAGCGAGTTGTTTTCTAGCCGTCGTTGCAACTCCTCCCGGGATGCACAGGAGCCGGTGCCGAACGTCTCGAACAGGAGATACGTAACGCAGCTTGTCGCTATAGCGTCTCTGGCCGCAAGGGCCCAGGCAATATCAGTGAGATAATCATAGGTCGTATAGTGCACCAGCTGCACCGTATCAGCTTCTTGATTATGGATGACTAGGCCTGCGCAGAGAGAAATCAATTCGTCCAGATCAGGGAAGTTGTCCTCTTCCAGTCGACGGTCACCTTCCTCTATGGCGAGAGCATGTCGAAGCTCATCCCGACGTAAAGGTCGCACTGCATGTATAACCCATGAGATGATACGCCGAGCCCATTCGCGGTCATTTACTCTCTGTCGATTGATTCTTTCCATCGCATTGTCATATGCCTCTTTTAGTGCTCCTGAGCCGTGAGGGAGCGCATCCAGTGCACGGTGGAACTCATTTTTCGTTCTTTTATCTTTTAAGGTGTCAAAATGGAGGGTCGCGAGCAAGAACCTTGATTCGATTTGTCTTAGTTTCCAAATTATCACGGGACACTGAGACAGGACAGGATATCCTTTCAAGATAGAAAACACTTACATCCCATCCACCAAATTGATAATCTGTTGCGTGATCTTCAGTTTCAATATCTCGTCCTGTTGAACAGAACGCGATAGCTCACTCCAACGACTGTCCAGGTAACATTCGATATCTGCCCCTTGTGCCCTAATATCCAGCCGTATGGCACCATCGAATGCGTACTCTAGGGAAGGCCGAGATGTTACCATGAAGCTGAGTTTACCACTCGATTGTAAACTCCGGACTTGGTCGAGCAGTTCCCTGCACGTCTCCTCCGAGCACTCATCCAGGGCGTCGACGACAAGGAACGCTCGATCAAGTTCCATGACGACTCCCAGAAGAGTGTTCGATAAATCTTTCATTGTCGGCTTGGAACTCCTGGCTTCGTGTTGTTCATAGAGAGAACGAACCGATGCGGGAACTGGGCCGGATAGCTGCTCCAAAATCTGCCGCAGAACGATACTAAGTCGATTGGAGGCAGTTTGGATCTGCCTTTGATCATAGCTGCAGTACAGGTAAGCCACCGGGGTCTCTCTGCTTATCTCTCGCTGCAGATGATCAATGACGATGGAAGCCAATATTGTCTTTCCGGCACCAGGAATCCCGGGGCAGAACAATGTTTGTTGTTTCCCATCTAGCCAGAGGCTAAACTGTTCGGAATGCAGAAACCATTGACCAGTGCCCGGCCGGTGCTTACTGAAAGCATCTACTTGCTCAGCTTGCTGAGCAGAGGGAGCAAGCCACGACAGAATTCTATGGCGCATCTTTCTCTCTTGTTCTGTTCGGCCATCAGAAAAATTTCGCATGCTTTGAAGATTAGGAGGATAATATTACCGTCAAGTAGAGGATTGAGCTTGAACTTGACTTCCGATATCTCCTTTCGGACTACATACATGATGCAACGTTGGCGGATCAGCTTCCTTTTCTCTCCCACGGACACGCCAGTTTAGGAATTCACTGACCCGTTTCAACAAGCTCCGCAGCGACTTCCATCTTCATCACCTCAGCTGGTGGAATGACACTCAGGAGGTCCTTGGCATAAGCCGCGGCTGTCGCAGCCGCATACCGTTGCCAGATCTTATGTTTATGGGTGTCGGAATAATCACAAATGCCTCGAATAACCAGGCAAGGAAAATCATTCATCAACCCTGCAGCCTCCATCTCGAAGCACAGTATGCGATATTGTCTGCGAAGTCTCTCTCGCGTGGCGGCGTGCCTCATCACCATATCTGCGGAGGCAATGGTACCATGGTGAATGACAGGATCCGTAGTCGTCCGAGGGCGTCGACGCACCAAACGGGAGGTGTCACAGTATGGGCATGGTTGTTGCTTATGATGACTTGATCCCGATTTACGGACGGTGTGACCATCGCTCATTAATGCGGCTGCTGCCCCAACTAAGAACACCAACAGAGCGACGGCGGCAGAAAAGAGCGAAGCAGAAGCCAACATACCACTGCTGGAGTTGAATGCAATCGCGCCCCAAGAAGCGAACAGACTGATACCTAGGACAGCGATGACAATATGACTTCTGGAATTAGAGGAAAGAAGGCTCGACTGCACAGCAGACTCTTGATGCTCATAAGATACCTCAAAAAGCTGGTCATACTCCCACCCTTGATGACTGTATAGGTCTCCAAACCGTGGGTTGCTCCCCTCTCTTAATGCTAGTGTTTTCTCGATCATATCCGTAACATGCCGCGACAATCCATTCCGTTGAGCCTCATAAGTCGCCCGTAATTTATTTACTCCGTTTCGCAGTTGAGCTGGTGGCATATTGAGCATTCCTGTGTGTTCAAACTGGCCGCCGGCCACCATCTTCCCACGGTCATATTTTATAACCCCACCTGTAGCGTGTCAAAAAGATTTGTGGAGGGGGCCAAGGAAAAGGAAGTCTCTAGATAGGCAAGGAGATTTTTAAATATTCCTTACCCAGCTCTCCATCAGGAACACTGACTACCACATCACCAAGCCGAATATCTTCTTCATCAGGAGACTTGCTGGCGCTGGAAGGTGCTCCGCCGCCTATCCCCACCATCAGCCCAAAACGAATGCTAGGGAAACTTCGGAGCATGTCTGCTGCTCCCTTGGCTGCTGGGGTAATGCCGGTACTGCCAGCCGGGAGACACGCGATCACGATGTTGTGTTGACCAATTCGACCGAGCGTATACACGTTGTCATCGCCCTCGGGTTGATTCCGCGCCGGATAAATCTCATCCAACATCCCCTCCGAGGCTGCTAACTCGATGGCGAGGGCACAGATCCATCCCACCGTAAACTCATCATTCCGAGGTGCTCTGTATGGGAGATATTAGTGTGAATATGATGTCTCTTAGGTTTTCCATTTTCCCCCTTGCTTTCTGTCCATGTGTGGAGGCTCTATTTTTCTCAGCTTAAAGACTCACTTGCTAGATAAGTCTGCCATCCTGAGGCGAAACTACCTTCAAAGCCACCCCTCCGCGGTAATTAGGAATGAGCGAACATGATGGCCAGAAATTGCGAATTAAGGCCCGGGTTGCTGCCCAAGCTTGAATGACAAGCAGATATCATGCAGGGATCTTGGATCGGAGAAATCGAACTTCCGCCCAAAAAGTAATTATGGGTCGATGTATGTATGTATGCAGCTAACAATCTGAGTATGGGAGATAATCCTTGGAGTCACGTTAGGGGACAAAAAAGGGCCCAAATACTACTTAGTCAAAATGTAATCTACATGCTTCGTGCAAACACCGTGAGCTAGAGGAAGGATGCCGATATTATAGTCGTTCCGCTCGACAGACCAGGTGCTTATGAACTATAGGCGGGAAATGCCGAAGTATACCCGGGATCAACTTTTCCCGCATACTGTATCATCGTAGTAGAATTGCTACGACTATCGCGGACTGGTTGTAGTCCACTTTGACGGAGGATGTCCTTGCCCAGGGTTGCAGGATTGGGTGGATATGATGCATGCATGTATTTCAACGAACCTGGAGTTTCTATACGTGTTTGCAGGAAGACCTGGAATTTTGCGCTGAACCCCACAGGGGAATATAGTAGTGTTATCTCAAAGTACATAACGTCAATCATAATGTCATCTTAACATTATAACACATCCGTTGTTCTTATCTAGTATTTCTGACAAGGAATACAAGAGAACACACTCTTAGGTCGCTGTCGACTTTGTGCTGGCCAGTTGACGGAGAGAGCAGAGCAGAGCAAATGGGATTTCAGTATTCCACCTGCAAAAATGATAGGCAAGAAGCAGTTGGTGCCAGGAAAGAATTGTAGTAAAGTACTAGTAGATCTAGTGTTAGTCTAATGTTTGATACTCGCCTGCCTTCCCTTTCTTTCGGTTTGCTTTTCTTCTGTGATCGGCATATATTCTGTACTGTGGAAGTATAGTGTCGGCCGAGTCCAAGCCACAGCGTCAATCTCCGGCTTGAAGCTGGCCCGTCCGCGGATGAGATCATTCCCCACACCTGCGACACGAATCGGAGGATAAGCCGCCCACAATGCCATCATTGTTGAATCGCAACAGAGCCACGTTGTTCGCTCATTGGATCTGATCCTAGCCGTTACATGTCAGATCTCATTTTATCGACTGGGGAGTCAATGCTCATTGAAGGGCTGGAGGTGGTACGGGATGACGTTATCCGACTTGGTCGGCCGCGTGTCGAGGATGCGATGCGCTGCGATCCGTGGTTGAGAGCGAAACTTTCGGTTTGCGGACTTGATATCCTGTTTTATGTACCATTGTGTTACTGTTGACGGGTGTGATGATGATGCATGCGATCTATCGCGCGACGCTGGAGATGTATTTCGAAGGTGGGATGGGATATTGACAGTGAGATATGACAGTGACTGAGAAAACTATTGTAGTGAATATTATGGATCTGTCAGTGCTCGGAGGTACTGTTCCTGACTAATCTGCACTAAGGCACCTGATATCAGGTGTCTTTGCAGCGAACAAGAATAGACTGCCCCAGTCAATATCCTCGAGAAGGAAAGCAACAGAGACGATCCCATCCACTTCTGACGCAAGAATGATCCATCTCTCGTCGCTAACTGGGGCAGTGGGGCAACCTTCATCTACTTTGTCTCCATTCTTTGTCTTTGTGCTCGATTCTAGAATCCGTGAATCTGATGGGCTGATCCTGCACACCATCAAGCTGCTTGCAGCGATGATGTGATAGGATCCCTACGCCACGGAGGCCCTGCATGTATCTGTTCGACTGTGACGGGGTGATAACACCCCAGATTCGATTCAAGCGCAATGACGTAGGTGGGCTTCGCTGCATAGCAGGTGCATTTAAAGGGCCCTGAATCGTTGAGCTGGTGGTAAGCATCTAGTCAATAACTTATTCCTGCACATATCTTGATACCTAACCTTAGTACTCACGATCAAACCCTACAATTGCTATCTATTTTCACTTTCTTGTACCTGACGAACCACTAGCTATACGACTGACGAACGCGACGACAAATCAGCTACCACCCCGTCCCAAACAACTACCCAATCAAGATCGGCGCATATTTCTCCAATCCTTTCACCTCCCGTCAAGCCATACCGTCCAATACAGCTACAATGTCCTCTCCTATCGCAAGCAAAGTCTCCAAGCTCAACCTCAGCCCTGACTCCAAGCGAGGCACTCCACCCAAGCTCCGCCAGCAGACCCCCCAGAAGAAGACTCCTCCCAAGCTTCATACCCAGGATTCCGCCTCTCAGGCTGAAGAACCAAGCGCACCTTCTACCCCCACGCCCAAGGGTAAGGTTAGGCAGCTACAGTCTGAGCAGCGCGCTTCCCCTGCCCCGGTCCCGGATGACGCTCAGTCCCAGGCATCTGGATCGGCAAGTCAGATTGGAAGACCCGCTTCTGAGCTTGGAGACAAAGCTCAGGAGACTGCGCAAAGTGTGCAAAATGGCGTCGAAGACCAAGGTGTCGGCCAGATTGACTTGTCTGTTCTGAAGGGTCTGCAGGTCGGCGAGGATGGTCTAATCCATGATCAAGATGGAAATGCCATTGGCCGACTCGCGGAAGGCCAGGCTGAATATCTCACCGGATACACTGTCGGTGACAACGGAGAGATCCTCGATGAGGATGGGGATCTTGTCGGAGTTGCCGATGTTCTTCCTGAGGCTTTCCAAGATGCGGTTGACGGCACCCAGGAGGGGGCTCAAGAAACAACCGACCAGGCAACCAAAACCATCAACAATATTGCCGAGCTGGCGGAGCGTCCTGTCTCCGAGTCTGGTGAAATTAAGGATGATGATGGCAACACCATCGGCAAGCTTGTTGAGGGCAACCCAGAGGATTTGGCTGGTTATGCTCCTGACAAGGAAGGAAACATTCTTGATGACGATGGTGACCTTATTGGTCGGGTAGAGATCGCATCTCAAGCTCAAGAAGCAGCTGAAGCAGAACCCGAAGCAGCATCCGAAGCAGCACCCGAAGCGAAACCGATCACCGATATTGCGGCCCTGGCTGATCGTCCTGTGTCGGCATCTGGCGCTATCAAAGACGACCAAGGGCAGCCGATCGGAAAGCTTGTCGAGGGCAATCCCGAGGAATTGGCAGGTTATGCCCCGGACAAGGAAGGAAATATCTTGGACGATGATGGGGATCTTATCGGCCGTGTTGAGATTGCGTCCCAAGCCCGCCAAGGCGCTGAGAGTGTTGCCAGCTCCCAGTAGACCTGCTAGCAAACTGAGCCGTGAGGCTGTTGACGATGCGGATCAAAGGGACACTTCAACGGCCGATGAAGCCAAGGAATCTGTCGAGGAGGCTGCTGAAGAGGCAGACGATGATCTTCCTCCCCTTTCTACCCTGGAGGGCCTCAAGTGCAACAAACTGGGCAAGATTGTTGATCGGGAAACCGGTAAGCCTGTCGGTGAACTGGTCGAGGGCGATGCGAAGAAGATCGCTAGGACCTGGGCGCCCAGCTGGATGACAAGGGTCAATTCTGGGACAACCGCGGCAACGTCATTGGAAAGGCCAAGACCCTCCCTGTCGAGGAGCATCCCGATGAACCGCCCTTTGGTGGATTGGAGGGCCTCCACGTTGTTGAAGATGGATGGGTGGAGGACCAGAACGGCAAGCGTGTCGGTAAGATCAGCGAGGGCGATGCTAAGAAGGTCCTTGGTCGTCCTGTTGATGAAGATGGGGACGTCTTGGACAAGAATGGCAACACCATTGCTAAGGCTGAATACTACGAGGCCGAAGACGAGCCGGAGCCGGAGCCGGAGGAAGCCCCTGACCTGTCCAGTTTGGAAGGTCTCACCCCCAACAAGCTTGGCTATGTGATTGGACCAAAGGGCGTCCCGATTGGGCGTGTCGTGGAAGGCAAGGTGAAGGAACTTGCCGGCAAGGAGATCCATGACGGCCAGATCTGGGACGGACCGAAGCCAATTGGACGTGTTGAGCTTATTCCCCAGGAAGAGCGGGAGAAATCAGCCGAAGGTCCATTCGCCGGGTTGGAGAACCTTGTTGTAAACAAGGAGGGTCTCGTCGAAGATGACGACGGAAATGTGGTCGGCAAGGTCATTGAAGGCGACATCAAGATCTTGCGTGGACGCGCCGTCGACGAGGACGGAGAGATCATTGACAAGTACGGCAACGTCAAGGGCCGTGCAGAGCCATATGAAGTGGAAGAGCCACAGGAAGAGGCGCCAGACCTGTCGATCTTGGAAGGAAAGACGGTCAACAAGGCTGGAAACGTTGTGGATGCCCAGGGCAACGTCTTCGGACGGATCACCTCTGGTGACAAGCGCCTTGCTGGACGAAAGGTTGACGGCAAGGGCCAGATCTGGGGTGATAACGGCAAAGTGATTGGCACAGCCGAGCTCATCCCAGGAGCCGAGGAGCAGAAGCCCGAAGGCGCCTTCTACGGTTTCGAGAATCCCGTGGTCGGCAAGGACGGCGTGATCACTGATGCCTCGGGCCAGGTCATTGGCCGTATTGTTGAGGGCGATGCACAGCGCCTCCAGGGCCGCCAGGTTGATGAGGATGGCGACATCCTGGACAAGAACGGTAATACCATTGGCCGCGCTGAGCGCTGGCAGCCCGAGGAGAAGCAGCGTGATGTTAACCCGATGTCGGGCCGTAAGGTCAACCGTGAGGGAGAGGTGCGCGATGCCGATGGTAACCTCATTGGCAAGCTGACCTCTGGCAACCTGCCATCCCTCATTGGCAAGGAGATTGATGATAACGGATACGTGGTGGACAATGATGGTAACAAGATCGGGGAATGCACATTGATCGAGAACATTCCCGAGCCCGAGCCCGAGCCTGAGGAGCCTGAAGAGGAACCTCAGGAGCCAGAGATCTCGCCTGAGGAGCAGGAAGCCCAGAGGAAGCTAGAGGAGGACAAGCAGTTGGCCAAGAAGATGAGCGGTATTGTTGCCCAGACACTAGACCGTATTCGTCCTGTCTGCAAGATGATTTCTGAGGTACGTTTAATTTTGCTTCGATCACCGTGACACCACTAACCCCTCGATAGCATATTGAGAAGGCAGACCGCACGCCCAAGGATGAGCTTGATGAGGAGCAGCTGGTCAAGGATGTTAAGCCGCTCCTCGAAGAGGGCAACCAAATCTTGCAGGAATGTAATGGTGCCATCCGTGCCCTCGATCCGGACGGTCATGTTGCCGCCACGGCCAAGGCCCGTGCTGCTTCTCACGAGGCTTCTTCAGAGGAGTATGCTTTGGCTGAACAGCTTAAGGAGCTCACTGATCTGGTTGTCAAGACTATTGACAATGGCAAGAAGAGAATCGCAGGCATGCCTCATGCCAAGAAGAAGCTCAACCCTCTGTGGGCACTGCTCAGCGAACCCCTCGGCCAGATTATTACCGCCGTTGGCCTGCTGTTGAATGGTGTCCTCGGACTGGTCGGCCGGTTGCTGCAGGGTCTTGGCCTAGGCCCCCTGGTGAATGGACTGCTAGGCGGACTGGGACTGGATAAACTGCTTGGCAGTCTGGGATTGACTTCCCTGACGGACTCCCTGGGCTTGACTGGAAAGAAGAAATAATTGAATAAGCGAAGGGAAATGTGCCTGTGATATTACTTTTTTGATTCAATATTTGCCATTGATGTAAGATTGACGATAACGATTTTTACCATGTCGGTAGCTAGTTAATTAATCAAAGTCTCACCTTATCAACTTCATTCCATATCTTCATTCATAGGTCGAAGTTACTACCATCATGCACTACCTCCGTAAGCCTTATATATATTCCTGCTCTCCCTCCTCATATCGTGCTTCTTCTTCTTCTTCTTCTTCCACTACACTCCCTAGGTCTTCAGCGCTCTATATATAACACATCAACATGTCCTATTATCCTGCTATCTTGATGCCATAAAGATACTTACTTCATAGTAGGCCGCTGGTATAAGTTGCCGGGAGTTGTGGCCAGTTACAGAACCGTTCATAATAGTAGCTGACTAAGATGAATAGTAAGCATTCTGTTATATTATATATAATAGTTATACTGTTATTTCTAATATATAGATAAACTATATTTGAGTATATAACTATTTGAGGCTTATTTCATAGCTATTTACTACTATAGAAAGCTTATTTATTTTCTTTTCTAAACTCTCAGGTAAGAGCTACTATATCTATTTCTTTATTACTTTAAGTAAATTCTCCATATTTCATTTACTGTTATTTTAATTATTCTTTACTATTATATCTTTCTCATATTTTTTTTCTTTATATCTTTCTTTTTTATATTTTTCTTCTCTTCAACTCTCTCTTGTTTAACTCTCTTCCGTCTAATTTTCTTCTATTCAATTCTTTCCTATTTAAGTCTCTTATATTCAAGTTTCTTCTATCCAAGTTTCTTCTGTTCAAGTCTCTATACATCCACTTAGATCCGCAAGAAGCTCACTAGTAAACATAGAAGAAGACGATTTCGAAGATATTATTAATTAATCAGGTGGTGAATGAAAGGCTTTTGTAGATGATACAAGGAACAGTACTAATAGTATAAATAGAATAGGAGCTAACCAGAAGAAGAGACCGCAAGAAGACCAGATGCACGAAATTTCCGCCGAAAGAATAGCCCGGGAAGGCAAGAAGGGACTAATAAAGTTGCTGAAACTCGACGGGGACTGAGAGTGGAAGGAATGGATACAATCTGAGTTCGTTAAACCCCACTGGCTTGAACTTTGGCAGTATTTGAGTAAGGCCGTGGATACCAAGCGCGGTGTCGGGGTTAGTATTCTATAACCATATCGACATGAAATATATATACATACCATATACTACCTCCTCCACAAAGAGGAAATTGCAACGCCTGTGACTCCATCATAGGTCCATATTCCTCCTATCATTCCATCCCAACAGTCACCACAACACTCGTGGAAGAACCAACACTAGAGAAGAGAAGGGAAGGGAAAACATAACCATGAGTAGATGACACTCTTGTGCTTCGTCTACTTCCCAGAGAAGTTCCTTATCCCACGAAGATTGTATGAAACAATCTTCAAGAGATAAACTCCCCAAATACCTCGGTATTCCATTATGATACTAAGAAATGCAATGGATAATATCAAGCATTCCCGTGTCTCATTTAAAGCCGACAACCAAGAGAAATACAAGCCAAGAGCCCAACAGGCATCCAGTCGCTACTAAGATTGAGAAAGACTGTGCCACAGAAGGGGACTACGAGGCATACAAGGCTGATCTCGCTGTCAAAGCGCTTTGCAATGTTGATAGTGCTTCATGTATAGAGCTTTCACCAAATTCGGTTCGGCAGTACATGCTCTTAGTATGTATAACTACCACCCTATCGGATAAAGCGATCGTTGTTCTGCTGAACAAATGAGAAGAAAGACACTGTCAGATGCTTAAGCTCGCTTGAAGATCCCGCGATATCGTGGGCCCTGGAGATGGTGCATAAACACTTTGTGTTGTGTCTTGTTTATTGGACGAAGCATGCGCCAATTGCAAAACCCGGTCTGGGTTTCGATGATCAGTATAGTGAGTGCTCGCCTTTCGGCTTAGGGTTAGCCGCTAATTTGTGCATATTAGGGTTTTAGAGGAAACTTCCGTCGCCGTAATAATAACTACAGTCAAGACTTATTGTATATCCAAGGACTCGGTTTTATAGTATAGATTAAGCTATCTTCTTTGTCCTTTGCTTGGTTTCGTATTTTCGCCTTTCCATTTCTTTATATCTATGAAAATGTTCGCATAATACGGTTTGGAAGGATCAGGCATATTTAATCCAGAAAAAGAGCTCGCTCTCTAATTCTTATTACTCCAGAGCTACTAGATAGCTCAAAGTCACGTGAAGATACATTTCTCAATGCTTTATTATATAGCTTAGAAGGGTCTGGAACCGCTCCAGCCCGGGCAGGTACTATAACTGTATCCATGGGCATACAGATGATATCCCTTCTCACCTCCATGTTTCTATCATATTATCACATGGACCATTGACACACTACCAGTATAAGTAGTGCAGCGTAGATTACTCTGCTCATTATCTTACTTAGCCTATTAGTAGACGCCCTTGGTTCTCTGACTAGATCATGCGAAGGACTACTCTTATCAAAACATCTATGAATTGGCGAGTTATGGGACACAGCGCCAAGACATTAATCCCGAGGTCGTTGACCAGCACCTTCTAGCTGACCTACAATACGCGTGCCAGTATCGGGCACATCATCTGCAGCAGAGCCAAGGTTGTAATCTTGAATTCGAAATTCTTGCTTTTCTCAAGCAGCATTTCCTTCACTGGCTGGAGATTCTCGCACTAATGGGCAGAATATTCGAGGCAGTAGAAATGAATAACACACTACAGTTCAGGACCTGGGTAAGTTTACGGCTTATTGAAAAGGAAGCACAGACTAAATTATATCACAGGGAAGTATTGGACATGAGCTCTCTGACCTCCTTTAAAACGCAAGAAGATTCACTCTCCAGAATTTCTATACGGCTGGAATCGCCCCACTCCAACTATACTACGCGGGACTTGCGTTTGCACCCGAAAAGAGTATTATAAGGCAGTCTTTCTATAACCAGATATCAAAGCGAGCGCAAGTCCTACCAGTTGATAAGACATGGAGCCCAAATCTACAGACATTGGAAGGCCATTCTGATTGGGTTTGGTCAGTGGCCTTCTCGCAGGACGGTCACATTCTGGCCTCAGGCTCGTACGATAGTACTATCAAGCTCTGGGATACAGCCACCGGCACCGAGCTGCAGACGCTGACTGGCCTTTCTGATTCGGTTAGTTCAAATGGTGTGCCAAGTCAGGCAATAACTGAGTAATCCCCTCCAAGTAGGATGGTTTCACTCAAGTACGAATCAAGGTTGTGAATGAACTGGCAAATTTTAAGCAGTAAAGTATGAACCCGAAGACTAAATACATGCGTGGTAATGGCTGTCCCCGTATATCTAGCCCCCGTATGTATTCCCGTTTACCCCCGAGGGTAGTATATATTACTATCATCGGGCTTGTGGAATTTGGTATTTGACCTATCCGGCTGTTGAACACATTCACAGGCTTAGCCTTGATTTAATAGATAACTCATGGAGTATTCATACAAGACTTATCAGAAACGGTAAGGCTGTGAAAGTTTAGCACCATGAAATTCGTCTTTCCATCGATCGAAGGTAGACATACGGAGTGATAAATCATCAGCCTAAACGATGACCGCAGTTGGAGCAATAAACGTGCCCGTCTACTACATCTTTTTCACACTTAGGGCACGTTATGCGGACCCTGACACTTGGCGACACTGGGGCAATAGTAGTCTCTCCCAGAGATTCAAATTCCAAGGAAGGCGTCATTTTTTGAGATTGGTGAATTTCAGATAGTTCTGAGCCGGACAAGCTTTGGTATGAAAATCTTGACTGTTGTGCTATTGTATCTCTAGACGGGCTTGTATGAGAGCGAACAGAATGTGCAATTTATATGTGCTCTTGTTCGTCCAGAATGCGGGGGAGGAGGGGGCATGAACCAAATTTTTGCATTAGGCCCGTCCTTGTCAATCCTAGTAGTTCAACCGCAATCAACATGTGTAGCACCATCCCTGCAATCAACATATGTGCACTGTCCCCGGTCAACCCGGGTATTTCAGCTGCATTCATCACTCCTCCTGGGAATCTGAGACTATATGTACCAATAGCATCTCTATCATACTTAGTAAAAGAGGTAGCCTTCTCCTGGTGCATTGCACTGCCCCAAGACCGTCTGTGCTCGCCCGATGAGGCATTTTTACTATTGATCCGGATCATCGATACCCGCTATCTTACCTCCTCGGGGGGGCCTCGTCTACTTCGAGCCCGCAGTGCACTCTCTCTTGTGCTCCGAATCATTGGACTGGTCGTTGCCGCCAGGGCTAGGTTTTTCATCATCAGACCTGGTCAACTCGTCGATCCTTGGAGGAACGTATCATGAGTGGCCCCTGGTGTCCGGCCCCAGGGGTCTGACGCCGGCCTTGCGAATTGGTCATATAGCGGTCAGCCAGTCAGAAGTTAGACTTTCGCACAGTCAGCGAGCAGGATTGGAATTTAGCGGAGGAGACAGAAATGCCAAGAGTACCCTAATCTAAGACTGACATAGCCCAGAAAACCACACTCAATGAACCTTGTCCACACATCCACTCCTTATCCCTGCACAGATATTGATTAATGATATCTTCTGATAACACTATTTGTCTATATATTTTATTCGTAATATATATTTCGTGGTCATTAATACCCTTATTAGATTCACGAATACCTGATTTCAGGTCAGGAATATCATGTGAGTAGATACGAAAAGTGCAGCTGCCTGCGTGTTCTAAGTATTCACACGGATGGAAACATTGACAAGGAACCGGCCGTTTTCAATGAACCATGTGCGACGAAGGTCATTATTTCTGGAGCACAGTCTCCGAGGCATCCCTTGCGGTTTGACAGTTGAGGAGGTGGGTCATTTAAATCTATGTGTGAAACTGGGCACAGCCTCTATCTCCCTGCATCGAGTGAGATACCCGGTTTGATCAGTGTTATAGATACGATCGCTCATCCTCCCACTTAGTTTGCTGCGAGTTGTGCTGTAATATTGGAGATGAAACGATTCCAGGGCGACTATTGGGGATCGTGTTGCGATACTGGGAGGATGAAGAGACTTTTCGACGGAGTTGGTCTGTTTACCCTGCTGAAGATTATCCTTATAGGAGGGGGTCGTTTATCACTAAAGGAGATGAATTGGCAACTTGAGTCATTGGGAAGTTATATCGAGCATGTAGTATATTATTTTTGATCTGCTTTAGTGATCTATTTAGATACTTTGTTCCACATATAGGAGAACATTGTGAGATACCCCGGCTCCTGTTTGAGCCTATACTTTTTCACCTTCTCGACGAAGCTATACTCGCCGTAACGTAGGTATTTATTCCCAGAAATTACCCAGGAAGCTTGATGCTAAACGAATGTATGGTAAGGAGCTGAATAACCGTCAACGCCGTATCACGCCACCCGTCCAAATCTATATGTCAAATCATGCAATATTCATTATTCGTTTCAAGTCATGAAGTGAAAGAGGTTTCACCAAGTAGTCGTCAATGCCTGCTGCAAAGGCCTGCTGTTGCATCTCACTCGAGGCGACACCGGTAACCGCCATGATGGCTGCTCGTGGGAGCGAATGTTGTTCTTCGTACTCGCGGATCTTACTCGAGGAGACGATTCCGTCCATAATCGGCATTGAGATGTCTGCACAATTAGTCACTGATGCTGAGCAATGAAAGAAGCAATGCACCTACCCATGAGGATGTAGTCAAAAGGCTTTGTAGAGCTTTTGTACTTTTCTAATGCAGCAAGGCCGTTGGATGCTGTTTCGTAACTGCAGCCGATTTTTCGAAGGAAGGTAGCGAGAATCTAGACATGTTAGTGCTTATTGTAGACATGCGAGGGATTGTGCGTACCTTAAGGTTGATATCATTGTCATCCACAATCAAGACGTAGAGATTCTTGCCGATAGATTCTCGAGGAGGCGAAGGGGCAAAATCGGACACATTCTCTCTAACCACAGGCGGTGATTCCGTGCCCTTGGCCATAGCAAACGCATCAGACAAGCTCCGGCCTCGGAGCGGGACACCGGAAAGGGGACCTAGAATGGGGCTTTCCGCATACGATATCCCTCCGTCGGAGTCTGTGATCCGCTGTAATGCCTGCAAGATCTTGCGAGGTCCAATCCTATTCAACATTAGTAGATAGCTTCCGGAGACATCCAATACACATACGGCTGAGGAACATAGAAGACATCAGCCCCTTTGATGGCGAATTCCCCTGGGAGAGTGACACCTTGTTCGCCAATGACAACAATAGCCTTGAATTTCACATCGATGAGCCCCCTCTCCGAAATGGCTTTCAATGTGGATTCCTCAATGACGGCAATATCGCCGGAGGCCTTGTCTAACTGATCGGCGAAAGACACCATCCACCCGGGCTGGCTAAGTAACACATTGCTGAGTGCGCCTCTTAACGAAAGCTTACGCTTCGCTTCCGTGCTCAAAAGACCACTGGGGGCTTCTTTGAGATCTGCATATGCATTGAGGCCCACCAACGACACACGGGTCATTTTCCGCGTTCCCGGGGCACCACAATCCATTGAAGAGGTGTCTTCCACGAACTCCACGGGAATGTGGACATCCACTTGCGTCCCAGCCCCTACATCACTCTTCACCTCCACCTCGCCTCCAAGGTACGTCACCAGCTGTTTCACCACACTCAGTCCCAATCCAACACCCTCTGTCAAGATGCTTTCCTGCGCAAATGGCTTGAAAAGGTGGTGTTCGAGGAAGTCTGGTGAGATCCCACAGCCAGTATCCGTGATTGACAGGTAGGCTAGAGTCTTCTTCGTGTAGCCAGACCTTTCCACCTTCTTCGCCAAGGAAACTTCAATGAAGCCGGATGTCGTGAACTTGAATGCGTTTCCTAGGATATTCATGATGATCCGCCTCCATGCACCCGAAAGTGACTGCAGATGCCATGAGCCCAAGTCTTCAATGCGGACGATCACCGACAAATCATCGGCTTTCGATTGTGGTGCACCAGCAGGCCTATTACCAACGGTAGATCCACTTGGTAGGTAGCGACTGGCCACCTTCGCAGCCTTGATGAGCGATCGGTGGCCTGCGTACAAGGCATCAGTAACGTCCTCCACAATTTCGTCCAAGTCAAACTCTGTCAGTAAGTTATCCATCCCTTCACCATTTGCTCCGCCTCTTTTGCGCAAATGAGTCAGATTATTGATTTTCGTAAATTCAAGACTGCGGAGAATTAGTCAACATCATACAGCAGAAAGAGGCGAGCTTACAGGTGATTCATCGTGTCCAATAGTGTGAGACCACAGGTTTCTACCATGGCGACCATGTCTTGTTGGGCGGTGTCCAGAGACGTGGTCTGCAAAAGCTCTGTGCTGGCAAGCATACCATGCAATGGGGAACGTAGCTCATGACTGACCGACGCCAGCAGGTCTGACTTTGACTTCTCTGCAGCCGTCCACTCTATCTGGCAGAACCCAGAAACAATGGTATCACCGAAGGACCTGAGAAAGAGCAGATCATCCTTGCCGAGCTGTCGCTGGTCATCACAGGTCCAAATGAGTGTTCCTGCAAGCCAGCGTGATTTGTTCCAGTTCCACAACGGAAGAAAGATCATAGATTTGGCCTCCGGGAAATTGTGGGCCAATCGGGTGGTGATAGAGTGCCGCAAAGGGATCTCACCCTGGTTGCTTTGTACACTTTGTCGGCGTTGATGCAAAGAACTCAAGGCTGGCCAGCCAGAAGCCAGATGTGGGTGAAGTATTTCGCCTTGAGGAAAAGCAGTGAACATGTCATGGAGCAGACCTTCCGTCAAAGGAATTCTAAACATGCTAACGCTGTTTCCCAGGGCACGCTCAGATGAGGCTACCCCAAGAGGCTCACACTGCTTTTCAGACCAGCCACCATAAGACGATACACTAGGTGAGCGGAGAGATAATCCAGAGTCACTTTCTTTGTCCCACTCTCCAACACTAGCGGTCGATTCACTGTGTCATGGTTAGCTACATTTGCAATACTTGCTGATGGAAATATCATTATACTTGCCCTCGAGTGTTGCTGCGTGATGCATCGACAAAGAGAACGCCATCTAGATCCATACATTCCTGCAGTAGCCCACTTGCGCGAGAAAAGAGCATCGAGGCTTTTTCAGAGATAGGAGTGCCTTCTGGCACCATTACGAGGTTGCTCGTTTCATCAGAGCTTTTCCTCACATGCCGCTGATGGATCCCATTTGGTACTGAATTATTACTTCCAAAAGCTGGAATCTGGAAGAAAGGGGATTCAGGGGGAGGCTGTGGTGGCGGATGCCTGGTGGAAGATGGTGAGACCTCGCGAATATCGGTTGCTGACACGGAGAGGCGGTCGATCTCTGGGACATCCGATGAACGAGGTGAATGTGGCACTTCCGATGAACGGGGCGATACAAGACTGGCCGCAGCCGTACTTTTCCTTCGGCTCTTCCATCCATCGTTCTCAGTTGGCGACTGTCCCTTGACGAACTTCATAAGTCCACCTAATAAACGGTCGTTTTGGCGATAGTGCCGTACTGCCCCGAGATTTTCAAGGTGACTTGCAACAGCCTTGGCAACATCTTGCAGTTCAGCCAGTTCACTAGCACCAAAATGGTGGCAAGGCTTGTTGTTCACTACGCAATATGTCCCAATTACCTCTCCACAGGATGTGGTCAATGGAACCTCCGCGTAGAGCCTGGGGCGGATTCGTTCCACGAAAGGATGAGACTCCAGAGTTGCTTCCATTCTAACATCACGAATGATGGTACTAATGCCATCACTGGTGATATTCGAAGAACGGGTGTCCTGTATTGCATTCTTTCCCAGACCGAGAGTGCTCATACCTATCGTAATACCGTCCACAGATGTCTTGTTCCCGCAGCGTGAGCCGGACGGCGCAGCTTCAGCGATTATATACGTCTCTGAGTTATCGACCAGCGAAACAAAGGCGAGAGTGCACCCTAGACGGTAGGTCCCCAGTTGTGCAAGAGCCACCAACGTGGGGTCTGAGGCTGGGCTAGCCATCGTGGAGTGGTTATGTCCATTGACGACCGAGCCCGGGGACACCTTGTGCAGCAACCCGTTGGCTTGATCCGGAGCCTGGGAGCTGTAAAATCTGTTACCATCATTGAACAGTAAGCAGTGCTTCTTTAATACACGGCAGCGAATGCAGATGGGCACGGATGCTTAGCGTGAAGTCGTACCTGAGAAGTTCGGGGGTCATCCGGGGCAGCCGCAGGGGATTGAGAGCTGCCGAACCCACAGCGTTTGTGTGATCGTCTAGGACATTGCAAGTCGCCGCGGAGGTTTGTCCAGGGCCAGATGGTACGATTAACGGAAAGAACAAGCACCAGATATATTCTCAGATCCCTAGTCACGGCAAAGTTAGTCGGCAAGGCTTTAAGGTTTGTGATCCGGGCGCCACCGGATTTGCAACAGATATTTTCAAAGAGAATGCTAGAGCTGACGAGAGCCGGCCAAGTGGTATGAATGCAGGTCTAGGCCACGGGCTTGATGTGAACGATTCTCTTAGTGCACCTAAGCGATGGGCGACCCCGCCGGCTGATGGCCCCGACCCCGGATAAGGGGATCATCGCAAGGCTCTGCATGACCGGCCCTGCCGAATCCCGGGTACGACCGTGGCGTGTTCCATGGTTCGGTCATCTTCGCTTGCCGTACAGACATCGGCCGAATAGCTTCAAAGACGGCCGTTGTCGGCTCCGACAGTTCGCCTCGCTTAAGTATAGGAAAGACAGCGAGAGATGCCGACCCGCTCATGGTGAGAACGAGAAGATTCGACTGAAAAAGCCATCTAAACGATTCGGAATGGCTGCATTGCCGATAATCGTGAGAAGGAGGAAAGTGGGATGAAGGCAAAGGTGAACGGGTCATTGATGTAACCCAACTCTATAGACTCGCGCGTGACGCACCGCGATTCGTCCGGAGTTACTTTTCCCGGCGCCGCTTTCAGGTCGTGTTCGCCTGAGGCATCAGACATCAAGCGTGTGCCCTGGCGAGCCCTTGCCCTCGTCAGAGACCTGATTGGGCTTATAGTAGTACCTCACAGTGTGTTATTTGTTTCGACAGGAAGAACAGGTTTTCGGTAGTCTTCCTACTACTGCCAGTACTATCTTGCGGATGATCCGTTCATCACTCCTCCCGTTTACGATTAGGTGGTGATCTACAGGAAGAGTAAGCAGGATGTGGCCGGAAGCTTAAAGGAGGGGGGCACATCCCCCTCCTTCGGCGATCTGTCCATTCAATTATCAGTCTAAGCTGTGTCAAATGCTATTACTCATTAGACAAGCTGCACGCGTAGAAATTAAGATAAGGTGGAAGATGCGACGAGTATGTACGACTCCAGCCCAGGAAGCTACTGCAGGGACCCTCCGAGACCCACAAAGGGAAAGGATCGGCTGCTATTACTCATCGACTTGGAGCATGATTCATTCAGTCACGTGGTGGTCGTTGTCATGTTCATCCAGAGTCATTCTAATGGTCTAGATCTTCTCTCCCACGCCGAACGATTCTGGGACTGCCAGGCCGTAAGACCTGCAAGAGCTTGAACTACTCTTCCACAATCATCGGGGAGTGTCTCACAGTTATACGTATCAGGATAGCTTAAGGCTGTGGAATTCTGCTCGTTATTTTGACGGCTCATACATGGGGTATCACTGTTCAAGGCTCGAATTCGGGATCGCGCCCTACAAGGGGCACATGCCAACAGCCAGTCAGATCTAGGTTCGTGTGCTTACTCTGTCCTTGTGAAGATCGACGGCCCAAGTCCAAGTTCTAGGCCCACCTGCCGATGCATGGCTGGCGGTGTAACCTCGCGGACAATGATTGATTAGTCTGGCCCAGCCAGACGCCGTCTAATCGTACAAATGTACTTGACGCCCAATTGTCCTCCTATCAAAGCCTTGTAATATGTTGGGGGAGTGTCGTGCAAGACCAAGACAAATGTAACCTAACCACTAGAACAGCGGAGGGTCCAAAGTTGGGTTGATAGAAAAAAAGGCCTCAAGGTCCATTGTTGAGAAATCAAAGTCCCACCCCATGTCCGACTGAGTGAAATCAAGCAGGTCTTCTCCACTACCCAAGCTACCGCTTGGCATGCGTAGGCCATCCTGCAAGGAGTTTCCTTGAAAGTCAGATAGCATTGAAAGGCCTCCCGCAGCCAGGTCCGATTGAAGAGGGTCAGGAATGGGACCTTGGGGCTGGTGCGAGACGTTACTGGGGTACCGTCGCACAGCACTAGCATTTTGGTCGATGTTATAGGAATCCCCTTTCAGCATTGTATCTGGCGACCATTCATACGATGGGTTAAGTTTTCTCAGGACGGTTTGAATGGCAGACATGGAGCTGGAGATTGGTTCGCCATATCGCATCGATGAAAGTCCTTGCAAGGCGGCATGTATCCAAGGAAGGTGAGTTGATGCCAAATTTTCTCCATGCATCAGATCATAAATTAGAGCGAAGCTAGAGCTGCCCAGAAAGTATCCGTGATAGCGAAGTTCCTGGGACGTCATCAGCACCAGGCCTGATCCAGCAGAATGGACTGCGTCTAGACTTACCCGAACCAGTTCGTTATATATGGAAGCCTCATATAAATGATGGATGGTCCTGCAAGCGGCACTAAGGGCCTGGTTACAGGCTTCATTGAGCCATGTGGGGATTTCTGTTGGTCCCTTTGCCGTGCTGTGCCCTGGCCGTTGCGAGGACATCTTCATATCGTGCTGCCACCGACCTCGAAAGATCAAAAATGGCTGAAATGTCAATAGAATGGTATGATAATAGACTGAACAGTCAGCTTACATCTCAGATACCAAATAATCTGGGAACATACGAGTTATTAGGATAGTCTGTCGTACGCCCAAACTCCCCTGCTGAACCGGTTTATCAAGCCCAAACCCTAGTGCATGTTGCATTTTCGAGTCGTAACATCGCATGTCATCGGATATTGATTTAGCAATCTTCCACATTTGCAGTAATGATTCATGCCGTCGGCCATACATCTCATCGGCTGATCGGGAGAAGATTTTTGATAGATGGACGAGCACCTGCAAGAATGGGTCCTTTGGTAGTGCGATTCCAATGTCCTTTGCGGATAGGGACCTCGGTCGTCCAAGATGAAAACATGTCCAGCTGTTCAAAGAATCAGTGTATATCAAAAATACTAGCTCATTGGGTGACCAACACTTCGTAGAAGTACAATGACCAGAATGTACATCGTCGTTCCTCAACACTATCAGCAGCATCGTTACTCTCGGCGGGAGCTTCTTTGTGCAGACCGGCAGAGATGGCCTTTCGGGCAGCCGCGCCCATTAGGAGAAATGCGGAGTTAGGCCTTCCTTGCTCGTTCTGGAAATGGGCGTGCTGGCCAAAAGGTCAGTGTTGTGTTGTCTAATTCCTGAAAAGGCTTTTACTTATCATGAAGAGCGACAATTGTACAGTCTGGAGGTTGACTACATCGTCAAGAGAAGAAATAGACGCCTTTACGCGCTCGTATAGTATATCTCCCCAGCTGTGGTGTTGTGTTCCTAGCGAACCGGTGGCTAGCCCCAGCAACAGTAGTGATCGCGCCCATTTATCTGAGCGCGAATCTGGTGTTAGACGATACAACTGATCGAGCTGTTGATAGAAGGCTTCCTTAGGCCAAAACGGCACGAGGTGATACAGAGTTGCCAAAAAGCGTTCAAGAAAAATTTTGGCTAAGTCGTAGGGCAGAAATAGCACATTCGCATCGGGTCCATTTAGGGCCTTGTTCGAATCATGCGACTCAGCCTGGGTTCCGAAGAAAATCCGACGGAAGCTAAACATGTCCAAGCCAGCTCCGGCTTCTTCGACCTCGCCTTGTAGCTCCTCCGTCTCCGCAGTTTGGTTGCCGGAAATCAAGCCCCTATAGATTTCGTGCATGAGCGCAAAGTGAGAAGTCGAGCCATAGTATAGCTGGACTTTACACGATGGCGATGCCATATGTGTGGCTGAAACGCTGTTGTTGAAGGTCAAGCTGACGGAGGCATTTCTCCGTCGGGCTGGCTGCATCACCCCAGGAGACTGCTGACGTGCGCCGTACTCGGCCCGCGTAGCCCCATTCGAGGGATATTCATCATTCGCGGGAGCATCTGTATATTGGTGTTTCTTCTTGCGCTGCCGAATGACTTCGCGATAAATACACGGGGTATGGCGCAGTTGGCAGGTTTTGCACGGATTGACACCGTTGCATTTGATCTTCCTCTTCCTGCACTCTTGGCATGCCTTGGGAATCCGCCAGCCTGAAGGCTGTGCTGGGGATATGGCGTCCGCCATTTGAAGCAGGACAGTAAACTAGGGTAACAGCGGACCCGTAATACTCATCAATCCCACTGCAAAGTCGTGTTGCTGCTCGGGTTTAATTTTCCTGATGGTTGCTGCGTCATGGACTGCTGCAGCCACCGAGCGGTCGGATTTATCGCACGTGAGTTTATCCGTTATTCCGAACCCCATCTGGTTTAGTCCCTTTTCGCATTTTGGCACCTGACTCTGGCAGTTTATCCTAAAATCAATAGTCAACTTGATTCTTTGAAGTAATAATTGATCCATACTGAAGAAGCAATGCTATAGTTGTTGTTGAGCTGTCTATACTGAGTATAGGGAACTCGTAATGGTTTTGTAACTACTGCTAGCCGAAAATATATAGTAGTATATTTTGCCTAGTCCCCACAGATTACAGTGCTAGCTGCCCTGAAATACTAATGATTGAACTGTCTTCACCATCACCACCACTTTTCAGGATACTAATGGTGAGTTGCTTCCTTCTTTAAATTCAACGACTACTATTGTGTTGAAAGCTCGTTCAAGCTGGTACGTAATAGAACACCACTAATCACATTGGGACACCTGCGAACCATCCTCGGTGGAGTATAAGCGTTGCTTATAATGGCTAGGATTGTTACTCAAGCTTCCATCACATAGAAAGGCCCTGTGATACAACAGAAGTACACGGTGACTTTTACAATGAGTCGGGAGATGACTTGGGGGGAAAGAGCCAAGATATGCTGTCGGTGATACGACAAACTCCCGAGCGGAGTATAGCTAGGACCGCCGGCGAATTGGAACCCAGCCGAAGGCATCTCGTTTTACAGTCTCTTATTCGAGAAAGAGATCGCCTATGACAGATTTCATGCAAGTAAGTACAGTCGCTAATTTCGGCTACTGAGCGGAAATTGATGAGACAAACAGATGTCAACGGAGCCCTCTCGCGTCTCGCAATTATTCCGATCACGAATCTGGAAAATACAAACTTTCAAAACCCATGCATCGAGGCTGAATTTAAATTGTCTCAGAGTAGAAAATGTGCTCATATCACCAACTGCATTTTGGTTTTATGGGCTGGTTGACCTTACGTTAAAGACGACGTCCCAGGACTTAAGTCGGGAAGCCAGGCTCACATGGCCCGAACTGCTCGAGGAGCTGGCCGTGCACGCATTACAAGACACAGACAGGTTCAACCCTGAGAAAAGATGATGGGAGGTATACTGAGATAGGCCGACTCCTGGCACCCTTGTATTTACATGATTTTGCTGTATCCATATATTACACCTTTCTCATGTATTTCTGCTTGCCTACAGAAACTCGTTAATTGTTTCCCAGATTACTCTTGGGAGATATGGAGATTCCGAATATCAGCCAAGATCTGGAAACATCTACATTATCTTAATAACTTCAAATCGTATTCGTAAGATATTAGCAATCAATCGTGATGCACGAAGACAGCAGCAAAAACATCAAATAGTATACCTAAAAGCCTTATCCTCAACATCTGTATGATCCGAATCAACCGAAACGCCCATACGACCACCACCATCACCCCTATCAACCATATACTCAATATAACCCTCGCTTGCTTTGAGATCACGCCGCCTGTTCAACCCCTTCACCATAAACACATAACCAATAAAAGTAAGGATCAAGCACGCCATGGCTGCAATACTCAAAATACACCCCTTCGTATACCGAGGGGCATCATCCTCCGTCCAAGCCTGAGGACTAACAATGCATCCAACGCAATATGCAACGAAGAAAGCAGTTGACACGATACTTTTCTTCGTATTACCCTTCACGTTACTAGCGATAATGCTGGCCGCGCTACTTATCAACGAGGAGCTGCATCCTCCAAGCCAGGTCGCCACCACTATTCCCCAGTCTGCACCGCCGGAATATGGAAGCGTCATGAGCAATATTGAACCCAGGAGAGGTACGATGGAGAGACCAATGGCGGTGTATACTCGTGCTCCAGGCAGAATGCGGGGGATGATGGCGCCGATCCAGACGGTGATGAAGTTGAATGCTCCGGCTGGTGTTCCGACGAGCATTGTTTTGTATGTTGAGTAGCCGAAGCCATGTATGACGGTGGAGCTGTACTTTTGGGTGGGAAGAGAGTAGGTTAATACCTTGAACATTCAAATAAGCGGAGGCTGGCATACCTTCATTATGGGGGTCGTGAGAGTGATACAGATACCCATCAGACAATAGATCCATGTCATTGGTGACAAGAGTGCCTCCTTGAGTTGAGCTTTGTTGAATACTGCATGGTCCCGAGTAGCGCGATCGACTGCCATGCGCTGAGTTGCCACTTCTCGTTCCCGTGGACTCAGAAACCAAGCAGTAGTCGTATCTCGGGGCATCAAGAAAATGAAGAGCAGACCAGTCGCGGAGGTCAAACCTCCGCAAATCAAGAAAGGAGAGCGCCACGGGGCGAGTGACATGTTTCCCTTGCCAATACCATACATCATGAGGGCGCCTATAATATTCGCTATACCGTTCATTGATACCCATGTAGCGACGCGTATCGGATGTTCCTGGCGTTTGTACCAATTACTCGTAATTATAATGAAGGCTGGGGAGACAGTCCCTAGTAGGATACTTAGCCTTGGAAGCGGATGGTCTATGAAGTAAGTCTTGCCTTCGGAGAACCCCAAGAAGAAGCGCACCGCTGCCAGGCCCGCAAAGTTGTGAACAGCAGCCAGACACATATTTACCCCACCCCATAAGACGATAGTTACCCCGGACATAAATAGTGATAGGAAATCTGGAGAGCATGATCCCAGCTGGGTATTCTGAACAAAGCTGGCCCAGATAAAATAACGATACTGCCCATGAATACTCCTGACCAGTTAGCTTGAGATCATCTCGCAGCCCGAATATTGCGGCCTGGTTGATTGTCTGCTTGTCGAGGTCTAAACAATCGGTTAGAAAGAAACTGACGTGAAAGCATGGACTATCCGCTGACATTGGAAGAAGTATACAAGCACCATCAGAGGAAGGATAACACAGTCAAGTTTCCGAACAACCTTTTTCTCAATTTCGTGGTCTATGTTGTAGAAGTGTGTATCATGTACAGCTTCAAGCTGACGCAAGTCACTGTCAATCTTCTCATTATCTGCCTCCTCCTGGCCGAGGTTTGAATGATCAGGAGCCATGTTGCAGTACTAGACAAGGCCGAGGATCAGAATTATATGGAGAGGAGTATAAGGTGAATACCAAAGCGCCCCCAAAATTCTAGCAAGGGGCATTTATATAATATGCTCAACATATTCCCAGCGAGCAACAGCGCTACGTCGGTTCTTCCCCACGGGATACCCCAGATTGAGGGGAACAACGGAGCTAGATTCTCCGCATATCCAGCAAGTAACCGAGAGGGCCTTTTGATTGAACAGACTGAGGTTATTTCTTCAGGTAGCGAGAGATAAGCTTTGGCAGGAAAGCATTTAAAAAAGCCTATATCGGTAAGATGTCAAAATCCCGATTGAGTGCATGGCCAAGCAGGATAGTGGCTCGGCACTTGGGGTTTGTGGAACACATATTTCCATGCAGTTAGAGGAAAGGGTATCTATAAGATCGAGAAAGCTCTAACGAAAGAAAGATTCAATACAAGACTAGGCTTATGGGATAATATATGTTTTCTGCCATCCCTTGCCAATGATGGAGCAGTATGCTGTTCTCAGTACGACACGCTTGGTAAAAGCCTTTCAGCTTCTCACATACCAGGCAATTCAGACAGCGGTATTGGATCATCATTGGATAATCCGGGCTCGCCAAAAATCTAAGAGAGCAAGAAAAATGATGTACTATACAAAATGCTTAACTGGCATCTTGAGCGAGGGGCTGAAAGCGTGGGCCAATATAGAACGAGGTTTATTTCCTGCTTAGAATTCTGCTCTTTCAATTGGTATAACGAAGTGCAGAGCAAGTCTATTGGCTAGATTGAAGAGAATGGAGTCATTCAAGCTAGAGGTAGGAATAAGGTCTCCCTATTGAGCTTTTATAAAGGAATGTCGAAGATATCGAGAAACTGAAAGGAAAATAGAGAATTCATATCTCGGGATTGTCTGAATAGGAACATCTCGGGGCGAGGCACGAAGGTGACATTCCTGAGCACCCATAGTTTGCTTCAACTTCTTTAAGATTTGCTTCGCATGAAGTAGACGCGGTCCTTTTTGAGCTCCCCACTGAGAGGCCAGTGACTTGCACTTGTCAACAAGAGCTTGGTCATACGGAAACTGGCGATTCTCGAGCAAGAGATCCAAGGCTTCCAAATAATACTTTTCGATAGCACACTCAAGCGGCTTGAGCTGTTGTATGCCCATGTCAGGCGCCCAGGTTTCATCACCCCAGCCCCTCAGTTCATCGCGGGCTAACAAGGCTCGGATAACATCCAGACGGTTAAGGCTTACAGCCATACCGAGCTCATGTATAGCAGTAACTCTAGGGTTGATTTCAGATACTCCAGCCTGCAAATGAATTCCTTTGTTGAGAAGGTAACTGCATTACGGGGACGTGACTTAACACATCCATAACCGTAAGCCGTGCGTTTGAAACCGATCGTGTACATATTCAAAAGATTTGGTTTGGCACTCAGAGGGATATTCGAGAATGTCAGTAGTATTTGCAAACTCCGCAGCAATATGGAGAGCCGTGCGACCCTTTCGACTTAAGTTCATGGGCTGTTCAAGGTCTATCAAACCTAATAGATGAACAAAGTATGCAGCAAGAAGATGCCATAGGCTATAATAAATCACAGCTGCTGTAGTAGCTCGCGCTGGTTATGTGAAGTGAATAGCGCGGAATAATGTATACCCTTCATCCGTCGTGATAGCCTTCACGCTAGACATAACACCATAAGTATGAGAGCACGTTGTCGATCCGGATGTAGTTCAATGTGTGTTATTTGTTTCTGTGTAGAATTTCTCTTCGTAGCGTTCTTTCTCTCTGGCGATGCCACCGTCCAGATTACCATGCCCTGTGACATGGGAAAAGTGAATGTCACCGTGCAGGTTACCATCCCCTTTGACATGGGAAGTAGTGAAACTTCGCCTTTTACTCCCATAACGCTTGAACATACTGCTTAGGTTTCTCAAGACAGCAATTCAAGTCGATCAAGCTCGAAGAACTAGTGGAAACACCATGGAGGAAGCCAGAGGCAGTGCCCGTGTGTCTGTTAGTATTGGTATAATCCAGTCAGTTAAAGCCTGATTCTAACCTCACGATATCCAGACAATGGAAAACGAACCTTCACAACCGCTAGGGTATCCAAAAGCCATTAGTTATATAATTATGGCACCCGGTCTGGAGGACCTTGCTTTCGTCCCAAACTTCGGAGAGATCGCGTATCATGCGAAGGGAACATATTTATCTATGGGAGGGACTGCGATCCTAGAACGTTTGCCATCTGGAAATGTGGCTAAGACACCGCTGTCGAACCCATATTCCCAGCGCCTGAATGAGCGCCACAGGCAAAGTATGCGTGTCGAGGCTCATGTTTATGAGTGTCTCAATGGCCATCCGCGCATACCAAAGCTGATTGATTGGGACCCAGTCGCCTGTTGCTTGACACTTGAGTATTTCGAAAACGGGAGCCTTGGCGATTTCGTAGGAAGAAATGACCAATCAATAGACGATTGCATGAGGAGCAAATGGGCAAGACAGGCGGCCGAAGGTATCCAGCTGCTTCACCATCACAATGTCATCCATAGTGATATATCGCCTAACAACTTCCTCCTCGACTCGAACCTGGACTTGAAAATCTCGGATTTCGCTGGCTCCTCTGTTTGCGGTTCACCAGGTTCTGCTCTTCCCGGCATAAGCTATCGTGATCCAAGTATTGAGTTTTATGTTCTTCGATGCTCGGACGACATTTTCAGCCTGGGCTCGGTGATATATTTTATTATGACCGGCAAACACCCTTGTTAGGACCTGCCTATTGCTGCTGTGAAGGATCTCTTTCGGCGTTTCCAGTTCCCTGAGGTCAGTCATATCTATTGTGAAAGTATGATAAGACAGTGCTGGCTGCTGGAAGTGGATGCCATTAATGTGTACGAATACTTCAGGAGGTTTGGATGATCGAACGGTTTCTGTATTTCCAGTTTCACAGCCAAATATATGACGTTCATCTTTTTCCATTCTCAGTAGCCATCCTCACCGCACGTCACGGCGGTGCTCGAAGCTAACAATAAGAGCGATAGTCACTGTGGATCGTATATAACATATCCCTCATCTCGGCGTGGAGGGGTTCTGTCGCAAGTGGCTGTCCCGACCGAGAGAGACGTTTATCCTGCTTTTTGCAGACGCGTTAAATACGCGCATATTTCGGACACCATTATACCATTCTTTAACGACTGATTGTAGTGCAAGATGGAATCAACCCAATATCATATAGGCAGAATGAGAAGGTTTGCACATTTGGCCTAGTACTGATAAGTCAAACGTAAGAAGCATTAGTATTTAGCTCTTGATAAGTTCAGAAACAGCTAATCAAGTCCCAATGACAGCGTTAGTTATATATAAAATGTGCTTTTTCTGTATATGTTGTTGAGTGGAATGTCTTCTAATGGACGTCAGATATCAGTTTTAGCCAAGGGAGAAGAGATGTAGACGCCCCTGAGTGAATTCAAGAGACCTGAATCACTACAGTATCTGGTTCCGCGATGTATCCGAGTGAAGCTTTCAGAAAGTCATGTGAATGAACCCGTTAACCGTATTTGGTTTCCTCGATATGTGCAATTCAATTTAGAGCAAACTTTAACAATAATTCTGGTTTTATTGGAGAGTCGTTGGGATGACTTCTAATTTCTGATTACATGTAACATCATTGTCGCACCGGTTGCCCTGACTAGCCAGCGATTTATTGGCTTGGTAGAATTTCCAGAAAACAGTCTGTTCTGTAAAAGCATATGCTATGCTAGGAGAATATTGGGGTTGAACATGTCCCATCCGCCTACCATGGCTATTGGTGTAAACCGAAGCCGTAGAGCTATCCTCCAGTGAGAATCGATTTACAATTCAACTCTTGGGCTTAGAGTTCGGGGTACTCTAACGCGTGGTGACCCAGAAAGTTAATTTTGATGGAAGTGAAGAGTAATGAAGTCATCCGTCAGATGACACCTTCACTGACAATTTTCTCATATATACGGCTAGAAATTAGAAAGTGTTGAATACTAGAAGTTATCTAACTCCCCCTTTTATTCGGAATTTGTCGTTTCATTATGTTCCCAAACCTACAGAGCTTGTCCGAAGAGGACGAATATAAGGATAACCCGGCACCTTCCGGCCGGCGGCGGTCGTCTGTGGTTCCACCTAGCCTGCAGTTCCTCGTCGATCAGGACTCACAGCAAGCTAGTAATGAGCCAGCCGAGTGGGAAAAGTCATGGGATCAAACGTACGTTTTATATATTGCTGGATGGTGAGCTAGTTGATCTTCTAACCCCACTAGGACTGGCAACCCGGAGCTTTGTGATTTCTTGGATCGAGTCTCCTCTAGAGATCCAACCGATCCGGACCGACAGGGTGGGGACAGAATGCGAAGGGGTTCCTGAGATAAAGGACATCTCAGACCGCCAGCTCAGGGACTTAACGGATCATATAGTTAATCTTGTTGGATTGTGCATGGAATTACCCCCTTTTTTTTACTGGAATAACCGGAATCCCACGGGTTCTCATTCACCATGTCATTACAATTATGCTCCATTATAGTAGGGTTGTAGCTGAGTATTGGTAAGTTTGCTGCGTGAGGAATGCTGCATCGTCGAGTGTCTTGTGAAATATCTTGTTGCTAGGAGAAGGGCTGAGTGGTGGACAATGCGCCTGAGCTCGGAATACCCGAGGATCCCTCGAGACATTTTGTGTAGAGACGTTTGTGGGTCGAACCGGAGGAATATGGCATGTTCCAACAATGATGGCATCACCACGTCAACGAAAGTGGAAAGACTATAAAGTACTAAGCTTCAGCTAACGGAACACCCACCAATCGGATTACAGATGGCCCACAGCAAGTGGGCCATATCAGCCCATGAGAATCAGCCCATTTTTCATCTCTCCGATTAGCAGAGGTTCTGACGTCTGCCCCGGACACCAGGATATCATCTCCACCAGGTCTACAATTGGCTAATGGTGGGTCTAACTCTGAAATATCTCGCATTGACGCGGCTCTCTCTTTCTTTTTCTTCCACACATGTACCGCATATTCTACGCAGTTATATCAAGGAACGTTGCCTTATAGCAGAGCTTTCTCTTTGCCATAGTCTTGTTCGGTATAGATCAAATTGTTATCTCTGCCCTCTTTTCAGTTGTTTCCTACGGCGTGCTCCGTAACCCCACACAATGGACCGTCGCGTCACAATTGCATCCCAAGTCGCCATCGCTGCCGTGGCTGGCTATTGCATCTACAAGGCATTTAACGCTCGACAGCAACAAAAATCCCTGAAGGATGCCGTGCCCAAGTCTTCCGCTGCTCCGCTCACACCAGAGCAGATCAAAATAATCAAGGCCACAGTCCCTGTTCTACAAGAATATGGAACCAAAATCACCACTGCCTTCTACAAGAACATGTTGACCGCGCATCCTGAGTTGAATGCTGTGTTCAACACTGCCAACCAGGTCAATGGCCACCAAGCACGTGCGCTAGCTGGTGCACTGTTCGCATATGCATCCCACATCGACGACCTCGGGGCCCTCGGTCCTGCCGTTGAATTAATATGCAACAAGCATGCATCTCTATACATCCAAGCTGACGAATACAAGATCGTTGGAAAGTACCTACTGGAAGCTATGAAGGAGGTACTTGGAGATGCCTGCACTGATGATATTCTCGATGCGTGGGGTGCCGCATACTGGGCCCTGGCCGACATCATGATCAACCGCGAAGCCGCACTCTACAAGCAAAGCCAGGGCTGGACCAACTGGCGCCAATTCCGCATTTCCAAGAAGGTGCCCGAGTCGGACGAGATCACCTCGTTCTACTTGGAACCAGTCGACGGCAAGCCACTGCCGCCCTTCAGGCCAGGCCAGTATATCTCGGTGAGCGTCCAGGTTCCAGAGTTGAAGTACCCCCAAGCTCGTCAGTACTCGCTCAGTGATACCCCTCGCTCGGATTACTATCGCATCAGTGTCAAGAAGGAAACGGGGCTTGATCCTCGTGCTCCGGGTGCTAAGAGACACCCCGGGTACGTCTCCAACGTTCTTCATGACATGATCAAGGAGGGCGATCTCATCGATGTTTCTCATCCCTACGGAGACTTCTTCTTGTCCACAGCTGAAGCTACCCACCCGATTGTTCTTCTGTCCGCGGGTGTCGGTATGACGCCCATAGATGTCCATCCTGAACACCATCACTAAGAAAAAGCAACGCAAGATCCACTTCATTCATGGATCCCGTACCACCGAGGCTCGCGCTTTCAAGAGCCACGTTCAAAAACTGGAAAAGGAAATCCCTAACATGCAGGTGACCTATTTCCTCAGCAGGCCAGGTGACAGTGACCAACTGGGTGTTGATTACCACCACGCTGGACGAATTGACCTCCAGAAACTCGATGGACCATCCCATCTGTATCTGGACAACCCTTCCACGGAATACTATATTTGTGGTCCCGACACCTTTATGACGCAGATGGAGGAGGCTTTGAAGGCTTATGGTGTGGGCGATGACCGGATAAAGATGGAGTTGTTTGGTACAGGTGGTGTTCCTCATAACTAGAATACCCTTCCACTCTTGCTGTGTTGTACTATACATCCCTTGAGATTTCATGTTTACTAATGATATTCAACGATCGGAATCCTGCAACTGAAACTGATACCCATGAAAGGGAACATTCTTCATCTATTTCTTCGTGTTGATGCCGAGAAACACAGTGTCTGTAATTCTAACTACCTAAAAGAAAGAGAAGAAAGACCTTGAATTAGTACGGGTTGGTCTAAGACCGAATATAGTCCAAGGCCCATGTCTCGCCCGAAGTTCAGCCTCCACGACGCCTCAGTGCTCATCCGCCCCATCCATGTTTATTTTATTCCAATCAGCAGAAAAACGGGAGTCTGAAGTAAGCACGCAACCGGTGATTCTCTGCCCATCTACATAAGCCTCGAACGGATACCGAGTTCTTGTTGGGTGACTATCGGTCCAGACAAACTCACTCCGACGCCGATCACCAATTACCCAGATCCAATCCATATACAAAGTAAGCAAAGTAGTTAGCGACGTCAGTTAAAATCCTGCTGATCGTTGCACCTGCGATTGGTGGTACATGGAATTAGCTTTACAACTTTAGGGGGTTAGTTCGTCAATTTATGAGATTGAAGGGGAACCTTTAGGTCGATCAATTCTTGCTTCCTCAAATTCTACGGTATCGGGAGCAGAATCTCGCCACCTATCGGATGCTAAATAGCATAATATTGTGCCTCTGAATGATTTCTAAGCAGCCTTACCAGGTATATCATTATATAATATGCGAAATGACGCTTTCATTGCCATCCCGTGTACCACGGTTGGAAGTCTACGCCTCAATCATCAATATACACTTTTGCGACATGAACTGATCAATGGACATCAAATATTAGATACATATACTGCTAGATCCTCTGAGTAATGTCAATGAGCACCCCACCAAGTAAAATGCATCACAGCCATCCTTCTAGAACCCCGAGAGAAGAGGCTCGACGATATCGCGGAAAGCGCATTGGTTCTGGCGAGGAAGCCGCGTGGATTAAATGTGAACGGCAGGTATGCTGCGCATGAAATCTGCGGGTTGGGTTACAGGCTATTTTGGACAAAATTTCCCCGTGGGCCATTCTTATCCGGACTTCAACTAGATTATCATTGATGGTTCTGATTCGTTGATCAGATGGGAGAACATAAGTACAGCTACGGTAGTCTATCTGATGGCTCACGGCCGGCCTCGCTAACGTTGCCACTTTTCGAGCCACCCAAAAAATTTTCCTCTGGCGGGTCTCGCTAGATTTTCCTTCTTCGCCCCGCCAACGCTACGTTCGCTGCTAAATACAACTTATCTCCTGCACCAACGAATCTATCTTCCAAAGTCTTTTTCCGACTTGATGATTGCCTTCGGGCAGACATGCGCTCTCACTTTGGCTGGTAAGGTGCCAAACCAAGCCTGCCCCTGTCCTTCCTTCCCTAGTCTACATAGAAGACCGTCTTAACATTCTGTTTCGTCTTTATAGCGTGACATGTAGACAACGTAAGGTGAAATGCAACGAGGAGAGGCCTATATGCGGCCCATGTGCCAAGTCCTCCCGTGATTGTGTCTTCTCCGACTGCATATTTCGTCACTACAGTGCCAGCGACCTTGCCGGCGATGAAACCGGATACGCGACACAGACATGGGTCAAAGTACCTTCTGACCGTAAGCTAGACTCCTGTTCACCTGTGTATTCTCTAATTTCCGATAAATGTGCATCCAGGATAATAAGAGCATTTGCTGAGATTAGTGCAGTCGTCTTTTTGCAGGTCAAAGACCCTTTCGCTGACGACGAGGAACCAACATTCCTTCTGGAGAAGCATCGTTCAGTTACGGCTACGCCGATAACCCCTGCCAGTGAACAAGAGGTGATTGCGAGATCTGCTCATAGTTCCGCACTGCCTACAGGAAATGGGGTCTTGACCGCAATTCTGATCCGACATTTCAAAGAAGGTCCTAGTCAATGGTATTTCTACCCCACCCGTATGCCGACATCAGAATTAGGAACAATAGCTTGACAATCGTCTAGGTTGGACTGCTTTGACACCAATGCCTATTACTCCATCAAGGTGCCCGTCATGGTGGCTACCCGGCCCATGCTGAAAGCTGCTGCATGTGCCCTTGCCGCCAAACATCTGCACCGGATGTGCCAGGGAGATGCTTGTCGGATGTTGCAGTTAGCCCATCTTCGCAACAGCCCCCTTCAGTGGGCTGTTGGAGGGGTTGACTTGAAATATGAATCGGTACGTCTCTATGACGAAGCTATTCGGTACTTGAAAGACGCGATAAGGCTGGAGATTCCGAACAGCCGGCGAGACGAGATGTTCGCCGTCGTTGCCATTCTATGCATGTATGAGTTGATCGATGCTCCCAGTACCGAATGGCGAGCACATTTAAGCGCCCTGCCCTTCCTCTATTGCGGAACTGTGGATGACTTCAGCTCGACGTCCTCTCTACCAAATTCTCTGCTGCATATCTCCCGCTCGGTTTTTTGGAGTCTCGTCCGCCAAGACTGTCTTTCGGCTTGTAGGTCAATCACTTTCATCTTCTCTCTTCTTCTTCCCTATGTCAGCTCATATACTAATAAAAAAAAAACAGTCATCAACGAGACACAAACTCGCCTCAACCTCTTCGACCTTGTCATCTGGCGCAATTTCGGTCTTAATATTTCCGCCCATGGTCATCTCTTACCACCCTCCGTCTCCTCTACTACCATCAACACCCCCATTTCCTCCTCTCCGAGCCCTCATGCCCGAGTCCCATCACACAGTGCTTGGCTTGAGGAAGACACACTCAGCAATGCCTTAGTTTGGATAATGGGCAAGATCATAAACTTCATCACGAGCGGTGACGGAATCAATCCAGGAGACTACGAGAGCCCTCCAGGCCAACGTCCATGTTTCGGCACCACACAAGAGGATCTCCTAGAACGATGGAAATTACTAGAGTTCGAGCTGACTGCCTGGTACGATACCTTACCCGATTCTTTTAAACCGTCTGGTCGTACCCAACTGTTTCTGTCCAATCTCGATCCGACACACCAAGAACCTATCCCCACCCCTACGGAGAATGTCGGAGATGCAGATACGATAGATGCGATTTCCTTCATCATTCCCATGTGTGCCGTCACCATCTAGACCTACCACATGGGCCGCATCCTGCTTTTGAGCAATATGCCGCAAGAATCTACAGCTATTCGGTCAACTGTGACGGCGCGACTGCGCCATTATCGTCAGATCGCGGGGTTGGTGGTGCGTCATGCGCGCGAGATCTGTGGGATTAGTCTAGCTGGGTTGCCCGATGCGATACTTTCGCATACAGTTCAACCGTTGTTCGTGGCAGGACAGTGCTTCGAGGGGGATGCGGAGAGGCAATTAGTAGTGGATCTGCTGCGACGTGTGGAGAGCGATACGGGATGGGCAACAGAGTATCGGGTGAAGGAGTTGCAAAAGCAATGGGCGGATGGGGGGTTGCGGTGTGGGAGATAGTTAGCCAAACCATTCCAACTTGTAAGGAAGTGAATCCTTACAAGCCACTCGTATGTGTACCTGAGTATATAGGGGGCTTTAGGGATCCGCAGAGTATCTGCGGGTAATGCTGGCCTTATGGTCTTGTATTAACTTTTTCCCCTAAAAAGAGTTGCTTACACAACTATAGTTATCTTTGAATTTGCGGTGTATTATCTGGATAGTGACAGTATTGTGAATTGGTACAAACGAAATTGAAATGCATTTGATGCAATTGGGCCCTGCAGACATGATTCGTTGCAGATAGCGACATATCAACAAATCCTATACAACAGATGGTGGGAGAAACAAACTCCCGCAATGAAGAAATTTTCCCGAGATAAATCTAGACCTTCTTATCCATCACTCCACTACGCTTCTCCCCGCCCCCATCAACTTACAAGGCAGATGGATAATACCCGATGAAGTGGATCCAATTCCCCGGGTGGCTCTTGTCCATTTAACCACGAGGAAATCTTCCCGAGAGCAATCTTTCCGAGCAGCCGATTCTCGCCTATCGTGGTCCATCGTGCTGACTGCTTTTGTAGATCATGAAGCCCAAAGAATTTTTTAGGGCCCACGAAGATATAAATGGGGGGTAGCATTCTGAAAAGTAGTGTTTTCGTCAATAGACATCCCTAGAATCTTAGGTTAACTCTGCTCACCAGACTTGAGACCATCATGGCGCTGATACCAGGGTTGTCTCGCTATGTCTGGGCCAGCATTCTATGCTCGATGGGGGGCTTTCTTTTCGGGTGTGTAAATCCTGGACTCGTCGCAAAATGCAGCTTTGCAGCTCGAACCTGAACTCCTCATACAGCGTAATTTCGCTAACCATCACCTACAATACAGAATGGACACCGGCATCATCGGCTCCGTGGTAGTAATGGACCAATTCAAGCAGAAATTCGGATCCTTTTCATCCATCGTCCACGGTCTAATAGTTTCCTCCATCCTGATCCCCGCCGCCTTCTCATCCTTCTTTGGTGGAAAGCTAGCCGACTGGATCGGACGACCCAAGAGCATCACAATCGGTGCTCTCATCTTCGGCATCGGATGTGCGATCGAGGCGGGCGCAGTGCATCTGGCCATGTTCATCGTTGGCCGTGTCGTCGAGGGACTCGGAGAGGGTCTATACCTGGGGACCCTTGTAGTGTAAGCCCTCCAACCCCACTCTCTCCTCTCTACTATCAACCCAAAGCGATAGCTAATAAGCTATAACAGATACATCTGCGAGATCTCCCCGCCAAGTCAACGAGGCCCACTAACCACTGGCCCTCAACTCCTCATCACAATGGGCCTCGTAGTCGGCTTCTTCACCTGCTACGGATGCGAGAAGCTGCACTCATCCATGGCATGGCGAACGCCATTCACCGTCTTGGCTTGCATTTCCATTGTCTTCAGTCTAGCTGCTTTCTTATGGCTGGTTGACTCACCCCGATGGCTCACGCTTCATAATCGCGTCGAGGATGCCACTCGCGCTTGGGAATATCTTCAAGTAAGCGAGGCCGATCGCGAGGAACTTCTCCAAGAGGAGGAGGAAGTCGACGTTCATGAAGAGGCCTTGACGCATCCGTTGGCCCCGACGGGGAGTATTCTGGCCCCGAATACCCTCGATCAGGTGGTTTCGCGGCATAGTCGGGTCTCTCATCGGACTAAGCCTAAGGGAATGGAAGAAGCAACTCTATTCGATGCGTTCAAGCCCGATGTGCGTAATCGGACTCTGCTGGGCTTGTTCCTCATGGGAATGCAGCAGTTGGCTGGGATTGATGGAGTGTTATACGTACGTTCCCCTTCCACTACATCCCTCACCAACCAAACCAACTAATTATCCAAGTACGCCCCCATGCTCTTCGAACAAGCCGGCATGACCTCCTCGCAGGCCAGCTTCCTCGCCTCCGGCGTCTCCGGCATCGTCATCTTCGTCGTGACTATTCCGGCCCTCATCTACGCCGACTCCTGGGGCCGCCGCAGCAACGTCATCCTCGGCGGTCTCGGGCTCACGATAACCATGTTCGTAATCGGGTCCCTGTACGCCGCCGACGCAGTCCATCATTCGACCGGCGCTGGTCGCTGGGTCGTCATCGTCGCGATCCATCTCTTCGCTGCTATTTACAGTGTGTCCTGGGGTGTGAGTTGTAAGGTCTACGCGGCGGAGATCCAGCCCCAGCGGACGAGAGCGAGCGCGACGTGTCTTGCGCATGGAAGTAACTGGGTGTCGAATTTCTTTGTTGCGCTGATTACGCCGGTTCTTTTGGCGAAAAGTAGCTGTGCCGCGTACTTTCTGTTTGGAGGGTGCACGGCGTTGACGATTGTTGTTTGTGGGTTTTGGATGCCCGAGACGAAGGGGAGGTCGTTGGAGGAGGTGGAGAGGTGTTTTGTTAGAGGGAAGGAGGATACATAAAAAATGATGAAGTAACGGATGATTTATGATAGATGATAGATAGATGGCTATGTGGTTAGATGATAGATACGCTGATAGAATGCACGATGTCATGTTTCCTACCTTCCAATTCAAGCATTCCCGTTATCCAGTGGGACATAGTGCCTGGGATATCCAAGACATAGTTACTTTATTCTCCACAATATCGAGATAGATATATCGACAAAATGAATTAATTACCTATTACGTGATCTCATATAGTACATATGCGCCATATCACTAATTCCCGGTGGCTTTCGCATACATAGCCCTGGTATGCTCCCACACTTTCTTGCCCACCCCACTACCCAGATACCTCTCAACCAACTCAGCCTTAGCCTTGACAATAGAACTATCATAATCCACCCGATACGCACCACTGCCCTTCGCACCATCAGCCCCAACCGTGTCCCCCCCTTTCACCCGGGGCGCGAACAGCGGACTCGTAGCCGCATATACATGCCTTTCTCCGGACTCCTTGACAGAAAGAAGCCCAATGGACGAGCAAACAGGCGTCAACGCAAAAAGGGCCTGAGTCAGTCCCCGCAAAAGCGGGTTAAAATCACGCATGATATTCGTGTTCACCGCACCAGGACGGCTATGAACCCAACTGATGTTGGGATGTGCCGCCGCCAGTTGGGCCATGTAGAGAGATGTCATGGTGCAGGCATGAGCAGCTGCATTCGGAAGGGTGTAATTGTTCCGGAGGTCGAGATCATCTTCAACGAGTTTGCCCTCGTTTCCCGGGCTCATGACGGAGACTACTCGGGCTAGGCTGCCCGATGAGGCGGCTTGGTTTAGTAGTGGTAGAAGATTCTCGGCGAAGCGCATTCGGGCGTAGTAGTGAAGGCTGAGTTTGCGGTCGATTCCTTCGCTTGTTTCTGTTTTCGCAGTCAGTTGGAGAAGGGGGGGGTGGGGGGTGAGAGGTTTGTGGAGGGTACTAACCAGTCCTTCCCTGCGTGGTCAAGATCCCTGGACTCAGGAAGAGGAGGTTGACTTTGGACTCCTTTTGAGCGATTTCGCGACATGTGGTGTCGACATTCTTGAGGAGAGAGATATCGCTTTTGATGAAGTCTACTGTTGCGGATTGGTTGACGGTACGTAGTTCTGAGATGATCTCCGATGCTTGGGCTTCGTTGCGCCCAATCAGGTAGATGTGGGGAGCTGTCGCATAACGGGTGAATTCTTGCGCAGTCGAGACGCCAATTCCACTGGTCCCGCCAACTGGATATTGTTAGTCAGAGATCAAGGTAGTTAGCAAAGTCGTGCACATACCGAACACAGCAACCAGACCCGAACCCAGGTTCTTGACATTGGCTAGCTGCCCGCGGACCTCTGAAATGGCAACCATCTTCTCAGCTGGTTGTCGGGAACTATTAAGATATTCTATCTTGGATGGAAAATATGTTTGAGTGCGGATAACTCTTGCTGCGATAATTTTGAGCCATAAATTCAGTTGACTTCGTCGACTTAAATAGCTGGGGGGAGATGCTTGTGGCTAACGTCAGCCACGGCTTGGCTGACCAGATGCGGCAGATGGCTGAAGTCAGCCACGGCGGGACCATAAATCACTACTATCTCATTTTAGATGCTGTCAACCTAAAAAATATCTCCAACTTTGCATGTTCGATTTTACTTCTGCTGCTTACCTCTATTGGTATTAGTCGGTCACATAATATGTTTAGGCCCACCCAGCCGGGTCAACGCCTATCAACTCAATATATATTCCGTTGATGGACTTGCCGAACATCCGTGATCGGCCCTTCCAGTGCAAATTTTGTGTATCACCACAACGCGAGGGATGACGGTCTACTACTAATGGCGATCAGTACAGCAGATCACGAAAGGTGGTTCAGGAGCAAATGCAATCCATAAGCTGAAGCTGGATCACCCCATGATGTTGTGCATATATGGCCAAGAGCCTTGATCCTGAGCATATCTGTACAGGAGTGTTATCGAGCATCAAATCCCGTTCAAAAATCGTTGACTTATCAGAGCCATCGCGACCTGGAGAGATTTATCATACGATAAGCCGTCTTGGCGTGAGGGGTTCAATCGGCCGAACTGGAAGAGTAGGTGGCATATAAACCCCGGGAGCTCCCTGCATCCAAATCCCGGAGATCCCCTCAGTCTCACGCATCGACTCTCCATTAACCCGCCATGCTATCTCAAGTGCGCGTCGCAGTCACCCAGGCAGAGCCAGTCTGGCTGGACTTGGAAGCAACCGTGAAAAAGACATGTGACCTTATTGCTGAAGCAGCTGCGAACGGCGCTCAGTTGGTGACTTTTCCCGAGTGTTGGATCCCGGGATATCCTGCCTGGATTTGGTGGGTACAACCGCACCGTATGGCGCCAATGACATTGAGACTGACAATCGATAATGGGTCTGCGAAGGGCACGGCCTGTTGACATGCGCCTATCATCTATTTACATACAAAACTCCCTGAAGATTGATTCCCCGCAAATGGCCAGCATCCAGCAATGCGCAGCGGAGAATAAAATCGTGGTTGTGTTGGGCTTTTCCGAGAACCTGCATAACTCCCTGTATATCTCGCAGGCTATTATTGCAAGTGATGGGAAGATCCTCACCACCCGCAAGAAAATCAAGCCCACTCATATGGAGCGGACCATTTTCGGTGACTCGTTTGGAGACTGTCTGCAGAGTGTAGTCGATACATCAGCCGGTCGCGTTGGTGCTCTTTCCTGCTGGGAGCATATCCAGCCTCTGCTCAAGTATCACACTTATGCGCAGCGGGAACAAATTCATGTTGCCGCATGGCCGCCTCTGTTCCCTCATAGCGAGGACGGTTCCTTGTTTTCGATGTCCACCGAGGGTATGAACGCCAACCAAAAGGGACACACGGAAGGAATGCTAACATATCTTCTCTCTTCTAGGCACCAGTTCCATTGCGAGGACCTATGCCATCGAAAGTCAGTCTTTTGTCCTCCATACCACAACAGTCATAGGCCAGTCTGGCATTGACCGGATGGCCACATCGACTGGCGCCCTGATGAGCACCCCTGGCGGAGGTTGCTCCGCCATCTTCGGGCCCGACGGTCGCCAATTATCGCAACCCATTCCTAGTGCAGAGGAGGGGATTATCTACGCCGACCTCGACTTTGAACATATCTACCACTCCAAGGCATTTGTAGATGTCTGTGGACACTATAGCCGACCGGACCTTCTATGGCTGGGAGTGGAGGGCGGTGTTAAGCGCCATGTAAGAGACAATGCAACTACTGCGACACCACAAGTGGAGCAGCAGGAGGAGTAATAGTTAAACTATATGTGAGAATGCCTTTGGCAACCGAGACTTGCCGAATCTTTGCATTTTTCGACGGAGGAACAAGTTCAAAATATACTCCCAATTTTCATCTTGCATCTACAGATAGCAAAATTTCAAGCACTCAGGTTGTATCAAATATCAGTACAATAATTTGAGTCACAGTAAGGTAACATTTGCACTGTTCCTGGCAGCCGCTTCTAATTGGTTGTATTTCAGGTCTACCAGAGTGCGATCCTCTGAACAGTTACTAATCACCAGATAAAACAGAGTACTATAGGAAATCTTTCATATTGTTTTATTTCCTTCAAAAGACTACCTTCCTAGGTCCTGTGGCTATCGGTCTAACAATTTAAGTTACACGGCGAAGTTACAGCACGCAAGGGGTGAATCTATACTTACTAAGTACCTAGATGTCTAAGTGCTTCCAATTCGAAAGGCCCGAGATTAGTCCAATGGAAAGTTGACGGTTATAGCTACTACATATGTATTTTGGGCCGTGTACTCCAGTTCCAGCGACAGCCACTTGTGCTTAATTTCCCTTGAAAAAGGCTACTGAGCGGCATTGGATGGAACATCTCTGATTTGTTGAGTAGATATGCGGCTCTGCAACTCAGGTAGCCACCGACAAGGATCTAGGTTGGAGTGTTATGTAGCTTTGCAGTGTACTGATAAGGCTCTCAGCCTTGTTGGTTCCTCCTTAAAAACTCCTGCTTACCTCTAGCCTGCCTCAAGGCTTTCGCATCCATCACTGACTGTCTTCACTGTTCCACGATGACATCCAGCGACGCTGACCAGCGACAATATCCCGCATACGAACTACTACATAATTAAGTTGACGAGCTTGACCCCGAGATATTATCAAGTATACCTAATACCGCGACGAGGCATGATGTTGAAGATCATGTAGATTTGAAATCACATGCTGTATCACCTTCTTCGAACACGTCAGACGAGAATGAAGCATCAAACTCCCGTCCGACCTCACCCTCCCCGACATTAGGAAAACCTCCCCACTACAAATCCGAGAAACCGGAAAGCACTGAATCAGTATCAGACGGGCCCTATATATCCAGCTGGTTTGCCTTGGAGCTCACAGGCATCATTGTTTCAGCGGGTCTCCTAGCTGCGATAGTCATCATTCTGAAGATGTACGATCATCAACCTCAACCGAAATGGTGGCATATCTCCCTGAATTCGGTCATCTCCTTTCTCAGCACACTTTCCAGAGCCAGCCTCATGTTTTCTGTCGGGGAGTTGATAGGACAGCTAAAGTGGGTATGGTATGGTTTGCTCAGCGGGACCAACCTTTGCTACATCTGCAGTCCTTCGACTCAGCCAGCCGGGGTGCTTTGGGGAGCATAACACTGATATGGGCCTTGCGTGTCCGGCACTTTGCGGGGGTTGGTGCTTTGGCCATGGTTCTTGCCTTGGGATTTGATCCCTTTTCGCAACTGCTGATACATACTTATGATAAGCTGGTTGTAGACCCATCAGGGACTGCACTGATCGGTAATGCCACGATATATGACACCATAGGGCAATTCGAGTACGAAAAAGGCATGTATATAAAGTAACCAATTCCATTTACTCAAGACTACGTGATCGAGAATACTGACGACAATACACAGAAGTAACGGTTGCATACGTTGACCCTGTGCTCAAAGCGAATGTCTACAATTCGCTCTTCAACACCGATCCGAGCCGGCCGTGGGCCATTCCACAATACTCCTGCTCCTCAACCAACTGTACCTGGGATGCAGTTGCTTCGCTCGAGATTCGGTCGCTTTGTACCAACATCACTAGTGCATTGACAGTCAACTGCTCTACCTTTTCTAATGCATCAGCATACGCAGGAGAGAGTA